TTTAATACACTATTGTTATACTATTATATTTTTAATATATTTTTAACATGAACCAAAATCTTGGCTCCACCCTGCAAACTTTTGTATTTATTTATAGGTAAATGTCATGAGTCATGCCTCGTGACACTTCTGTTGACAAACTGTGAAGTACCTACTTTTATTTTATTTTATTATTATTTTTTTCTTCTTCTTTTTGGTTTGGTACAGTATAACAAACAAGAACTCTAGTTGTTTGTTTTTGTTTTTAAGAAAGACACCTCAGGTGTCGACGAAATTGAAAACAATTTTGCGCATGATGTTTCACTTCACGCATGGGGTTGGGTGCATGTCCCAATTGTATAATCAATATACATCTATGCACACACGCAGATTATTCTATCTAACGGTCCACTTTTGGTGTTTGAAGATGATTGAGGGTTACTTGTCATCTATAAAATGAGAAAGTTCAGAAGTTAGGTGGGTGGTAGTGGTACGTACCTGTCCTTTCACAATTTATTTGCATCAATTATGCTTAATCATATATATATATATATATAAACACACACACACACACGCATTGTTTTGACTTAAAACTTTTGAGCTTGTGTATATTCTTGAAAATAATTTACTAATATTGAAAAATTGGATGATAAATACTTATAGTTAGGATGTATATAGAAAAATAGACTTTATATACAATTTACGGGTTTCTTATTGGTGTAAATATACAGTCATAATTTATTACCATGTATTGATGTTATATGTTCTTAATTGATTAATAAATTATTGGGTAATCTTCATTTAGACCCCTCAGGTCTTTCTATACGTCAATCAGACTCGTTAGATTTGCATAATTTCAATCACATTTTATGTCCGGCCAAATTAATGAAAATGAAATGACCAATCTACCCTTATTATTAATTTTAAATTAAACTAAAGAGGCCAAAGTCTCACTCTCCTAACTGGCCACTCCCATAACTAAAAGCTCCCCTCCGTTTTTCGTAATTCTTAACTATTTGTTGGCGGAGAAGACTTGCGTAATGCAACTAGTGTTTCGCGTGATTGACGGCCTCGGAAAGAGACTTGAAGTCACCAAAAATGGACTGGGCCGAGCATAACCAAGATTGCTAAGAACAGGTCAGATAAGAATAACTGAAATGAACCAAGTCCACACTGAGTAGGCTCAGGATTGGAAGATCAGTTTGGAAGCATGAACTAAGACAGAAGGAAATGGGCCTAAAACAAAGGTGAACTCAAAAGGCCAGCCCATCACAAGGAGATCAAGGAGAAAGCTTCAAGAATGGTTGTAACAATTTATAAATAGACTAGAAAGAGAGGGAAAGAAAAGGAGAAATTTTTGAAGTGTATAATTATTCTTTTCAAATTGAGGGAGCATTTTTCTTGCATCTTCAAGACTGAAAGTTAGCCATGCAAGATCGATCGATTGTGATGGAGAAGAGTCATTGCCCATCACAAGAACGAAGAGTTTGTGTTTTTAGAATTCGATTTCAGAGGCAACAAATGAGAAGAACTGAGATTATGATTTGGGCTTTGAAGAACGTGAAATTCAAACGACATGGTATTAAATTGGGATTAGGTTTAGGGTTATATATATAGGGTTAGGATTAGAGTTTGGTAATTTGGTGAGAGAAGCTTTCATTGCTATTGTCGTGGAGTCCATTTGCAGTCAAAACTTGGCGGCGGAAGTAATAAATTAAATCACAAAATCATAATAGAATTTGAGACATTATTATCCTAACAATCTCCGTATTGGTTCAAATTTTTTCATATCAATCAACGTTTTTCACGGCAAACTGAATCTGATAACTCAACCTGATTGTCCTTCACGACTCCACCATTGCCATTTACTTCATCATGATTCAGTTTTGCTCTTTCCTGGGTCGAGAGTGCGAGCCCACTCTTCTTTTAGGCTGGGAGTGAACCTTAGCTAAGAGCATAACTTCCATCCTCTTTTCTAGGCTGAGAAAACGAACCCACTCTTTTTTTTAGGTCGGGAGCAAGCGAACCTTGGCTAAGAGCAAAACCACATCTTTTTTTAGGGTTGAGAGACGAACCCTGACGACCATCTTAATTGATTGACTCCACCTGCAACTGAGCCCGTGGTAACAATAGTTAAGACATCTTGTGTTTTCTAAATCTTCTTCAAATAACAATTAATAATCCAAACCCGTACCATTGGCCCTAATACCATTTGTTAGGCAGAGCGGAAATAATAAATTAAATCAGAAGAAGAAAATAGGTTCCAAATCACAACACAAACCAAAACTACGTCCATGGATGGGGAGATTTACTATAATCACGTAAAGATATTATTTCTTTTGTCTTAAAAAAGATGTCCTGTTTGAAAAACCGTGACTCATAAACATGATATCTAATTTCGAACGAAAGTAATACAACACTGTAAACCTTCTTCACCTATTGTATCACACCTTGGTGAGATTATCTTTACGGACCACACGTCTCTCCACTCATACTCTCAATAATAACCCAAGTATCTATTTTATAGATCTTAAACCAAACTCACTTGCAGAGTTATTTAAAAATTATACGATACAATAGTACTCTACAAATAAATAGACATGCAATCATAATAGAATTTGAAATATCATTATTCTAATAAAGAGATGACAAGTGCGGACCTTGGTGGTGGAGAATAGAGCTATGGGGCGTATGGCTTACTAATTGGGTCAACTTCGCCCGACTTTGCCGACAATCCATTTTGTGTTTGGTTTCTATTATTCTATATCTTCTTGCTCTGATGTGATTTATTTGCAGAATTATTTAAATGGTTTAAGTTTAGAGAGTAATACGAGGAAGCAACTGTATATGGACAAACCGGGGGGGGGGGCTTGGAATTTTTTTTAGTATAGATAAAAATAAAAATAATATTGTATGGACAAACCGGGGGGGGGAGGAAGCAACTGTATATGGACAAACCGGGGGGGGGGGGGGAGCTTGGAATTTTTTTTAGTATAGATAAAAATAAAAATAATATAGTATGGACAAACCGGGGGGCGGGGGGGGGGGGGGGGGGGGCGCTTGCAATTTTTTTTAGTATAGATAAAAATAAAAATAATATAGTATGTATAATATAAAATCTATACTTGGCCCTCCAAAAAAAAAAAAAAAATCTTTAATTGTCATTTAACAGAAGATAATTTATATATAATTTAAAGGAAAGTAATTTAATTGACAATTATAGAATCCCAATAAAAATTGACTCATATAAAAATTTAATGTGACTATTTTAAAATCTTAACTCAAATATAGTTCTATCTATAATGTGACTATCTTAAAATCCTTCTAACTCAATTACGATTGTTATCCTAAACTTCCATCTCTTACATGATTCTTTCGGATCACCTTTATTTATTTATTTATTTATTTATTTTTATTTTTTTATTGGAATGTTTTATAAGAATTCTATAAGAAATTAATTTTTTACAAAATTTAGAACAAAAATTTCATTTGAAGTTTTGAATATCAACAAAAATTGATGATTGAAGAATCTAAATTCTTATTCTATTAATTTGTTTGTTTGTTTTTTTTTTTTTTTTTTTGTTATCATAGTTATAATTTTTATTGATATATTGTGTAATGATTATTAATTTGTGCAAGTATTACATGAATTTTTTATTTTTTTTATAATTTAAAATCTAATTGTTTAATTAAATTTTTTTTAATAATTTTTGGCATAAATCTTATTTGTGTTTGTTCGGAATGTTTGATAAAAAGCTTGTTTAAAAAACTTTTTTTTTTTAAATTTAAATAAATTAGCAAAAGTTTAGATAGATATATTTTTGTATGAATATAATAAATAGTAAAATATTTTTACCTACGTAATATTTTTTTTTCTCCCAAAAGTTGTAGTGTTGCTTATAATTTGGCCCCCAACCTCAAGATCTTGGCTCCGCCCCTGCGGACTGAATCATTTAAATAGTTAAAATTTAAACTTCAAACAGTTGACTCAAATGATAAGTTACTTCCTCATAAAGTATCAGATTTAAAATTTGATTTTACACTATAGTGATATATATATATATATATATATATAAACTTTACACCTTATTTTTGTACCTTAATTATATCCTTTCATTTATTAGATTAAAATTAGAAAAAAGAAAAAAGAAAAGAGTAAGCAATTGAATATATTATTATAAAAAAGGGGCTGGCGGTCACATTTTGTCGGCATAGGCTTCTTCAATACATCAAGCGAGTCCATCTCAGATAAGCCCATAACTGTAAAACAACTTGGCCCATCTCCGGAAAACTAACCAACGAACCCCCTTCAACAACCACAACAGAGCACAATGGAAGGGGTTTAGGGGAAGAAGGAGAGTAGATTTGGCTCCGGCGGATCAAACAAGATTTTGGAAAATTCCATTCAGAGACGATGGTTTCAGCCATTAGGCATTTGCACTGTGTTATGTCTGGAAGCACTGAATCGATAATTTGAATTTGAAATTAAAAAAAATTTAGTTAAAACTATGAACTAAATTTGTTCCAATTCTAAATCTTTTGATACTCTCAAACACAACATGAATTTAGAATGATTTAATGTCTACTACAATGGAGATGAAGATTTGTTTTGAAAGATTCGATTATTCTTCTACTTTCACACGTGGTAGACAAAGCTGACTAAGGTAAGCTTTCAAATTAAGATTCCAATAAACTCATACTCTTAGTCATTGATTTGGTTCTAATATAATTTATGATTAAAAATGATAAAAAAAAATAATAAAAAAAAATGAAATAAAAGAAGAACCTCTACCAAATCAGACTTGAGTATTATAAGGTCAATAATATCGTCCAACTCACCAATAAAAATGAAGGCCCAAACCCTTTTTCGTGAAAGGTAACGAAGGCCCAGGCTCGACATGCAATTTCTTCCAATAGTCCACGACATAGACCCAAGGCCTAGACCACAATATACTCCACCTCACGTGGATCACGTGACTCTCTCACTCATCGTCTCCTCCGCCCAAATTCCCAAACCCATCCAAACGCCTACAATACAAACAAACTCCCCCAGGCTACCACACTACCAAATCCTCTCTCTCAATGGCAGCGGCAGCAGCAGCAGTTTCTCTCACCATGTCAAGGCTGCTCTCCCCGAAAGCCCTTTCTCTCTCCTCCACCACCTCCATACTCTCACCCAAAACCCTCTCCTCATCTTTCTCACTCCTCCCTCTCAAACTCCGCCACCGCGCAACACCCCTCAGGTGCTCCATCACGACCGCCGCCACCAAAGTCGCCGCCGCCATCTCCGTCGGGGACAAACTCCCCGAATCCACCCTATCCTACTTCGACGCCGCCGACGAGCTCCAAACCGTCACCGTCTCCGACCTCACCAAATCCAAGAAAGCCATCCTCTTCGCCGTCCCCGGCGCATTCACCCCCACCTGCTCGCAGAAACACCTCCCCGGCTTCGTCGAAAAGGCCGCCGAGCTGAAGTCGAAAGGGGTCGACACCATCGCCTGCATTTCCGTCAACGATGCGTTCGTGATGAAGGCGTGGAAGAAGGACCTGAAGATTGGGGACGAAGTGTTGCTGTTGAGCGATGGAAATGGGGATTTCACAAAGGCACTTGGGGTTGAGCTCGATTTGAGCGACAAGCCGATAGGGCTGGGAGTGAGGTCGAGGAGGTACGCGCTATTGGCGGAGGACGGCGTTGTGAAGGTCTTGAACTTGGAGGAAGGCGGCTCATTCACGTTCAGCGGCGCCGACGATATGCTGAAATCAGTGTGATTTTGATGACTTTGCGTTTGTGGTTTTGTTTTCTTTGTTTAATGTTTTTTCAAGTGTTGTCAGTTGGTTGAACTGAGGTAGTCTCTCTATCTTAATAATAATATGAATATGAATATGAATTTTGGATAATAAAGATAGGGTTTTTCTAGAAATGAATGTTATTGTCAATACATTATGTTCTATATTAATATGTGTATTTGCAGTGGAGGTCTATATTGTGTATGATTTTTGTCACAAGGACTTGAAATCCCCTTTGTGTGTTTTGTATGTGAACCCTGGATGAGAATGAGGAGTGGATTTGTGTAGCTGAGCTGACACCAATAAGACATTCCAGAGTTGGGTTATGGCTGCTGCTTACATTTGACCCTCCCCATCGTCGTCGCATCATAGCAATGGCAGTTGGGTCAATTATATACTCAACAAATATCAATCAATGGTTGGCTATAGTTGCAATCCAAACCAATTTGATAGATATGTGTCAACCTTGCTGATCACCTCTGATGTGAGAATTATATACGGTCTCCGAGGTGGATATATATTTCAGCATACGTGGAGTTTTCTTGAAGCAATGGTGGAAGGATAGTATTATATCTGGTGCCCATTTTAAATTATACCAAGAGGAAAGCATACCACTAAAAGTATTTGAGTTCCGATGTTATGAGATTGTGTTGTTTTATTTTCCATTTTAGGTAGCATTGTGTTTTTCTAGAAATATCAATTGTGTTCTGTTGAGGGCAAGGATGATTGTGGGGTTGGTGCTGGACGCTGGGATGAATGTAGTTTGCATGTCTAGTCTCATCGTACGATCACTAATTTTGAACCACATACCATTTGTGGCAAAGGATCCCTGCTGTCGTTGTCGTGTAGGAGCTTTCATTGATATGAGTCATACCCAGCAACCAAATATTTGGCTCGAGTTTCCTACCATAGAAGGGAAACTGAATTGCTTACTAATATGGTTTAATCCAGAATGTTGAATCAGTTTTTACTAGAAGTTTTGACAGCTCTTTTATTTTTATTTTTTTACTCTATACATATTGGTTGTGTTTTTTCATTTTTGGCAGGATAAGAAACCTATTTGATCCAGGCCATAAAAGCAATAACACTTTCTACTTGTAACATCAAGCCACATTGCATTAAGGTAACATATTTATTTATAGCCGATATCAGGCCACGTTGCAATACATACAGAATAGCGAGACAGTAAGAACAATCATAAGCCTGCAATTCATCGTTCCAGGCCAAAAAAAAAAAGGAGGAGAGAAATGGAAATTCATAACCCACCTTCAAATGATGATATACTTCCACTCCCATCTTCATGGCCTCTTTGAAAGTGGAAGCTCCAACAGGAAGAATCACGAGCTCCTGCAAAAACAAGTTGATGAGAAAGTCAAACTTCAAAAGCATCTTATGTGATCCTCCACCATTTATAAAATGATAAGAATCTATAAAGAGGACTGCCTACCCGCATGGCAAGTTTATTTCCTGCATGTGATCCACCATTATGACATTGAAAACGGGAACCGGCAGAACCAACTTCTTGTTACCGGCCAAGTTGGCAATATGATGCATCCAGAAATTGTCATTTTATCATATTTAGTTCTACAAGTGCATACAATTTTAGTGTTACAAGTGCATACAATGACTAAAACTTATTCCTGGGTTTTTAGGCCCTTTATGAAATAGAAAACACCCTAATTTGGTATTTAATTCGAAGATACGGGGACGGGAAGTTAAGTTTGGGTCAAATAGATGATACAAGGAAGGGAAGAAAAACATTTTTCTCATGTTATTATTTATTAGAGGTTAAGGAAAAAATAGTATACTAGCTTGTGTAAAAATATCCAACACCGTATTCAACTATGAGTCCAAGTAGTGGGAAAATAGGAAACGAATTACCACTGCCTTGCTATTGCTGAAAGCAACTAGCCAAACTTAAAAAGTAAAATCTACCAAAGAAAGAAAAAATTTTGTACAGTTAAGATGAAAACCTGATCACAAAGATACCTTGTAAAGGGAGATTTTTGTGGACACTAGCGCCAGCTTTACGAACTGCAAGAGACACTGCCAGTATGGCATTCACTTCAAGCTGAAAACCACAATTGGTTCACTGGTGAATATGCTCTAGGTTAGAAGTAAACAGAAGCAATATGGTAAAATACCTTTTGCTTGCACCAGCCCCACTCATTTACAGTTCCATCAAGTTGCAGAACCATGAAGTTTTCAATACTAGTGTGTTGGGTTGGGTCCCGTGCAAAACAATTTAAAACTTCACTTTAAATGGAGGAGTCAATATCAAAATTTGACTAAAAATAATATCATTCCAAAAGAACTTCACTAATCAACCTTTAGGCTGAGCACAAGATCGGATACGTCCATTCAGTATCCAAATTTCAAAAGATAAAAGAGTCCCAACATCGTGTACATTGATGGCAACGCACAGAGAGGCACACACACACACGAGAGACCATTCCAATGAGAGCAGGGCCAATAATTGAGTTGACATTCTCAACAGCCTACAGGAAGAGTGAAACAAGATCAGCACAGGATATATGTACACCGTACGGCGAGTTAAAAGTCTGAACAGCAAAGTACTGACCTTTGCAACACCTTTTCCAAGGTAATCTGACCCTCCATCTCTTAATTCAAGAGCTTCATACACTCCTGACAAAAGAAAAACAAAAAATTGCATACAATAAACATGTTTCTGCAGGATAAATTCCAAAAAAACAGTCATACTTGAGCATATCATTAAAACAGCAAATCCATGAAGCGCTCAATGAAAATACTGCAAGATTTTTCAAATCAAGAATTGTCGGCACATCAATTGTAAAGGATGACATCTACCTTCTATTATTTTTCTTGATAGTTTGAAAATATGAATTTCTAATAGGCGAAGTTCCTAAAAACAATTTACTTGAAGTGGAGATTGTGAGCATATCTTCAATGCAAACTTAACTATAAATTCACTGCACTAGCAGGTTCAATCCCATCCATAAACTTTCAAAACCAAAAAAAAAAAAAAATCATTAAAATTGCTAAAAGGCATTCTCACCATCAGATAAACAATCATAATTCTGTTTCATAATATTTACACAGGTAAGTTTACGCATCTGTTTCAGCAGATGACAGTATCTGCAATGGTTATTATCACCATGCTACTACCATTCTCTGTAATTCCTTACTGCGAAGATAAATCGAAGCAAATGAAATAACAACTGAAAAATCATTGTGTGTGTGGACAGCTTTGAATTGCAAAACTTATAATCCATTTCATTGTGTCATGCCACCATTATTTCAATATCTAGTTGAGAAAATAAATCGAGACATATGAACTAATAACTGACAAAATTAAAATATGTATGAGTGTTTATGGCTCTGAATTGCAAAAGTAATAATCGTACCAGTGGATGCACCACTTGGAACAGCAGCTCTCACACAGTTTCCATCTGATGTGTACACATCCACCTCCACATATGACACACATCCTATTGATAAAACATATAAAAGAAATTATATTTATACAAACATGTATATTTGTGTATATATATATTTCTAAAACCTCTGCAAATATTTTTGGTGAATCCTCTGGTATACTTTGTGAACAAACTAATCACATCTTCTCTCCCTCTCCAAAATAAAAAGAAAGAACGAACTATTTGAAAAAAAAATTGTCCTCATGAGTAGAAACCACTTTCTAAAGAGAAAATCAGAATATAGCAGTCGTTTTCATACAATAACTTCTATATAGATACATGTGCCCCTCACCCATTGCAGATCAGAGGTGGAAACAGTTCCACCAGAATTTTGACAACAGCTGTCCTTTACATAAAAATAGTACATGCTTCAAACCTGGATTCCACACAATTTAGTACAGTGTAATTGTCTCCAATGATCAAACTCATTCTGCTATTTGAATCATATCGAAGTTTGTCAACACATACAAATATATATATATATATTCCTTGGCAAGAAACTCACACACACATTTACCCATATGAGGACTTGAACCCTCACAACCACTTTGGGAGTTAGAGCAGACACCGACTTTGGTGGTCAACATATACAAAATATTGAAATACTAAAAAGCTGACTCTTTATCTTCAAATTTTTTACTTCATTTCAACAAGATGATACAAGTAACAGTTGTTATTGAGACCACATGCCAGAAATAGCAAATGATCTAGGGTCCTTCAAGGAAAATCACCCTTCCAAATGATGTTTTCTGACAAAAATCCTTTTTCCGTTCCTCCAAAGGTGTTTGGGTGTGTCTGTTTTGTTCATAATCTAAGCCCGGAACAAGACAAACTTGATCCTTGTGCTCACAAATGTATTTTCTTAGGTTATTCTCGCACTCAAAAGGGATATAAATGTTACAGTCCAACTGTTCGTAAATATTTTGTGTGTGCTGATGTAACTTTCTTTGAGAATGTTCCTTATTATTCTCAGGAAGGCAGTCGCTTGGAGGACTCTATTCTTCAAGAGTCTGTTATTCCAACTCCAATTTTTGATTCTGACATCCCACCAGCTCTTCGTGTCTATGCTCGTCGCCGGAAAAGAGTAGTTAATCATGTTCCAACGACTGAAGTAGTAAACCCAGCCTTGCCACTTCCATCAGCCGCTTCAACGCTTGGAGATTCTTCCATCTCTCTGGACTCTGATCTTGATCAACCTATTGCTGTTCGGAAAGGTAAACGATCTTGTACCAATCACCCTATCTCTAAAATCGTATCGTATAATAAATTGTCCTCCTCCTTTCAAGGTTTTTCTTTGTCATTATCCTCTATTGCTCTTCTGAAGTCCTACAGGGAGGCACTTTCTCATCCAGGGTGGAGGAAAGCTATGGAAGAAAAAATAAACACTTTAAAATTGAATCATACTTGGGACCTTGTTTCTAAGCCTGCTGATACTCAGGTTGTTGGTTGTCGTTGGGTTTTTACCGTTAAACAGAAGCCTGATGGTACTGTTGACCGTCTCAAAGCTCAACTTGTTGCTAAAGGCTACACTCAGACTTATGGCTTTGATTATACTGAGACGTTCTCTCTTGGGGCCAAACTGAATTCAGTTCGTGTGATAATCTCTCTTGCACCTAATCTAGACTGGCCACGTCATCAACTTGATGTTAAAAATGCCTTTCTGCACGGTGACCTTAATGAGACAGTCTATATGACTCAACCACCTGGGTTTGAGTATAAGGGGGAGCGTGCGTGTCATCTCAAAAAGTCTATCTATGGCCTCAAATAGTCCTCTCGTGAATGGTTTGATAAGTTTAGTAAAGCAGTGGTAGCTTATGGTATGACTAGAAGCCAAGTTGACCATTCTTTTTTTTTTTTTTTTTAAGAAAACGACGTAGTATTGTGATTCTTGTGGTGTATGTAGATGATATTGTTATCACTGGCAGTGACAAAGGTGGGATACAAGTTCTAATCCATCACTTGAGTTCTGGCTTCCTTACTAAGGATTTGGGCAAACTTCGGTATTTTCTAAGAATTGAGGTGGCTCGGTCGAAGCAAGGCATTAGTCTTTCTCAGTGGAAGTATACTCTTGAACTATTACACGATACTGGATATCTTGGTTCGAAACCTATAACTACACCCATGGAGACTAATGTAAAACTTAAAGTGGATGATGGTGACCCACTCGATGATCCAGAGATTATCAGAGACTTGTAGGTAAACTTATTTACCTCACAATCACTCGTCCAGACATCTTCTATACAGTCAGTGTTGTGAGCTAGTTCATGACCAGTCCTCGGGTACCTCACATAGAGGCAGTTGTACGTATCTTGAAGCATCTCAAGGGTGCTCCGGGACGTGGTCTGCTTTATCGATCTTCCGGACATCTTCTGATTGAGGGATATACAAATGTAGATTGGGCCGATTCTCCTTCTGATCGACAGTCCACCACGTGTTACTGCACCTTCATAGGAGGAAATCTAGTCACTATGAGGAGTAAGAAACAGTCAGTTGTGGCTCGTTCCAGTGCTGAAGCAGAGTATCATGCCATGGCACACACTGCCTATAATCTTACTTGGTTGAAAACTCTTTTACAGGAACTTGGGATTTCAGTCCAGTACCCAATTCCTCTCCATTGTGATAATCAGGCAGCTATACATATTACTAGCAATCCAGTCTACCATGAGAGGACTAAACACATTGAAGTAGATTGCCATTTCATTCGATCTAAAGTTAACTCGAATGAGATTGTTACACCTTTTGTTCCTTCTGGTAGACAGCTGGCTGACATCTTCACTAAGACGCTTCCTAAGAACTCTATTGATTCCATATGTGACAAGTTGGGAGTTATTGACATTTACTCTCTAGCTTGAGGGGGAGTGTTGTACAGTATTGTATGAGTTGTCACACGTGTACAGTTAGTATTGTATGAGTTGTCACACGTGTATAGTTAGTATTGTATGAGTTGTCACCTACCCTTCATTACCATATATAGAATTACCATGTATAGGGTTTTCTAGTTCTCCACTCACCTACTCCCGTAGCTTTTCTTATATAAACACCATTGTATTATTGTATTACTTACTCAATAACATATAAGTTTTTATATATTTTCTTTCTCTTTCTCTCTTTCAACATATATAATATCTATTCCTTGGCAAGAAATTCACACACCCATTTACCCCCATGGGGACTTTAACCCTCACAATCACTTTGGAAGGTAGAGGAGATCAGGGACGGATCTACTGTGGGCTCAGTGGAAGCATCCACCCCCACTGAATTTTTTGTTTTTGTTTTGGTATTATATACCTATAAAATTTAAAATCGCCCCCACTAAAATTATAGAAAAACCCCACTATATAAGTTTGCCCCTTCTCATATAATTTTCTAGGTCCGTCACTAGAGGAAATACTGCTAGGCTACAGACTTTGGTGGTCAACACAAACAAATATTGAAATACAAAAAGCTGACTCTTTATCTTCAAAATTTTTACTTCATTTCAACAGGTGATACAAGTAACAGTTGTTACTGAGACCACATGCCAGAAATAGGAAGGGAAGAATCAAGAATGTCAAAATATTGAAGCATTGTAGATCATTTCTTAATTCTTGCTGGTGTGGGAAACAGGATTGTTGACTTAAGTTCTAGTAACACGAGCACATAAATGTTCTTCATCATTTTTGCGGGTGTAATTGGATCTCCCCAAGTCCTTGATTAAGGTCAGAATTTTTAAGCTTAAATCAATGATGCAGGAAGTTTCTTTAGTAAATGAAGTATGCTTCATACTTGTTTTGTGGCAACTTTGATGAGGAAAATTAATTAGTGATGAGATGATCATGGCCTAATCAGCACATATCCCTTTTTCTTACTTCAGATCCCTATAAATTCCCATTCAGATTATACAATTTCAGAACCCAACTAGTTCTTGAAGCAGGGATTTAAGAACATGCAAAAAAGAGCAAGATCAAAATACCTATAAAATTGGGAGAGCATCTGATAATAGGACTATCCTTGACACGCACACAAAAACACTAATAGTTTAGGACTATAATTTAGCATGCTATGAACCATCTAAGCAACCTGGAAAGAAACATTCTTCCCATCAAATGGAAAAACCAGAAAGGGAACAATTGTACATATATTCAAAAAATAAAACTCTCATTGATGTTAAAGATCTAGTCCATGTGCACAAAAGACAGATTGCTAGTTTTAAAGGAAAAGAGATAGTACGGGACTCAAATCTTGCCTCATATGTCAAGATACCACCAGAAGAACCAGGCTAACGAATAGTAACATTAGAAACAGCTCCATTGGCAGAAAGGACACAAATTCCTCTAGTACCCTTTTGAGAAAATGAAAGGATCTTTGCTGCAACATCCTGCAAGTCACCGCATGGAATTTCACTAAGATACCATAAATTTATCTGAGATTGTATTGTACAAAGATACATCCCATTTTCAATTAGTTATAAGAACTATGAAGCAAATCAAAGTAATAGCTCAATAAGTGAAAGGAAAAAAGATTGTCATAATGTATCAATTACCTCCCCTGTATTCACAGTTACCACATATGGAGTGAAGTCACCTCCACCCATGTGGGCAAACATCTCACCTTTACAGATCAAACAATGAATATTAAGGTAAATCCAAAACAAAACAAAAAACCTTTTTTCTTTAAAAATTGTGACAATGAATCATTAAAAAGAAAAAAAAAACAATACATTGTCTTAATCACTCATACAATCATGTGAGAGGTGGAAAAACATTTACATTGACACTTAATAAAAATCGCCAAATTCATGATTCCTCTGTTCATTTAAGCACAATAAACAATAAACTCAATCCACTTTGGACAAAATGAAACCCTAATGTTCTTTTTCTTCTGAAATCAAACCCCTAATTAGTTCAAACTCCCACAACCACCATAAAAAATAAAGAACCCAATTTCACTATAAGATATAACTAGGTATTTGTTAAGCCAAGTGCAACTGTGTGTGTATAATGTATACATAATACATATATGTGACTGTGTGTATATATGTGTGTATCTAAATATAACAATGAATTAATGTCTAGAAAAAAAGACTTGTATTTCTTGAACTCACCTAAAGAAGCAAGTATCTACCAGTTACCAGAACCAGGTGGGCAACCCCCACCTCTTTTGGAGGAAAAATCAGAAGAAGGGGACAGACTAAATCCTGGTGGTGGTGATTCATATGACAGTCTTAAGTTACCATCTGAATCATACTTTCTTGGCAGAGAGGCCTTTAGATTGATACGACTGAAGAGATCAGAGAGGCATTTACCCAATATATTATGTGCAGGGAGCAAAAGCAGGAAGAATATGCAGACTATTACACAGCCAGCCAGGGAAGCAATTCCAAGGCAGTGAAGAGATTATGGGATTAATTCTATAGCGAAGGTGATCAACCAGAAGCATTTACGAATAAAGAAAACCAGGATTTTCAACGAATAAATGAGATGAAAATCTGGTTATAACTGGAAACCATGTAGAAGATTAAAAATAGATCGTACAGACAAAAAGTTTTTAAGGCAAGGTCGGTAATACTTCCTTTCTCCTTCTCTATCATAGTCAAAAAAACACAACAACAATGTGATATTAGAGGTGATTGAAGGGTGACAAAAGGCAAACGAGGAAGCATTGAAGCATGACATTGGAAGCTCAAAGTCGATGAATAATTCTAACAGCATAGCCGAAGATCTAGTGGGCAGAAAATAAAATTTTCAAGACCAGAAGCTTTAGATATTGATACCTAACATTTCAGGATTTGTACCTAAATTGAATTATGAGCCTTTCCACAACAGTCCCACATCATAAACAGTTCCCATATAATAAGCAAAGGAGCCAGTAACACACCCTTCACATCGGAACAAGCAGATTTCACATCTCAGAGTCGGAGACTTTTATGCTGTCCTGTATTTGTCAGAACTCACTCAGAATTCATCTGGTATGTCCAATTTGAACCATCTACCTCTTTTCCTCAATTCCCTCCCTTGTCGCACAACAACAAAAGCAGAACACACACTCACACATACAGGACACAAGAAAAGACAACAAATTATGAACACAAATTCTTCTTCTTCTTTTTTTTTTTTTGATAATTAATTATAGAAACACCTACAGAATAATAGAATCCAATGAGCTTGGTATTTAACTTGTTACACAAAATGTGAATTTGAATAAATAAGAACAGGAGGTAATAACACCCTTTCCCTCCTTCCAACATTTGCAAACAAAATATAAGTTAGTTCAAGAATATACAAATCCTAATTATAGTACACGTTTTCCAATTATTACATATGTTTTTCTTTGGAATTACAAGTTGAGAGCTGTACCATACAAGCCATTTCTTCACTACATTTTGGCAACAGCAGAAAGATCCTCATTTGTGCTCCAATCCTCCATTCCCTTAATGCTCATTTCTGAGCAGATTATTTGGGCCTCTTGCAATCTCCCTTCCTCTCTAAGGCTGGAGGAAAGCTCATTACAAATACTGACATTTGGAAGAAAACCATTCTCAAGCATTTCTCCATACCAATCATACGCCCCAGTTAAATCCTTAAGCTGGCAATGTCCCTTAATCAGTATGCTATAAGTATCCGCTTTAGGGACCAATCCTTTAGCCTTCATATCATCGACGAGACCTTTCACTTCCTCCAATTTCCCCTCTTTAAAGCGTGCCATAATCAAACTATTGTAGGTCATCTTGTCAGGATGAATTCTCTGATCTAGCATCTCATGGTACAAGGCAATTGCTTTTTGAACATCTCCATGCTCTGTGTAACAACGAATGAGTTCATTATATACAAGTCGATCAGGAGCCAAATTCATCTGCGACATATCTTGAACCATTTTCTCCACCAGTGCCAGTTCTCCTTTGCTACATACACTAAATAGAGGATGAAAAGTATTCAAGGTGGGTTTAATGCCAGACTTTTTCATATTGTCATATAACTCTAAGCATTTTGCTTTGTTCCCTGTACTGGAATACCCTGAGATTAGGGAATTGTATGTGATCATATCAGCCTTTAAACCTCTACCTGTAATCTGGAGGGTCAATTCTTCAGCTTCCACCACTCTACCCTTTTTGCAGAGCCCATTTATGAGTGCATTGTATGTTACCACTGTGGGAACTACATCATTATTCAACATCTCATCTAAAAACCTGAAAGCATCTTTCAACTTCGCCCCTGTGCAATGACCATCAATAAGCATATTATATATTTGCACATTCGGCATAACCCCTCTATCTACCATATCGCGGAGGATTAGTTCAGCTTCAAGAAGCCTACCATCTTTGCATAAACAATTTATAAGCGAGCCATAGCTTACAACATTGGGCTTCAATCCATTACTTTCCATTTCTTCAAGAATCTGGAAACACCTCTCGAACTGACGGCTCCGTCCATATCCATCAATTAAGGTGTTATACGTCTGTGCATTTGGGGGAGCTCCTTTCTCTGCCATCTTCTTTAACCATTCCTCAGCTTCAGCCATTTTACCCAATTCACAGAACTTGTTGATCAGTGTATTAAATGTAATGTAGTTAGGCTTCAATCCATGAATTTCCATTTGCTCAATGGTTGAAAGGGCTTTTCCCATATCATCAGCATGGCAATACCCATTCACAATTGTATTATATATCACCTCTGTTGGAGCAAAACCACCTTCTATCAAAAATTTCAAAACCTCCTGAGCCCTATCCATCTTTCCTTCCTTGCACAATCCATTCAACAAAATACTACAAGTGTAGCCATTTATCCGAATCCCTTTCTTCACTGCTTCCTCATATAAAGCCAACGAAGCATCAGCATTACCACACCTCGAATGCCCATCAAAAAGTATACTATAAGTGAACCCATCAGGAACTAACTCATAAGCTTCCATCTCCTCCAACACCCTCCTCGCCTCCTCCATCCTCCTCGCCCGACAAAGCCCACTTAGCAAGGAATTAAACGTAACAAGATTCGGCTCCACATTTTCCGACTTCATCCGTTCCCGAACGTTAAACGCCTCCTCCAAATTCCCAACCTTGCAGTACCCATCAATAAGTGTATTATACGTAACACGATTCACAACCACCCTTTTGTCAATCATTTCATCAAACAGCTTCTGTGCATCCTGTATTCTCTTCTCCTTACAAAACCCACCAATCAAAACATTATATATAAACCCATTGGGGCTCATACCACGCTTTTTCATAGAATTCATCACATCCACAGCCCTTTTCAAGTCACCCAACTTCACCGCAGACTGCACAGCCTTACCATAAGTAAATTTATCGACCCGAATGCCCGAATCGACTGCTTCAGAGAATAAATCAAGGGTCTTACTATACTGACCTGAAGAGATCAAAGATTCAAGTAAGATATTAAACGACAACAAAGAAGGAAAGGTCCCATCTTTCTTGACTAACATGTACAGCTCTACGGATTCATTGACTAGCTTTGATTCAGCACAGACGGATAAGAGGATGTTTGAGAAGGTGTGTCTGAAGGAAGGCGAAGAGAGAGAGAAGAGAGAGAAAAGGTCAGAGGGAGACGAGAATGGAGACTTAGAGATGATCAGAGACTTCATCAGCCTTTTGGCGGTCTCGTTGCTACCCCGTTGGAGGAGGATTCGAAGATTTCGAACTTGTTCATGGCGGTCTTTGTCTTGAGGGCTGGTGAGTTTGTCGGCGTCAGGTTCGACGTGGTCGAGGTTGGATGGTACAGAGTTGGAACAGAAGCATTTGCAGAACGGTAGATAGGGGGTATTCGTGGGGAACTTCTGAAGAAGGCGGAGACGTCTCGCCATTTCCGTTCTTCGACGGAAGTTTGATTTTGATTTTAAAGCCTAGTTGTGAATACGTGGTTTGGCCCAGTGTGGTTATTTTCGGACTCGATAGAGAAATATGTGGTTTGGCCCATCTTTTGGTATGTGTTGTGTTTGGAACGTTATTTTATGCTACTTCATAATGATACTGTTAATGAGTAATTATAAAGAATCATTTAATAATAATGTGAGTTCCATGCCTTGAAAAAATAATAATAATGCGAGGATAACAGATTATTGTTGCTTTTATATAATTTTATTTATTTAAAAATTAAATTGAGATATAAAAAGAATTATTACAAAATTAATTTATGGGACAACGAGACTAACCTAATCCCAACCTCTTTTGGTTTTAGGAATGCTTTTTACCGCCACTCCCCATACTCAATAATTTCTATATTTTTTTATGTTAAAAAAAAAATTCATAATTATGAAACGACGTTATTGCTCAAGAGAGATTGTAAAAACGATTGACAAAATTATTGACTTTAAAATACTTTAAAACCGTGATTATATTCGGTTGCATTAAATTAAAGTCTCGTAATTGATGAAAATTTAGGTTCAAAGTTATTGGAAATTAAACTAAATTTTTTTCCAATGTCATGCGAACGAATATAACCACATTTTTAAGCTTTTCAAGCGAAGTTGTTACCTTTGTTTTCGGGGGTAAAAAAAAAAAAAAATACAAATGTAAGTAATTGGTTTTGACAATTGAAATAGGCTTACAAAATAATAATAATAATAATAATAATAATAATAAAATAAAGAAAAATGTAGTTAATTGGTTTTGACAATTGATCATTCCAATTGATATAGTCACAAAGACGACTGTTGTCCTGCTCAAGCTGGTAGGCTTGGTAATTTTGAAGCGTCATTTACAAAGGAGGATACTTGAATCATCTCCCCCATTGAAATATAATCCCACACTACTTATCAAATTGTGCGCCAATCCAAGAAAACTTTTTTTTTTTTTTTTTTTGGGAAGGTTCTTTTTTGTTAAAAAAGTATACATTGTCTTTTTAATCCAAGAAAACTTTACGAAAAAGAAAAGCCTGAATGGGTGTGGAGATGCGGGGTATCGATCCCCGTACCTCTCGCATGCTAAGCGAGCGCTCTACCATCTGAGCTACATCCCCATCGTTGCAAATTGATCTGGTTAATATAATATAGAATTCAATTAGTAACCAAGAAAACATAAACAAAAGCTGATACAAAAAGGAAAAGAAGCAAGAAGATAACATACGATGCAACACTGATCAATACTTGACAATAGTAATATTGTTTAAATAAGTACTGAGTTATTAGTACATATAGTTATGAAGTCTCACACTGCTCTCCAAAACAAGGAGAGACTCCACAAATTAAGCTCTTACATACTCCATATATCTCAATTAACCTTCGATCAAGTGGGGATGAACCTCAATCCTAGCAACCCCTTCTTTGACCTCAGCAGCCTTAGGCACCTCAACCTCCCCAACCACCAACTCAGTCACCTCACCATCCAACCTCTCCTCCTCCTCCACATAATTCGGATCCTTCTCGTCCACCGCCGCTGGCACTGCCTCCATCTCGTTCTCCGCCGGGCCCTCCCACGTGTACTTCCCGCCGTGGCCAAACTTGGGCGGCCCATGGGCCAGCGGAAGCCCATCAGCGGGGTGGCGCTCCATTCGATGCACGCCTTTGTCCACCAGCTTCTTCTCTGTGTACTTCAGCTTGTCGATGTTTTGCTTGCTCACTTTCGCTTTCTCTACGGGTTTTCTTCCTTCCTCGTCTCTGCTCACCGCTCGGAACGTCAGCGTTTCCTTCTTCTCATCAACGGGCTTCATTTTCTTCTTCTCGTCTACGGGTTTCATTTTCTTCTCTGCTTCTCGAGCTTCAGCTGAACTGGGATTTCTTGCTGTATATATATGTAGCTCTCTATAATATATCTGACCTGTCTGTGTTAGCAATGGAGATGAGAGAATATATAGATGCATGTATGTATATGTACGTGTAGAGAGAGAGTGGGGTTTAGATGTTTAGAAAGTGCTGGAAGGTTTCTTTCTAGGCGAGGTAGTGCTAGAAGGTTCAGCTAGCTGTCGGTATGGTTATATTCATCATACGTGTACATATCTGGTAACTTTGCATCTATTCTGGACTACAGTAATTTCTCGTTGACGAGAGGCTAAAATATAGTATATTTCCTGCTGTTGAGAGCCACGTGCGCGTGAGTTTTGCTCAGGTGGGCCCACTTGCTGAGGCCCATCATCTCTAACCGTCAAAACTTCATTGGTTCTGGTGTCGGCCGTATTACAAAAAGATTCGATTTTATTATTTATTAATAATAATAAAAATTGAATGAATTATACCAAAACGCCTATGCTTGAGTTTGTGTTTGTTTTTTACTATTTTTTTTTTTAAAATTAAAAAATAAGTAAATTTTGAATTCATGTGTCGAACTCATAAACAAATACGAAAAGGTTGCGAAAAAACATGAGATAAATCCGTCAATCCAACTTCCACAAGCCCTGGATTTCATGATAAACAGGAGATCGATAAATATTTGCGTGGGAGATGGCCGTTTAAATGCTTGGATAATCAAGTGTACGTCCATAGATGTTTGGGTTACAAATTGCTCCATATTTGTGGAATATTATTATACGTACTATGTACTTCATATACTGGCTAAGATTGTTAAACAACTTGTGGTAAATTGGCACTCACTACATTGATTTAATGTTAGTTGGTCTGTTTGGTGCAAAAAAATAATAATAATAATAAAATAAAAAATAAACAATGTTCAAAGTTCTTTTATTCCCGAGTGCTGGCATTTTCATAATTGGCTTATAGTATGCATAGAGTACTGGCATTGAACTTCTAATAATTGACTTACAGTATTATCCTGATTTAAGTCTCACAAAGTTTTTAAATAGATGTTGTTTTTTACTTTGCATACGTTCTTGTTCCTATTTCATTATGTGTGTTTTAAATTTTGTCACTTTTACATTATTACTTTCGCTTTATGTGATTTTAAATCATTCAAATTCATATGATAGTGACAATAATTTTATAAATAATAATATGAAAAGGAATCATATTATCCTAAGTAAGATCTTAAGATCTCATTACATAAGGTGTAGGGCCCATTTGGGAAGTGTTGTGTAATGTAGTGTAATACTCTAGCCTAGAACAGAACAAGTATTTTGTGATGTAGTGTTTTGAAATGAGAACAAAACATGTTTGGGATGAAAATTTAGAGTGAAAATTTTGGAATAGAAATTATTATTATTTTTTTTTATGATTAAAATAAATTAATTACAGAGCTTGATTAGTTTGCAAAACAAGAATTACAGAGCTTGATTAGTTGATTTAGAAAGAAAAAAATTAAAACAAAACCCATACACACAGAATTGCAGTTGCAGAGAGAGAGACTAGGGCAATTGGGAGGCTGAAATGATTTGTCCTAAAAATGGATTTGCAAAGTTGAGAACGAGAATAGAGATGGAGGCGTTTGGGAGGCTGAAATGATTTGCCCTAAAAAAAATTAAAACAAAACCCATACAAGTTTGCAGTTGCAGAGAGAGAGAATAAAGATGGAGGCGTCTGGGAGGCTGAAATGATTTGCCCTAAAAAAAATTAAAACAAAACCCATACACACAATCTAAAACAAAACCCATACACACAATCAAAACCCATACAAACAAGAATTACAAAGTTTGCGAACGGCGAACCAGAACTAGAATAGCGGGCGAAGGAAACTGAAAGATGTGGGTTTTGATTTTTTGAACAATCTGAAATGATATGGCGATATGGGTTTTTAACTTCACATATCTGAAGATTTTGTAGATTTTGAACTTCTGATCCTTGTAGATTTTGTAGTTTGCAATTGCATAGGGAGGGGGGGGGGGGACGGGAATACAAATGGAGGTGGGTTTTGAACTTCTGATCCTTGTAGATTTTGTGTTTGCAGTTGGAGAGAGAGAGAAAGGGAGCAAGTTCCGGAGTTGAGAACAAGAATAGAAAGGAGGCGATTGGTAGGCTGAAATGATTTGCCCTAAAAAAAAATTATTATTATCTCCGCTACAGTAAAAAAAAATGGGCCTGGAACAACATAAAACACCAAATTGTTGTTCCAACTTTTGAGCCAAATATTGGATTTGTTCTGAAAGTGTTTCACCACTGTTAAGAACACAACAAGGCGAGCCAAACAACATGTGTTCTGAAAATGGATACTGTAACACTATAGTGAACAACACAGAACATGGTAGAACAAACACCAACCAGGGCCATCTTACATTTGTGGAGCAAATGAAGATTAAAAATAGTATAAAAATATGTGATTAAAGAACAGAAACATTGATTTTATCTGAGTTAAAAGGCGTCAAAAAAAGGAATGTGTAGGCTAGAGCCTTTAGGAAGACACTGTAAAAAGAAATAAAATATAAAATATCAAAATAGGCCAACCATCCTAAGTTGCCTACGTATCTCAAACACAAGAAACATGTCAAATGTAATTTGTTCAATGCATTAGACTGAGTTTAAACCAAAAAAAAAAAAAAAAACAAGTATGGTTAAGAATTTAAAAAACCAACCAAATACAAAAAGAAACAAAATTATTCAACTTTATCAACATTCTTGCCTTGGTCCCATTCAAATGAGGGACCACGTGAATTCTTCCCCTTGTTTTTTAAAATTTTCACGATCATCATGAAATGAGAAAAGGTTCCAATTCCGGTTATATATGTACAAAATGAAAAATGTGCACCTTCTTCACCTACATTTTGTCTAGTGAAGTATGCATGTACATGAACCATACTTAAATATAACACCCTCAAGGTGCTTCAGGACCATCTTGCCCAGATGCATGCCTCGACATGGGTGGTCCTTTATTCTGAAGGACCACCCTAATACGGTGAACTTCGCAAACTTAGTTCATAAAAGTTAGTCACCAACACTTCAAGCATGACATGAACCTTAAGAGAAAGAAACTTCTCTCTTAAAACACATCCGATTGATAACTGACCTCGGATCTGACAAAAGATGTTACCCTTAGAAATGACAATCGTTTTGTTGTCAGTATGTAAAAGTAATTAACTAAAGTTAAATAAGAAAGAGATAATGAAAAGGGAATTTGACACATGAATCCTCATTAAACAATCTCAGCCAGAAATTGTGCAAAAGTATTTCCTAATACATTGTTACAACATCAATGGAAGTTAAATTAGACTCTTCAACTATTATGTCAGTCTTTTTAAGTCTCTAAAGGAGACCTAAAATTAATTCTTCAAATTACAAGCATTACATATAGACGAAATTTGAAAGGATAATTAGAAATGGACCAAAAGGGGGGTGGGGGTGGAACAAAAACAACAATATACCTTCAATGCTCAACAGGCACACACATATTGATATCAGGAGTTGGTCTCTGATCCGATATGGGCTCTGAGCCATCCCAGTCAGAGCTATCAGAAGACGGTACATTTAGGTTCTGCCTATCCCTTATGTTGTTATCTGTTTGTCCAGGGCTTTGTATGGGTAATTGAAATATTGGAGCTATTGGAGTCAGAGAGATATTGCCTCCGGTTGCTGCTTGTAAGATTGGTGATCTAACTGCTGTTCCCAATTTTACAGCACCTGGGACAACGGAAGCCAATCCAGGATCATGTTGGTGCTTTCTTTTATGTGCCTTGTAACCATTTGGCATGAAGCTTCCCACCACCATCTGGAAAATTAACCAGAAACACATAATTTTGTAGTGCATGAAGTTTTGATGGGATTAAATTTAGCTGGATGAGTGTTTTGCTTTTGAAACCAGACTTATTTTATTGAGGAAAGCTACCATCAATTGCGTACGATCATCATAAACAACATTCCGCACATGCATCTTATAAAGCACACATTTATTCCCGCAGCTAATGCGTGGTCTAATTGACATGGACTCATGGGAGAAAGAACGTGAAGCAGACTAATGGGGAGTTGGCAAGAATTTTTGAAACATTTTAATCAAGAGGGAGAAAAGAATCAAGATAGAGAGACAACCCCAAAGTACTAGAGCCTTTTTAGTCAGTTTACAATAATGTGTTCCCTGGTGATACAGAAGTGGCATTGACAGACTTCTATTTGGAGAAGTCAGAAATTCCTGATTCCCCATAGTCCCAAGAAGAAAAAGACGGAAGAAAAGAAGTTCTTACTTGAATTGGACTAGCAGCAATTAAAAAACCAGCAATGCCACCACCAATCACACGACCATCAGGGCCAGCTAATGAGACACTTAATCCACCAGTCCTACTTCTCACATCGCCATTTTCGGAAATTGCAAATGACCCAGTTAAAGATAATATCTCAAAGCGTCCCTGCATGAAATAAAAATTTTAAAAAATAAATAATGATGGCTATAAGGAAACTATCACACAATAATATAACAATTAACGAGTAAATGATAAAATGCGCAATAAGTTGGATTGGAATTTAAGAGACTTTAAAATCTGGGAGTCGTGGGACAAAGGAAGATCAATGACCCAAGACAAAGTTTAGGATTTATTCCATTGATGATCATATAGGTTTTATTATTATTATTTTGTCCTTGGCGAGAAACTCACGCACCTATATGCTCCTATGGGGACCTTATTTTTTTTTTGGGTAAGTGCTCCTATGGGGACTTCAACCCTCAACATCCACTTTTAGAGGCAGAGGAGATACCATTAGGCTACAATGCCCTTGGTCCAAAAATATTTAGTTTCCATGATATAAATTCTATTAGAATTATGTAGCTTTTCCAACACGCTTATGTCTCAAGACATTTATAGACACTCTATTTGTTCTGTTGAAATCACTTTTTAAAGAGAAAATCATAATATAGGTTTTCATACAATAACACCTATATAGATACATATGCCTCTCACACATTGCAGATCAGAGGTGGAAACAGCTCCACCCAAATTTTGACAACAGCTGTCCTTTACATAAAAATAGTACATGTTTCAAACCTGGATTCCACACAATGTAGGACAGTGTAGTTGTTTCCAATGATCAAATTCATTCTCCCATTTGAGTCATATTGAAGTTTTTCAACACATACAAATATATATATATTTTATATATATATTCCTTGGCAAGAAACTCACACAAACATTAACCCTTTGAAAACTTGAACCCTCACAACCACTTTGGGAGGTAGAGTAGATACCGCTAGGCTACAGACTTTGGTGCTCTAACACATACAAATATTGAAATGCTAAAAGCTGACCCTTTATCTTCAAATTTTTTACTTCATTTCAACAAGGTGATGGAAGTAACAGTTGTTACTGAGACGACACGACAGAAATAGACAGCGCAAAGAGTGTCAAAATATTGAAGCATTGTAGATCATTTCTTAATTCTTGCTAGTGTGGGAAACGGGATTGTTGAATTGAGCTTTAGTAACACGAGCACAGAAATACGTTCTTCATCATTTTTTATTTTTTATTTTTGATAAGCAATGTTCTTCAAATTGATTCAGTTCAAAACTGTTAGGCTTAAACCATTGAAACAGGAAGTTTTCTTTAGTGAATGAAGTATCCCTCATGTTCGTTTGGTGGCAACTTTGATAAGGAAAATTAATTAGCAATAAGATGATCATGGCCTAATAAGCACATACCCCTTTTGTTACAGCAGCTCCCAATAAATTCCCATTCAGATTATACAATTCTCACAACCTAACTATTTCTTGTAGCAGGGATTTAAGAACATACCAAAAAGACCAAGCTCAAAATGCCTATAAAATTATCTCTCAAAAAAAAAAAAAGCCTATAAAATTGGGGAGAGCATCTGATAACAAGACTATCCTTGAAACTACAACCAGTGTACACACATATATATATGTGTGTGTGTGTATATATATATATATAGTTTAAGACTATAATTTAGAATGCTATGAATTATTTAAGCAACCTAGAAAGAAACATTCTTCCCATCAAATGGAAAAACCAGAAAGGGGATAATTGTACACCAATTACAAAAATAAAAATCCCATTGATGTTAAAGATGTAGTCCACATGCATAAAGAAGGATTGGAAGCAATTTTAACGGAAAGAAAAATAGAACCAGACAGAAATCGTGCCTCGTAAGTCAAGATACCACCAGAAGAACCCGGTTGACGAATAGTAACATTAGAAACAGCTCCATTGGCCGAAAGGACACAAATTCCTCTAGGACCCTTTTGAGAAATTGAAAGGATCTTTGCTGTAACATCCTGCAAGTCACGGGATGAAATTTCTAAAAGATACCATAATAAATTTATTTGAGATTGAATAGTACAAAGACATATCCCCTTTTAATAAGTTACTTCAACTATGAGGCAAATCAAAGTAATAGATCAATAAGGAAAATGAAAAAAAGATTATCAATTACCTCCCCTGTATTCACAGCAACCACATGTGGCGTGAAGTCACCTCCAGCCGTGTGCGCAAACATCTCACCTTTACAGATTAAACAATGAATATTAAGGTAAATCTAAAAATAAAAAATAAAAAGCACTACATTGCATCATGTGAGATGTGGAAAAACATTTACAATCCCACTTAATAAAATCACCAATTTCATGATTCCGCTGTTCATTGATCACAATTAACTCAAACCACTTTGGACAAATGAAACCCTAATTTTCATTCTCTTATGAAATCAAATACCCTAATTATTTCAAACTCCCACAACCGCCATAAAAACCAAAGAACCCAATTTCACTATAAGATAACTGGGTATTTGCTAAGGTAGGTGCATAATGTATAAATATCCATATATGTGTAGCTATGTATAGCAATGAGTTAATCTCCAGAAACAAAGACTTGAATATCTTGAACTCACCTAAAGAAGCAAGTATCTGCCAGTTACCAGAACCAGGTGGGCGACCACAACCTCTTTTGGAGGAAAAATCAGAAGAAGGGGACAGAGAAAATCCTGGTGGTGGTGATGATACATATGACAGTCTCAAGTTACCATCTGAATCATACTTTCTTGGCCTCCCTCTCTTCTTTTTCCCCAACAGATCAACACTGTTTCCACCACCAACACCAACACCTTCTATTGGGGCTCCTAGATTTCTCTCCATGCTCATGTTCATCACCGGTGGCACACCACCACTCGCCGCCACCGGTGGTGACTCAGTCTCTGATGTACCTAGTGATGACCCAGATACAGTACTCTCCTTCTGTTCCATTCCGAGCATTCCTCTTCAAAAATGGGTAGTTGTAGAGAGAGAGATGGGAGAGAAGTTTGAACAGGGGTTTGGTCTGCAAAAGGCGCCAGAAATTGGAAGGTCTCTTGGTTTTAACTTTTAGTAGTTTGGTGAGACTATTGTGGAGTTTGTAAATTGAATTCCCTCCATTGATGGGGCATGGATTCGAAGAAAAAGACTGCAAAAAAAACGAAGCTGATGTTGTCTTGTCTGTCTGGGACCTGTCTCGACCGTGGTGAGACTTACAAGTATGACCAGTGTTTTTCTTCCACAATTACCCTTTCAACTTTTTTTTTTCCTTTGATTTAGGATAATGGTTTTTTTTTTTTTTTTTTTGGGATAATTTCACTGACACTCCAGTAGTTTGGCCAAATATCAGTTTAAAACATCTTTTGAAAATAACTATCACTCACATTACAAACGTTTGCTCCGTTTTTTACTCACACCCCAAAAGTTAGTTGACAGGTGTGTCAGACTACTTTTTACATGTAAAAAGACATTATTACCCTTTGACTTTGGGTTGACCTGTTTAATTATTTTTTTATGATTGAAATGACATATTTACCCTTATAATGTTAGACTTTTATACCCCTCACATGTTTTACTCTTCTCTAACCTTGATGGTCTACGAAAGCATATTCCTGTGTTTTGCATAGGAAGAAAACCACTCGTGCTTGTGCTTGTGCTTGTCGACCTAAGCTCATTCCGATCAGACCTAAGCTCGTGCTTGTCGCCGGTGAGAGAGCTTGATGTTGGTTGACAATGAAGCAAGAACTGGGTTGCTGCAACTCTGCAACTTCCGGTGAATAAAACATAGGACTTTGAGGAACCAATCCTCTGATGGGTGTTGGGTTAGGATTAGGTGGTGAAGTGCTCGCCGGAGTTGATTTAAATGAAATAGTGTACATAGAATGTTTGGTTTTCCAGTTTCCACCATTACTTTTGATAAAAAAAAACTTCTTTTCTTCTCAACAGTCCCTATGGACTCTCTCTGTCTCTCTCCGCAAAGAAACCTAACAACAGAGGTCTTCTGTGACGACAGAAGTTTGATACACCATATCACTCTCAATTCCTCCTCAATCGCCTTTATCATCAACCCCATACCCAACCTCTCAATCGTCACCCGAGGATACGACCATGGATCACGATCTTAATCTGACCCACAACGAACTGCTGTCACAAACGGCCTGAGACAGCAACGATTCCTGTCACGACGCTCCTCGAACCCAGTTCCACGACCACAGCCCGATCTTGATTCGACCCACAGCGAACGGCGGGCGCGACGCTGCCTTTGTGGTGGTGGTGACTTGTGAACACTGTTGTGGAACATCACGAAATCATGGAGGGCCACCGCCGTTTTGAGCTCGCCACGTTGCGATGGTCGTCGACTATCTCTCATGTTCTCTGTTATATATACATGTACATATATATATTTACCCATATATATATATATACCTCTGTGTGTGCAAATATATGTGTGATGTATATGATGGGTGTGTCTGCAATCCAAACTGTTTGTTCATGGATATATACATAGCAGCAAAGCAAACAGACATTAAAAATTCCAAACGAAGCTCTGTTTTGAAGCTCGTCAGTCTTTGGTTTGATGGAGTGTTGGACACTCGTCGGTTCCCTTGTTTTTTTTCCCTCTGCCGAATCAGTCTCGGTTGCCGGACCAGTGCACTGACCTTCGCCGGCGATCTGTATAATCAATCAAGTTCTGCATCTCCAAATTTGTCGTTGTAGTTTCTGATTGCCGGAACAGTTCTTGCTAAACTGTAAGTTCAGTCTCCTCGGTTCAGTCCGTGCTCACCGGCTCAGTTCGCGTCTCGCCGGGCACGATAGTTCTTGCTCTTGCCGTTCCGTGTTTACCGTTCAGATCTTTGTCAAAACAACTCTCTACTCCTAATCGTCGTTCGGATCCGCTCATATATATATATATATATATATATATATATATATATATAATTATATATAATTTGTAATTTTATAAATGTGATTAAAAAATTAGGGGCAAACATGTCTTTTCACATGTTTTTAACGGAGGCAGTAACGGAAAAACAAAATTGAACCTAACTGATAGTTATTTTCGAAAGATGTTTTAGACTGATATTTGGCCAAACTATTGGGGGTGTCAGTGAAATTATCCCCCTTTTTTTTTTTTTGGTATGTTTGTAAATTGCAACTTCTTGAGGAAGAGAAATGGACAAAGTTGGAATACGCTGGTGTAAATTATTGAGCCGCATTACAAACTCTTAGGGGGTGTCAATACAAGAGTATTATAATAAATAGATAAATTTAAACTTAACCTATTAAATAATTATGTCAAGAATCTTTAACATTAACTCAATATGTTTATTAAATAGATAAAGGCGTTAATTTGTTTAATGATCCGTTTATATTTAATCAAATAATAAGTAATAAAAAAAATTTGTCACAGTTAATCTAAATATTCAAAATAAGAAGAAAAATCATAAGGCGTAGACAAACTCAACCATAACACGACACGGTTAAGTAAATGAGTTATTAATCGTATCAACCGGTTTAAGGTCAATTCAAACCTGCTTATATCATGTTGTGTACGGGTTGTATCGTAATTTGCCACTCCTATATTCCTTTTATATGACTAAAAAAAAAAAATCATTAATTTCCATATGGGTTGAAAATTTGTGCAAATCCTTTTCCATTCAAATTAAGAATTTATCCAAATCCTTTTTCATTTAAATTTGATTTGAGTCAAGAATTTGCAACACCTTGGTCACGAAATTAGCATAGTTTCTTTATGTTTTTCTTTTTTAGGTGTTGTCAATATGAAAATTTAGAAACAATAAAAATGAAAAGTTATGAACTCATAATTAATGACTCTACAAATAGTTTTTTTTTTAATTATTTTTTATTGTTTTGGCTAGTACCGGAACTCACATTGGCAAGGCTCCTTCGGGACCCACCCGAGGTTACAAACCAGGGATGCTGTCTACGGCCCTACACCTCAACAACAGTTTCAGTCGAGAGTTATAATAGCGATGGATGGGTTCGAACCTGGGACATGAGCATTCTCAGGTCTACCTTACCAACTCTGTCAAGTCCACGGGAGCTACAAATGGTGCTTTATTACCTAACTTTCTTTTAAAAAAAAAATAAAAAATGAAAGAATCGTTGATATCATATTCCTTGTCAATTTAATAAATTTAATTAAAGGACTCTTATCGTCATAATTAATATCTTTTGTTACTCTTAAAATCAACATAGAAATAATCAATTGCAGCATAATATAATTGGTTGTGTAATACTAGCTAGAAACTTACTTTCACACCATACTTTCCAGTTCAAATTTTAGCATGTCGATTAAACCCTAAATAATTTGTGTATTTTACTCTCGTGACAGTCAGTCAATGTTGGCTCCAATAAATATAATACGGAGTAGGGAAAAGAATTAAACAATTGGATTTTCAAATACATGCCCCTGATAAAAGTAGTAGCTATATATATATATTATAATTTAAACCTCACGCAGAGTCCTAACAAAAAGAAAAAAGAAAGGAAAAGAAAATACTCATCTTTTGAAAGGAGAGTCTATATATTAAAAAGAGAAATTCATAATGACATATGAGTGTTTGACACCACACACATATATAATATATGTATATATATATTTAATTCTTTGATGTGCACAAGAAATTGAATGAGTAAACTTCAAGTAAAGCTGCAATGTGATAGTCAAAATCCTTATCGGCTTTTTTCCATGTGAATTGATTCTTCTACTACTCACTCCCAGACTTGATTCCCCAGTTAAGACCTTTTTTTCATTTTAAAAATTAATACTTTGCATGGTTAGGTCGCTCAGTGTATATCTTATATATATATATATATATTTTTTTTTTCAGTCAAAAATTGACTCGGTAACAGGGACCTAACAAAAGGATAGAGATAAAAACAATTAGTAAAAAACTGTAAGAATGACGGGTCTAAATTCAGATCGACTGGAGTGATACTTGAATTGAAGCTCCGTTTCAAACCTGACGTCATTCATTTTTTATTTATATTAATCTTGAAGTGCCACATATTTAGCATTACGTCATATGACCAAGTTTCACATGGTTAAAACAGAATACACATGCACAGTTCATAGACTGTTGTGTATTGATCCTAGTTTTGTCATTGCAGATGTTTACCAAAACCAGAATTCAAGTTAGTGAGTTCATGACTTGTAGTTTTGCTTTGATATAATACCATTTTACATCTAAGAAATCTCAAAATCTCAAATTCAGATTAGGTTTTGTTTCATAGGGCTGGTGTCCTGAAGAAATTAAGAGGAGGTTACTTGCATGGTATTAGGGCTTTCTAAGGCTTCAATTATGAAGTTTACACTAACAAGTGGATTCAACAACTTCCACAACTAGTGTTACCGTGCAACTTCCACCACCGCCACCACCATCATTACCACCACCAACTTCCACTACCACTGCCACTATCACAAACGCCGCCTCCTCCACCTCCACCGCCACTGCCACCGACTTCCATCACCGCCACGGTCACCACCATATTCCATCACTGCCACCTCCATCTCCACCTCTACCATTAACGCCACCTCCACCACCATCTTCATCGATTTCCATTACCACTACCACCGCCTTCCACCACCTTCTGCCGCCGCCGCCATCGACTTCCATCACCATCACTACCTTCTACCACCTGCACTGCACCACTACCGCCACCATCTCCACCGATTTTCATCGCCACCACCTCCACCACCACTACCGCCACCTCCACATCCACTACCACCGCCACCGACTTCAATCCTCACCACTACCTTCCACCACCACCGCCACCGCCACCTCCACTGTCACCGCCATCGACTTTTACCACCGCCACATCCACTACCATCTTCCACCACCGTTATCTCCACTGCCTTCCACCTACACCATTGTCGCCTTCCACCACCACCACAACTGCCAGCTTCCACCATATATCATCACTTACACCTTCCACCATGTATTACCACCACCGCCATTGCCATAACCAATGCCTTGTACCAACACCCTGCTACTTTTCACCACCACCACCTTACAACACCACCACCTACACCACTATTAGAGCTGTCAATGGATCGGATTATGATCCGAATCCGATCCGATTAGTCAGATATGGATTGAACAAAAAATCTGATTACCTGTTTATGATCCGAATTCGATAACCCGTTAGCTTAACAAATTGGATATGGATTTTATCGATCCGATCCAATAATAATCCAATCCGAATTAAAATTATATATATATGAGTCCAGCCCCAAAGGGCCAAACCCATCTCCAAGCCCACTTCGTATTTGCAAACCCATTTCTTATTCCCAACTCCCAAGCCCATTCCTCCTTTAATCTATCTAAACCCTAACCATACATAACTCTCATATCTATATATGTTCTCTCACTTACACTACCCTTGCCGCAAAACAACGATTTCCCCAAACACTTCCGAGTAGCAGAGCTGCAACACAAATCAGAAAAACGAACCCATCGATCGGCGACCGCTGCAAAATATTACTCCTCTCAGGTTAGTGTTCTTCCTTTCTCTCTCATCTGATCTCACTTTTAATCAGAATTTTTGCTTTGATTCCTTCAAGCTCTTAGTTGAGCTTCTTTTTTTTTGTGATTTTTTCCCTCAATCTGTGTTAGGTGGGAACGGAGGCCCATAATATTCAAGTTGTGCACTCAGATCTCACCCCACCCCTAAACTAGGCCTTCAACACCGACATCCCCTATAGTGCTTTTTTTCTTGTTCTAAATGTTGTGAAAGGGCATAAAGAAGAGCAAGTCTGTTACCCCAAGAACTAGGGCAAGTAGGAATCAACCCCAACAGCAGAAGACTATCTGATGGTCAAACAGAGGAAAAAGATCAGTTGTAGAACCGTTGAAAGTGGAGTTTTGTTTGCGCCAACTATTGATCCTTTGTTACCTACTGATATATATTTTGCCCTAATTCCTAATTTGTGTTGTTCTTTTTTTCTTCTCTCTTTCATAAAATCTTTTAGTTATTTTCTTTTGTTTTCCTTCTATTATTCTTTTCTCTCTTAATTTGATTTTTATTACATTTTTTGGTGTAAATATTTTCATAATTTTATCTCCAGAAACTCTCTCAAATTTTTTTTTTTTTTTTTTTTTTTTTTCTTTCACATTTCTTTGGTTGATTTCTGCAAGCGTGTAGTTTACATTATTGGATCGGATATCCGATAACCAAACAAATCGGATACGGATTGACTAAGTAAAAATCCGTCGAATTATCGGACCAGATCGAATCACTCATTATGCTTATCGGATTCAAATCGGATTGACCATGATCCGGTCCAAATCCGATCCGTTGACAAGTCTAACCACTATCGCTTTCCACCTCCACCACCATCAACCATTGCCACTATTTCTTTTAAAAAATAATTATAGAAGAATGTTATTTTGTCAATTAAAATTATTTATCACTAACATTGATATTTTGAAAAATTCAATTTGAAATTCATTATTTTCTAAATTTTACATTAGTACATTCCTATAGATTTCATATTTTCATATTTGCAATCAAACAATAAAATGATAATGACCATTTCATTCCATTCCCATTGTCATTCCATTATCACTTGCATTACATTTCATTACTGCACACCAAACGCATCATTAGATCTTAGTAGGGGTGACAATTTATACCCAAACCCGCCTATTAAAATTAAGGACAATACTTAAGTCCTCACCAGTGAGAATTTATATTGCTTTCACTGCTGATGTGGACTAATAAAAAATGAATACATTTTCTTTAATTACCAAATCCGATATGAATGAATTGACAGGACAATAATGGGCTAAGAATGAGTACCCATCTTAACCCACTCAAATAAAACCCGTATTCTCTCTCCTCCCCCTTATTTCTCTCTCCTCTGTTTTCTCTTCTCTTCCCTTTTTTCCTCTCCTCCGTTTCTCTCCCTTTCCTCTCATGCATTTCTCTCTGTCTCTTATTTATTTTATTTTATTTTTTCTGTATGAACCCCTGACTTGAAATCCTAACTCCGTCTCTGCATGAAATAGATTTGTAAGTTACTCACCGGTATACTATCAATGTAACGGGGTTATAGTTCCTGTTCACCTTAATTGCCGGCGGCATTGCCACTTACTGTGGTTTTTTCTTTAGCTTTGGTGAAAAAATTAAAACTGAAACCGAAATTACAATGTTTGGTTTACGTGCCTTATTTCTAATAATAATTTTTACAGCCTACCTTGCCTTTTTCTTTTCGGTAATTAATTATTTGCATGCCTTTGTCACCATTGCACAATATGTATGTGTTTTTATTCAAGCAGCTTAAAACTTCAATCTATTTTATTAATATGTGTGGTAGTTGTACACTTGTACAAATTAAATTCCTTGCCCAAATTCAAACAACATATTGTCATATTGATACAACGGGTATATATATATGCGCGCAAAGATACTTCACTATCAAAAAAAGAAAAAAGTAAATACAAACATAGTTGTGTGTTTATGTATGTACAATATAATATATGTATGTGAAAAGAGGTAAAATTATAGTTGATTATTTACCATATATATATATATAATGTCTGAAACAAAAAAATTTGTTTAAGAATAAATTTTCCTCTTTTTTTTTATATATATATTCAACAACTAAAATAACTTGACAATTTGTGTCTAAAAATATTTGGATCATTGGATTAGGTGTGAATTGACTCACCCATTTAACACTCAATTCATTTATAATCCACTATAAAAGAGTTAATAACAGATTATTGATCCATTATTGACTTATCCATGCATAACCAGCTCAAAACCCGCCCAAAGGCTCCAAACCCATCTCAGTTTTATATTTTTTATTTAATTAATTATTTTTATAATCTTTTATTTTCTTCAACTTTTGATTTTTATATAAACGTTTACACTGAAGAGATCTTTTAGCTATTATGTAATTGATTTATGATTTTTTTATTTATAAATATTAATTTAAAGTTATTTTTAAAATTTATTTCACTACATAATAATTTACTTTGCAACAACTCTCGCATTGCTTTGATTAGTTCAATTGCTCTCTGTAGGTGCTAAAGTCTGGTATTACTCTTTGTGAATTTCAAAGCGTTAGATACCAATATCCAAGATTCTGTTGGTACTTCACAAAAATAAAATAAAATAAAATAAATTGCAGATTCTGTTAGAATTTTGGCTTTATTGTTTGGAGTTTTTCAAATTGCTTTACATTTTGATGAAGTGAATTTTGCTTAGGTGTATTTGAATTATAGGGCATCTTTTTATTAATTAGACACTCTTATTTTGGTAAAAGAACTGACAGTATATCATTTGTGTGTGTGTGTGTGTGAGAGAGAGAGAGAGAGAGACTATGAATCACTATGCAATTTTGTACTATTGTCATTAGCAAAATCCTTTTTGGTATTGCTCTCTTTATAGTTAGGAATTTAAGTTGAATTTCCTATTTTTCTATTCATTGCTTTTGATGCATTTCATTTACAACTATATGTAACTTGCTTTGCAGAGCTTTTCATTTACAACTATCTGTAACTTGCTTTGCAGAGCTCTCGGTACTTTTTTTAACTTGGGAGAGCTGAGTAGTCTCATCTTACAAAGTTGATTTTTATTATTTCGATTGTTAGTATTTTTATTATTATTATTATTATTTTTTTTTTGTCCATCTTATTTTTTGTTAATATCATGAATTTTGTGTATACTTTATGTTAGTATTACACTTTTTTTCTTTCTTTTCTTTTTTTCATTGGTGGATCAATATATAATATGGGCGGCATTGAACCTCTCCAAATAGAGTCTAAAATCCTCTCCAAATAGAGTCTAAAAGCATTTTAGTCTGTAAGGCAATGAAAGAAAAATAGTGAGAAAAGAGTCGCTAAAACCAACATGGTAACTGTAAACACGTGAAAACAACCTTAAAAAAAAAAAAAAAAAAAAAAAAAAAAGGTCAAATTCATATTAAACTATCCGATAGGAGATGCGATTACGGCGGATTTACAGTCGCAAGTGCGACTGTGTTTAACAGTCCTCTTTCATAAATAATGGAAAACACTCTTTCATAATTAGCCAACCATTAATCAAAGCTTTGACCCTTTCAGGGAGATGAGGACGAAAATAAATTACTTTGACAGAGCACACTATATGCAGCTACCAGCCCATGGCAACTTTGCACTTGAATCAGTAATCATGTAAAAACATGGGTCTGCTACTTCCGCCGGGGTGGATGGTAAAGCCATTATCATCCCACTCATCATCACTACGGTCACCATCACTCCAGCTCTCATCCGAGCCCTCTTCCGGCACGCTTGAATCACCGTACACGAAGTTCGGAATATGAGAAGCAAGCTTCAAAATATCGTCGTCACCCTTGAAACGTTGGCAGTCTCTAACATCAAAATGCACAAGTTTTTTGCAGCCCTTTAAAATCCTCACAAGAGCATCCCTACGAACATATGTATGCCTTATATCTAAATACTTCATGTTTGGCAGTAATGTGACTATAACCAATGATTCATCTTCCTTAATGTGGCCTCTTGATTCATCTTCCTTAATGTAGCCTCTTGAAATACCGAAATCAACAAAATTCTTGCAATGAAGGTTGACTTGGGTAAGGATTGATTTCATATTATGGGGGCATCCAACCCTTAACATCTGCAAATTTTTCCACTTGCTTATAAATTTTGAAAAGAAGGGACTTTCATTCGATCCAACAAAAGGCAGCGTCAAAAATTTCAAGCCAGGCCACCTGCCAACAAAAAATCAATGTTTTTTCAGAACTGTGATGATTTTCAATTGGTAACATGTAATGTACTCATCTAGCCCTTACCTCCTCCACACAAACCAATGGATAATTATTTTACATACAACAATTCAATAGATTTTCCACTGAAGCACTTTGTTCTATATAGTTCTACATTTGATGCAAAGAACACTAGATATAGAGGAGAGCAGGAAATCAATTGAAGTGTAGGGAAAACTTCCAGGCTTAACACAGACAGTTGGGAAACCGTTTCTTCTAGGAATTAGGAAAGGAAAAGGAAAATCAAATGAGTTTATTAAATTCCTTTATATTTTCCCTCTAGGTTAAATGAGATTAGAAAAGGTCAGATGAGATTAAAAAGTAAAAGATTGTTTAAAGACATTTATATTTTCCCTTCAGGTTAAATGAGATTAGAAAGTGAAAAAAAGGTTAAATGAGCGTAGAAAGTAAAAATATTGTTTAGAGACATTTATATTTTCCCTCAAGTTTAAATGAGATTAGAAAGTAAAAATTGTTACTATAAGACATTTAAAATTGTTAATTTGACCCTGCTTTCCCACAATCTTCTTTCCCTTCCTTTCCACAATAACAAAACTTAAAAAATAACCTTCACGTATCTTATCTTTTCGGTTCCCCATGGAATGGTTGAGTTGGCATAAAACATCTGGGAATGACCCAAAGGTGCGGGGAGGGAAAAACACCCTCCATTAACCCCCGCCCAAAAAAAAAAATTTAATAATTTGCAAACCAAACAACCTAAAGAACAATTCGGATGAATAAATGCAATTTTAGAGCATAAAATAATTATTAAATTTTATTTAATTAAATAATTATTAATTTGCAAACCAAACAACCTAAAGACTATGAACTATTTCGATTTTATTTAATTAAGGAAAGTATAAAAAAACATGTTTAAAAAATCAGAATCGACGGTTATTTGACCGGAAAAAATAAAAACAAAACAACAAAAAGCAAGTCTTTACCGGGGAATCAACAAACTTTACTGAAGAAAAGCTTAATACAACACTACGAAAGGTGAAACCAATGTCGAATGTGTTAAAAACAAAGATTGGGTCAATTGAGATCTGAAATGGGAATTACTACCCAAACCAATTATAAGTTCAAACCAGTTTAGATCTCAAAATCCATAAGAGCTTATCATACAACACGATACACACAGCAGATAGATATAGAATGAATTCAACTAAAAGAAAGTTGAGTTCAGGCGACCAACCTCTAAATTGATGCAGATCAGGACCCTTTCAATTTTGCGATCAATCCGATCAATCTAACAAAGTATAAAAGGAAGTTAACAGGGGAAGTTTACTGGGTTGAGGAGATCTCACATAAACAATTGTGTTCTAGGGATATTTCCGAGGTTGAGAATAGCTAGGAGAAACAAAACCTCAAATTTGAATTATCATATGGGAAAGTGCCCAAAAAAAAAAAAAAATTTGTAAGAAATACCCTTATTAAAAAGGTAAATTACAATGACCTCTCTTTACGTTGACTTCCCTACTCTGGCCACTGAAAGTGTAAAAAGTCAATAATACCCTTATATAATGATAAATTATGTGCTTTAGACTATGTACAATGCAAAATTGTTGTTTTTCATTCCAAAACTGTAATATTCCTAATTTTCAAAAGGATATAAAAGGAATTTAATTATTTATTTTATTGTATTTTACGTACTTACGTGGTTATATGCTTATGTGGCTATATGATTATATGTTTCTTTATTTTAATTGCTTATGTGATTTATTTGATTTAATTGGGTGAGTATGTAGTTAATTAATTGAGTGTTTTAATTGTTTAATTGATGTATGGTTTAATTGTAATTAGTTGTTAGTTAGGATTAAATAATTTAATTGTTTTATGTTTTATTTTATTTTTATTTTAAAGGATGGATATGGATGGTCACAATAGACCAACCAATTAGGTCGCATGGATTACTTGGATGTGAATTGTATAGGTACAAATATTTATTCATGAATGGTTGTACCTATATATATGGGTATATATGTATATAAGGATAGTTTTCTAATTATTATTATTATTATTATTTGTATATAGTAATTTTAATAATAATGAAATAGTAGTATTATATATATAATTATAAGTTATATATACATACCTATATATATATTACGTTAGTTTAGCTAGCAGACTTATATATATATATATATATATATATATATATATATATGTTTTTTTTTTTTATTTTTCCTTTTTGTTTTCCTTAAGTTAGCAGACTTAGGGTTAATATAGGATTAGGGTTATATGTTGTATATATATAATAGTATAGGTCTGTAAGAGGCTAGGTTTTATATATGTGATATATTATATACTTAGAGGCAGAGAGATACAGAGAGGAAAATGTGAAGGAAAATAAGGAGGTTTTAGCAAAGGGTTCAAGGCCGAACCAAGGAGAAGTTAGGAGGCTTGCTCGTGGGTTAAATCAGGAGCGCAGAGGACTGAGAAGGCAGCCAAGAGGTGGCCAGAAAAAAAGTAGAGAAGAATAAGGTTTGAGGGTTTCAATTCGAAATCCTTAAAGGTAAGTTCTTTTCTTACTCTCTCCATTTGATTTGTGTTTCTATACATGCCTAGGAGATTTTAGGTTACTTAAACAATTAAAACTAAATAATTATGCATGTTTAATCAGATTAAAATAGAGAGTTGTATGGTTTTATTTTTATAATCTTGTTTTGAATGATTATTGGATTTTGATGCATGATTATATGTTTAAGTTAAATCTGTTCATGTTAAAACATTTAAAATAAAGTAATATGTATTTATGAGACTTGGGTTGAAGCTTAGAGGCCTTTACAATGAAGTTTTAGGGTTTACAGAGACTGAACTAACGAAGAAGACGACTTCAACATCAACCGAGTCGACTCAGTTGGAATTGAGTCAACTCGATTAGTAATCGAGCCAACTCGGTTGGCAATCGAGCCGACTCGATTGTAACCGAGCCTGCTCAGTTGGGCTGCGACCTTTGATTTTTGGTTTTAAGCATCCAGATTTATTTTAATCTATTTTTAATCAATTATTAAATGATTAAATGGACGCTAGCAAATACCACTATTTTTGGTTTTGGATCTTCCAAATCATTCCTGCAGGAGATCCGGACCCATTTTTTTCTGATCCTTCGATAAAAAGATTCATTCTCTTCATAAAAAATAGGAAGTAGAACCAATAAAGATTTCTTTTTCGATTCATCCCTGGAGTTGAATACCTCATTCAAGAATTGTTTTTGATCCAATCCGTAGGAATCAATAGAAAAGGCAAATCCCTTATGATACACCAGATCCGGCTCGGTTATTGATAGAGTGAATAGATCTGCCATTTCTTGAAATCTCTCTTCTGATTCAAAATCGTGGTGTAACGTGTATCCTCCCCTGTTCCGGTCATGGAATAGATGAAATAAATCAAAAAATGGATTTTTGTTCAAGAAGAAATCCCAGAATGCATAATATACCTATGTGTGCTAAGGATGTGGATAATTGGGAATTAAATAACCTATAAGTTGTTTATTTGGATGAAGGAATTAATTTCATTGCTCTAACAATTTAGATTAATGTCTAAATAGTTTTAAATAATGCTTATAAACCTTTATATAATTTATCTGAGTTGTAGGTTAATTACTTGGAATGTAAGTTAAGTACATACTATTTAAATTATTGTATTTGCTTAAATAAATGCAAATGAAGTGGTTTAAATGGATGAATTGATTGAAATAAATGTTTAAATGGTTTTATTCATGGTTATGAGTTATATATAATTTATCTGAGATGTAAGTTAATTACTTAGAATGTAAGTTAACTACATGTTATTTTAATTATTGTATTTGCTTAAATAAATGCAAATTGTTATCTGTATGATTTATATCATGCTATGTATGGATTAATTGATGTACTATTTTATCTGTTGCATCATTTATTGGATTGTATGGTTTAACGCACCGGTATGGAACGGTGGCATTCTAGGAACGGATTAACCAAATAAGTTAAGTCCTACCTATTTATTTATGGATTGTATGGTTTAATACACCGGTATGGGACGATAGCATTCCAGGGACGGATTAACTAAAGAAGTTTAGTCATACCTATTTATTTATAAGGTATTGGTTAACCATAGAATTAAGTCCTCCTTATTCATGTCAGGCTACTGTATCATATGGATGACATTTGTTTTATACTTATACGGATTTGTATATATATGATTATGGTGCAATGATATGAGCTTGAGTCTAAGGATCATGGTTAGGGTGCGTATATCGCCAGGGATGTGTAGCTAGATATAGTGTAGTTGTGTACCTTGATAGGCATATGTACTCATGCCCACTATATGTGCGTTTTGCATGTTGCCTACTATTCAGGTTGAGATAACCTTATAGTATAGTGAGGTTTCTATAGTGTGTATCTATATATATATACGGACTACTAGTTATTGTTGGATTGATTAGGATGTATATGTGTATCGGATCTCTGCTTGAATTATAGTAGAGTAAAACTTGTTTGTTGGCCTAACCCATCATTATTTTTCAGGTGTTCGTCAGGAGTAGAAGTTGTTCGTACTGAACAGGGATCAGTCTACATCATTTTTCCGTTTCTATTTTGGAGATTCGTTTATGTTTCAGTTTTCAGATGCAGTCATTACTATTACTTGTTTAGTTTTGGATTTGGGTCCACACAGTATGGATTCCCAAGTTGTATTAATGGAGGATTAGTTATATCAGAATGATTTTTATTATTAATAAGAATTTATTCTGAGGAGTTATTGGATTATTATTTTAGTTTTATTTCAGCAAATTATTTATTCTTATTATTTTATTCTTTTGTACTTTGTTTTTGATATCCTCGGGTATTCGGGTGTAGGCTGTCCAGTCCGCATTCGAAAATCCGGGGGTCTGACAAAAGCTATATTTTGAGAAGAGTTACAATGTCAAAATGCTATATTTTAGCAATTCTGCTCCAATGGTGCATTTTATCTAAAATGTTATTTTTTGACACAACAACCATTCTTTTTCAACTACCATTCCCAGCTAACATTCTCAACTATTATTTCTCCATCTATAAAAACTATCATCATTTACCTACAAGCTATCTTCCTTTCTTATAACTTTAGTACTACAATGAGAAATTTAAGAAAAGCGATTTTGAGATGAGATTTCAATGATTCTTCGTTTGATGAAGTTCAAAGCCTGTTACGGAACTTATAGCATCAGAGTTTCACAGAAGAAAAATGCAACGAAATAACCAACCAACTATAAGTGGTCGACGATACATCCATCGTGATAGAATCTTCGGCAACGAGTGACTAATTAAAAATTACTTCGGTGAAAATCCTGTTTACCCAGCTAACATCTTTCGAAGACGCTTTCGAATGAATCATTTATTGTTCCTTCGTATATTAAATGCATTTGAACAATATGATGACTACTTTGTCCAAAAGATTGACGCCGTTGGTTTTATCGGATTATCCAGTTTACAGAAAATGACTGCGGCAATTAAGATGCTTGCACATGGTATACCCATTGATGTTGTTGGCGAGTATGTGAGAATTGGTGAAAGCACAACAATTGAGTTTTTGAAGAGATTCTGTGTAGGAATCATTAGCATTTATGGTGAAGAATATCTGAGATTGCCGACTGAGACGGACATTTCCAGACTGCTATGGGAGGGGAAGAAACGTGGATTTCCCAGAATGTTAGGGAGTTTGGATTATATGCATTGAAAATGGAAGAATTGTCCTACTGCATGGTATGGTCAATTCTCTGGGCATGTACATAAACCAATAATTATACTTGAGGCAATGGCTTCGTATGATTTGTGAATATGGCATGCTTTTTTTTGGTATGCCTGGATCATATAATGACATTAACGTTCTTGATCGGTCTTATCTCTTTGCTGAGCTTATTGAAGGACATGCCCCTCATGCCAACTATACCATCAATGGCAACCAATGCACTATGAGATATTATCTTGTTGATGGTATCTATCGTAAATGGGCAACCATTGTCTAAACGATTTCTCAACCTTAAGGATTGAAGAGGCAATTATTTGCAACAAAGCAAGAGTCATATCGGAAGGATGTGGAAAGTTCATTTTGTGCACTACGAGCACGTTTTGCTATAGTGTAGGGGCCGGCAAGATTTTTAAGCCATGAAAATATTGGCTATATCATGAAGACGTGCATAATTTTGCACAACATGATCATTAAAGATGAGTATGATGACTCTCTAGACGACGAGTATGATGCACCCGAAATGGTGCATCCAGTTGAAGTGTCGCGGGAGCCGACACCCTTGTTTTCTGAGTTCCTTACTTGTCATTGTATGATTCGATTTCTGCAATCTATCACGCACTCCGCAATGATCTTGTTGAACATTTGTGGTCACGACAAGAAGATACTCGAAGAAGTGTGTTTCAGATGTCCTTTGTTTGGATCCTTGATTTATTAGTATGTGTGTTTTGTACACTACTATATATTGTACACGTAAGTTTATATATATATATATATATATATTTTTTCAGTGTTTGTATTTTATTTAGCTTGTTTGCCTTGTTAAAAATAAAAATAAAAAATGAATCATCAAATTCATGTTTGGCATTTTCAATACTACAATTCAATAAAATCCATAACAGTGATCCAAAATAAATACATAAGTATAACAAAAAAAAAGTAGATAATCATGGAGATGGGGGAAGATGAACATAATAATCAAGGTTTGTTGAACGTGCTTGTAGTTTGGCAAGAATCTTATCCTTGGGCAGCTAATAATAAACTTTCGCCTAAGGGTCTATGTTGGAGAGGTCCATCATCATAATCTTATCAGCTCCCTCTTTTTTCTTGGCTTCTTTCTCTTCTTGCTCCCTTTAATTCATTTGCTCCATTGCTCTAACTTTTTTTCTTCTATTTCGAAATTCTTCATTTTACTCTCACTTGCATCAGTTACATTTTTGTTAAATTTTTCCATCAAATCACAAAAAATGAGTATATGAAGTATCTGCTATCTTGTTTTTCCTACGTGCTTCTTTTGCAACTTTCCTTCCATTAGGCATTTTGGTTCTTGGGGAGTCAACAACAATTCTGGTTAGATTTTGATCGGAATCGAGAGAAATGGGTGTTTCAGGAATTTGGGATGAGGAAGAGGAATATGGGGTCATTGCAGTAGGCTTTGGCTTTTTGAGGGATGCCCAATCTTCCCACTTAATGCAATGTTTCAAGATCGCCTAACAGTGATCCAAAGAAAAATATTATTCTCATTTTCATAATACATACTTTTTGCTTGAAAAACCTAAAAAATGATATGAAACAAAATTAGATGTATAAAAATTAAAATTAGAACTAACAAGAAAAGTAGAAATCTCACCTTATCTGTTTCATTGATTCCACTTTATTGCATATTTTAGATTTATGTGAGGCCCGCACTATATTTACCACAACACTTCATGATTATGCCCAAACAAGATTATATAGAACCTTGTGTTCGTACATTTTCGTTGTTGCTGTGATCAAGATAATTTTGGAATATTCGACTCCAAAAATTACTTTGTGATTCCGAGTTACCAACAATTGGATATTGGGTAACGCTAAACCAAGCATTGCAAATTGCTACATCTTGATCCGGCGTCACGACTCCAAAAAAGCATAGCCCACAATGCTCGAGCATAACCCTAGTGCTCGAGCACTGTTCATCGAAACAATGTTGTACTCGAACACAACCCTTTATGCTTGAGCACAAAGTCGCGGAACAGTATTCGCAGATCTATGCTTAGCCTGTAAATCCATGATTTTGGTCCTATATGATCACCAATGATTTAGACAACGAATATACAAAAGATCAAACAATTTAAAACAAGTTTTATGCATCAATTCAAAGAATTCATCAGGTTGAAGAATAAATACATATAAAAACGAAATCATTCAATTCAATTCATGCATAACAATTAATTGATTAATTTAATTATCTGATTTAATCCCTAAAATTTAGTGTGTGATGGATAGATCATAGATTCAAAGGGAAAGAGATAGATAAAGAACTTGCTTATCATTTTCGGATTGAAATCAACTATATAAACTTTTCGATTTTCTTCTCCAATTCCGGCAACCTCCAAACTATCTCTGGCTACATTCTTTTTCCTTTTTTCTCTTTCTATCTTTCTCTCTCTAGATCTCTGCCTTTTTTGTAACTCACGTATATGTAAAACCCTCTTCTTCTAACTATTACATGCGCACACACACACACACAAACCCACAAATACTAACCTAAGACTAACTAAAATAAAATAATAATAATAATAATAATATCATTATTAGTCTCCAAACGTATTAATTTACCAAAACAATATCCACATGATATACATATATATGTATAAATAATATACATATTTATGTATGTATTAATATATGTACACCTTCCCATGGGCCATACTTCTATATAACTTAGTTAGGCCTTTTCCAATTAGCCCAAACCCATTCCTTTGGGTCAAGTAATTCCAAGCCCAAATCATGATTAAATTAGAATAAACCCCTGATCTGGCAAGAACTCTCAAACCTTGGACATATATACTACTTTTTTATGGACATACTTTTTCTTATTATATCACATACTAAGTTTTACTAAAAGGTTTTATATTTATATGGCCTATTTGGACTTAAAAGGTTCAAAGCCCAAACATGGCCCCTAAAAAAAATCTCACTCTTTATTAGTCACATTGGGCCTTTGGTTCAAATAAACTTAATACTTTTAGTTTCTTAAGCCCAATACCAATGGTAGTAAATCATATAATATATAGTTGTATACTTGTATATATAATAATAAACTAACTACTTTTCTTTGTTTTTAACTACTCAAAATTCTCAAGCGTCAAATCTGGGAAGAACAAAATAAGAAAACACTTCCTACCATGTTACCTTTCTTTATTTTTAAGTTGATATTTAAACATTTTTTTAATTTAATTTTGTACATATCTATGTCACACTTGACTAGATATACACAAATCTTTTTTATTATTTATTATTATCTATTTTTGAAAGCAAATAAAAAAAAGTATGGTTAAATATGTTTTTGTATACATCTAATTAATAAAAATAGAATATTATTGGCTTATAAATAATCTTGCATTAAATCCTCTCATGTCACTTAGGATTTCGAATATTTGACTTTAGTATTCATTTTTTTTTTAAATTTATTTCATAACTCAGAACTCTCAAATTACAAATCGAGGGTGTTACAACCGGTCCCATAACAATAGCACCGATTAAATCAGAAGTTATAATGGGAATGTTAGAGTTCGAAACTAAGACATATTAAAGCCAGCACCTTACCTTACCACCAACACCAAGCCCCTAGGGGCATAACTATCCTTTAATTTGGAAACATTTAAGATTGGCGCTTGAACTTACATAAATCAAAATGAATAGTTTTACAAAATACAGTAATGCAAGAACACACATGTACAAACTTAACTTCAAGCTTTATTCTGAGAACCGAGTTTGGTACCCTTTGTATGGTATTGGTATGGCCTTCAATGGAACAGCTTTCCTAAGAGTTATCCCCATCCTTTCCTTCATGTCAATATCTGCTGGTTTAATCCCATCAGCCAACACCCAATCAAACTTGTGCAGGAGTGACCCTAAAGCCAATGGAAGCACACGGGAGGCGAGCGGGACGGCCGGGCACATTCTCCTGCCTGATCCAAAAGGTATGAACTCAAAATGGTGTCCCTTGTAGTCCACCATGTTTGGTCCCAGGAACCTTTCTGGCTTGAACTCTAATGGCTCCTTCCACGTCTTGGGGTCGCGTCCGATCGCCCATACATTCACGAGAACTTGTGTTTCTTTGGGGATGTAGTAGCCCATCATGTTGCAGGAGTCCATGGCCATGTGTGGGACCAAGAAAGGGAGAGGTGGGTGAAGTCTTAGAGTCTCCTTGATCACTGCTTGGAGGTATGGTAGGTTTTCAATGTCCTTCTCTTCGAGCTTCTTGTCAGGACCGACGACACTCCTCAGCTCGGCCTGGGCTTTGTGTAGTGTTTTAGGGTTTTTAAGGAGCTCAGCCATTGCCCACTCTAAGGTGCTCGTAGTCGTGTCCGTCCCTGCAGTGAACATCTCCTGATAAACCAATATAATTAGTCTAAATTTAACTAAGACCAATTTTGCTTTATGACATATATGGTATGTCAAAATCAGGATTTCAGTTTTCTTTTCTCATTCTATTACTACGTACTTATTAGAAAACTAAAATTGACCGACAATAATTCCAAATATTATTTTAATGACAGTTTTTTGGAAACTACTAAAAAAAAACATTTCATTTTTCAAATTATAATAATTTTTATTTCAAGTAAATAATTATACATCCTAGGGGTGTTCATTTGATCCATCAATTCGTCAAAAAAAATCCAACCTATGCAAATTGGATTGGTTTTTTATCCTTACGTTTAGTTATATTTGTTCCAAAAAAAAGTTAAGTTTTCAAATTAAGAGTTGAAAATCATAGAGAAATTTATCTTTGACAGGGATTTTATTGCAACTTTACAGTCTATTATTTAAGTGTAATAAAAATATGCAGTCTATTTGTGTGTAATAGACTGTGAATCAAGGTGCAATCAAATCCAACCAGTAAGAAAGGGCAAGTGTGTGAGAGAGATGTTGCAATAGCAAATGAGAAGGAGATGGCTTACAAAGACAATAACATTGATGGTTCTCCAAGAAAACCTAGGAGGCCCCTCAACCCCATCACCACGATATCCCAAAAGCACATCCAAGTAGTCCTTTCTCTTCTCTTTCCCACAACCATTCTCATCACCACTAATTTCCGTCCTTTCTTTGATGAACCCTCCAGCAATTTCAAACGCTCTTTCAACATGAAACTGTGTCTTCTTTCTTATCCCTTGTGGATCCAACCATCTTAAAAATGGCATAAAATCTGCCACATTAGGCTTCCCAGCCAACTCCATCACCTTCCCTGCATGGTGGAAGAACTTAGCCCCTCTCTCCGATTTCGGATCCAAAAGATCTTTCGAAAACATGAGATTGCCAATCAGATTGAAACCCATCAAGAAAAAGAACCTCCCAACGTCGATCCCATTCGTCCCGGCACCACCGGCCTCTTCTATGAACTGCACCATGCGATCAATGCACCTCCCGCGGACATCTCTCATGGCATCAAGGCTGCTAGTGACAAAGAACTCCGTGGTGCACAACCGCCTCAACATGCGCCAATGTGGACCATATTGAGCTGTGATGAGGGACCCTTCGTTGCCATAATCGCCTTTCATGGCCTCGTAGATCTTCCTCCCCGCGAGGACTACGTCGTGGTTCTTGAACATATCTCGAGCCACTTCATTGGAGGAGATTACTACGGTGGACATTGAGCCTAGCCACAGGGTCATGATAGGACCATGCTTGTGAGCTAATTTGGCAAATGACTCGTGGGGGGACCAACCCAATTGGAAGATGTTGCCCACCACCGGCCACCACCTTGGCCCTGGTGGCAGCCGCCCTAGCTCCTCTAGGCGGCGTTGTTGACGTTCGGTCACCATGGCCCACGCAACCCATAGCAGTAAAGCTAGGACCAAGACCATTAGTTCACAGTACTCCATTTTCCCAGGTTGGTTGTTTGAGCTTTGAGTGTTTGGTAATTTGATGGTTTATAGTGGTCTTGATGGAATCAGTTTGTAACACCTCTTTATAGAAGTTTAAGCATAGTAAAGTGCCGAGACCATGCAGACAAAATAGGTATAATATACCAGCCAGGCTCGGTCGTCACAACATTATATGCACTGTACCCTATGTTTTTTTCTCAGTATTAACCCAATCAATTTGATGGAGTCAATAAGTCATTTCAAGACACAGTATTAAAAATATATGATCTATTTTTATCTCAATGAACGATGCAGTAAGAAAACAAACCGAAAAATAGCAGTGTAGTGCAACCGTATGTAAAATAATATACAAAAATTAAGGGGCATTTTGGTAATAAGTACTATTTTGCAATTTTGATTTTGCGTGAAGCAAAAATAGTAAATTTTTTCCTTTTTATGGTATGATTTATTTCGAAATAAATATATATTTGGTAACTAATTTGTTACACAATGTATTATAAAACAATGTTTGAATTATTTTTTAAAATGGTGTTTACAAGATATTGATTTTTTTTTTTTTTTTAAATTCTCATTGTAGTTGTTGAACTACAAGGGGGAAAAAAAAAAGAGTTTAATTAAAAAAAAAAAGGGAATGCAAATTTTTTGAAGAAACAAAATATTACTTAGTAAATATTAACAGCGGAAAGAAAGATATATTTAGAGAATTTTTTATTTAAAAAAAAAATAATTTTAAGGGCCATTATATAATTTTTTTTAAATTACTGTATATGCTTGCGTATAAAAATAGATTAATGGCCCAAGCGGAGGCATGTGCCTTCTGGGCCCATGCTGCGGTGGGGGCCATGCTGGCGTATCAGCAAAGCACGAATTCTTGAGTTTACAATAGACCATTGTGAATTTAAATCTCAATTAAAAACCTTAGTATTTAGTATGGGATTAAAGAGAGTCTTGTATCATTGTGTAAAGATAAGTTTTTGTAATTGATATCATGTTTCGTTAATAATCTAGTCATTTATGCGTTGCACACGAGTAAATATATATGACTAATTAAATTTCATGTCGGTCCATTTATGTGTTGCACATGAGGAATTGTAGGACTAATTAAATTCGATCGTCGGTGAAATTCTCAGACAAGTAGTGGAAAAAAAGAGTAGAATTAAATTCCATGTCGGTGAAGCTCTCGGCCCACAAAGTGTAAGACCAAAACTAAAAAAAACAAAACTTATATAAATTCTTAGATTAATGAGACTTATAAATTCCAAATTTTAAATGTTGCAAACTCTAGAGAGGTAATTTAATGATAAAGATTCTTATCTCATATTTTGAAGGTCGAAAATTTAAATTTCTTTTGAGTTATTCAAAAATAAATAAAAAAATTCAAGTATTATTATGTACACGTGGACACGGATGGTATGTACCCGTAGTAAATTATGATGTATTCAGTATTCTAAAAAGAGTGGCAGTAATATAATAAAAAAATAAAAAGAAAATACTTAGATCTTCACACGCGATGATATTCAAATCAATATTTCTACTTCTCCCTCTCCTTCTCTTCTTTAATTTTGTTCTTTGTTAACAAAATGAGAGAGAAGAAGAAAAAAAAAAAATCAATATACGTATTTAACATCTCTGATTTGGTAATTAAAAAATATATATTTATATATTATTAATATACATCAACAATTAGGATAGAATACATTCTCAAACTAATTATTATTCACAATAAAAATAATAATTGTCTCTAGTAATTTGATCAAGGTAGGCAATCTAGGACATTATCTTCAAGAGCCATAGAATGCAATCAAGAATCAACAATATAGACGAAATAAAATATAGAGCACCGCTTATGTGAACCGACACCAGAGGGGTGTCGGCAATTTTTTTTATTTCCGGAGGGGTGTCATCATTGCAAATAGGTCTTTCATAACACATTTAAGGTGAAATTTATTTAAATTGCCCTTATATACATATTTTATATATAATTTTAAATTACATATTTTGTGAAATGACGAAAATAGATATAAACAAAATGAGGAGTGTTTTTTATACTTTATTCTAAAAATTATTATTCTTTTGAATTCATCCATTCTAAAATTAAATCCCTATAACCAAACACTCACCTTGTTTGTCCATTTTGAAGATGACAACCTGGGCTCCACATCAACGTTTTTAGCCGAAATATTCTTGTAACAACTAATTTGTTTTATTTTGCATTGTTTAAATTCTTAATATTATCATGTTAAAAAAAGAAGAGGAAATTCTGATTTGATTCGCAAGGCATTTATATTATAAGATCATTCTTATCTCTTGTTATAAAATTATAGGGTCATGGGGTCATGGACCATTTTTGAAAATATATATTTTTGTTTGATTGTTCAAACGAATATTCATAGAACGAGGGAATCCCTGGCTCCTAGGAAAAAGTTAAAAAGTAGTCCATTGCATTGAAAAATATTTATTGGTTACGCCTAGCATCAATTAAAAATAAAATAAAATAATGAAATGTTGATTAGGATGACATCAACAAGGATTATTTTTTGTTCTCACTTCCCGCAATTAGTAAAAAAAAATCTGTGGACTCCGGAAAAAATTTAAAATTTGGATACTGTTATTCCGATTTAAGAATCTAACCAAAAGTTTTAAAGGAGATATTTTTATTTATGAGATGAATTGGATTTTAAATGATTAAACTTTTTACATTCCGGAATTACTTTCAAGGTTTTTCAACCTCGCTCTTGAGGATTTGTCACCTCACCAAGTTTGTTTATTTTATTTTATTTTATTTTTTAATTAGCACCAGGAACTCACTTAGGCAGGATCCCTTCGGAACCCACCCTAAGCTACAAACCCGGGGTGTAGAGTTTCACCCCAGGAATATACCGGGTAAGTAGGAAAAATTGGAAGGCTTGGTAGGAGTCGAACACTGGCCGATTGGATGCCAGCCTCGAGCCCCTATCATAACTGCCAAGCCCCTGGGGGCTTCACCTCACCAAGTTCATTACATGATGTGTCCATTTTAATTATGTTCTATATATTCCCTTTTACACTGTTTGGTACTAATTTAGTAATTTAATTTTGGCCTAATCATATGTTATAAGAGTCATTTGTCCCATATCGAATCTTGATGAAAAAGTGATTGGGTATAAATGAGTAGGTATGCAGTATTACCCAATAATTTAAGCTTTTGGGTAAGTAGGCAAACGCCTAACCATTACAGTTGATATTAGAGTCAGACTCAGTTTTTGATTCGGTGTCATGCCAAGCGCCAGGTCCGGAGGGTGTTATCACTACTATATAAATATATATATTTGTGACCTTCTGGTCTCTGTTTTCTTTTCTTTGTCTTAATTTTTGTTTAAACAAAAATAAAAATTGCAATCCCACTTATTCAGGAAAAAGGCAATTGGTCAGTTTTAATATATTTTGTCTTTATTTATTTATAAAATAACACATCTCTTATATTTTTTAAAGGAAAAAACAGAGGGAGTTCTACTATTTAAAATAAATAAATAACCTTAAATGAAGGACGAACATTAGAGTGGCCATTTAACATAATCTATTTTTCCTCGGAGAAAATGTGATGACTCGTAATCCTGGAGTAGATAATTTATGAAATGTGCGTAAAACCCTTTTAAAAATAATAAAATTTCAACTTTTCACTTTAAAAATATTTGTTAGCTCCGTTCTTACTGTCATATAATTGAACATCATGTTCCAATTTGCCAACTTAGGAGCACAACTTGGTTAGATTGGTGCAATTCTTATGATTTGAATTGTTACATATGATGTCTTTAATGAATTAAATAAAAAAAATGAATTTGGATAATAGAGATGAAATTCAACACGCTTATGCTTTTTCTGATTGGTGCAATTATTATAATTAGATTACTTATTTATTTTTGTTTTTTTGACTGAACTTACTAACAATTTACTTTACCAAAATACACCAAAAAAAATTATACTAGAACATTTCAATTTATTTATTTTGAATGGTAACATTTCAATTTATTCAAAAGACGTGTTTAACATATATGTTATGATTGAATTTAGTGTTATTTATCAATATTTTTTTTATTGGTTAAAACCAAATCTTAACATTGACACATCATTTATGTCCCACCTTATAGTAGCATCAGTAGTAATATTATTAGTTTTATTATTATTACATTTTTTTTGTAAGTTTCTTTTTATAATTGAGCAAAGTGAGAAAAATATCCCTAATATTTAAATTTTGGGCAAATATCACTCTTAATGTTTTTTTTTATTTATTTATTTGGATATATAAGTGTTTTAAGTTTGAAAAAATAATTAAACAAAGACATGAGGTCACTATTTCGCTTCAAATTTACATTTTTAAGATATAAAATTTCAAAAATACCTTTTTATTTTACAATAATGTCCTTATAAGATGAAAAAAAGAAAGACACTTTAATCATTTTTCATTTAATTATTTTTTTATTCAGTTATAGAGGGATACTTTAGCCTTTTCAGCATTCATGTTCTTATTTGCTTAAAAAGTAAATGTTAAAATTTTTTCAAAATATATTAAGATTATTCAATTTATATACATGCCATATAAATATTTTTCACTAGCCACTTTTTTGCAATTTAGTATAGTATTTGTGAGTTGGTTGCGACTTGCTAGGACCCATGTCACTGGCCCATACTCAAATAAGGCCCCCATCAACCCGTTCATTTTGTAATTATTTCTTGTGTCAGAACAAAGTTTTTTTTTTTTTTGGAAAGATAATGGCAGAACAAAGTTAGAGGTAATAAATAGTCTATGCTTTATTAACCTTCACATAACAAGATTTTGATAATTTTATATCCCCAAAAAAGTTAAATGTATGTCATTTGAAATTATTGATAAAATTACAGAAACTACAATTATTCGTCATTACTATAAAAAAAAATGTAATGTCAAACCCTTTTTATTTATTTATTATTTATTATTTTATTTTATAATTAAAGTTTTGATTAATAAATTTAATTATAAACTTGAAAAGACATGTTAACTTATTAAAAAGACATGCATACATCTATGATTGAACTTAAATTTGTATTATTTATTAGAACTTTTTCATTGGTTAGAATCAAATCTAATTGTTGATCCATCATTTGTGGCTTCATTATATGTGTGGTAGTAACAATTACGTAGTATATATTTTATTATTATTATCATTATTATATACATTTTTTTGTATGTTTCATTTTGTAATTTAGTATAGCAGTTGTGAGTTGGGTCATGGGTGTGACTTGTGAGGAGGACCCTTCTCAATAGTCCGGGCTCAGGTAAACCCGCCCACACTAACCCTAACTCGACCCGCCCAATACAATCTGAAAAACGGTAAAAACACATTTCAGTTCTCACCGTGCACCGACTGTGTGAGTCTGTCTTGGAGTCCAGGAATCGAAAATGGCGAGAGAGAAAGGAAAGCTATTGTACATGGTGTACAGAGCACTGAGTTACGGCGTATCACCGTTGATATACCTTCACCTACGGTGGCGCAAACTCCGAGGACTCGAACACCCCTCACGGTGGCGCGAGCGTCTCGGCCGCCCTTCTCTCCCTCGCCCTCCCGGCCCTCTCCTCTGGTTCCACGCCGTCTCTTTAGGTTCACTCTTTCTCTCTCTACCATTATGTAATATATATATTTGCTTATGTATGGATATATGTATCTATATATGTGAATTCGGTATGATTAATTTTGGTTTATGAATAATGAAGGACTCACAAATTAAAACAGTGACTTCTAATTAACAGAGATTTATAGTTCCTTTTTACTATTCAAAATCTTTTTAACTCTTGAATTTTCTTGGAAGCCAAACGGAGAATTATTTTGTTTATATAGATCGGTTTGTAATTCTTGATTAGGTGAAGGAATGGCTGCAATTCCTGTGATTAAACACTGTGTTAACCGGAGGCCCGATATAACCATCTTGATGACGACAACCACCTTGTCTGCATTGTAAGTCAAAATCTGATTCTATTGGTTTGGTTTTGTTTTGTTTGTATATGGTTGTTGAGATTATGGTGTTGAGATTTATTTTATGTATATTAAATATCTTTGATTATCCTTTAATAATAGAATATCCTTTCAAAGGACTATGTAATTTTAAAGCTTTGGTTTATTTTAAAAAATTATAAGAATTTCACTATTAGAGATTTAGAGTGAATCTTCAATATATTGAGGTGGTCCTAAGTTTGGGAGATTTTAGAGGTCCACTTTGAGGAGTGAAGTAATGCAGCCGATATGTTTGACAAGTTCAAGGAATAAATTCCATGTACAAAAAACAATGTAGGTTTGAAGCTGTGGTTTATTTTTAAAAATTATAGGACTTCCACTATTAGAGATTTAGAGTGAATCTTATTATAAAGAGGTGGTCCTGTAATTGGGAGACGTTAGAGGTCCACTTTGAGGAGTGAAGTAAATTGCAGCCAATACGTTTGGCAGGTACAAGGAATAAAATCCATGTACAAAAACTACAAGTGAATAAAATCAAAAGAAAAAGAAATAAAAAAGGAAGATGCATATGAAATTAATGGTGTGGGACTTCATGGATTTTGTTCACTATGATTTGTTTTATTTTTGAATGTTTGTGATTGTGTTGTATTTTGGGAAGCATTTACATGTATAGTGACCTCTGATTTAGCTTTTATTATATTAAATAATGTATAAAATTGACGACCTTACTTGAACAGGATCTGTTCTATTGGCTTGTACCTCTGCATCCTTGATTACTAAGGAGACAGGAACCTAAGTCTGGTGGATGAACCATGACTGTGTGACCGGAGTGTGATTAAAAGCGCCGTGGTCCATACCATCGGTGCAGTAGAGGATCATTCTCAGCTAGTTCCATCTCGCTGGGGTGGTCACACAGTCATCTGACAGACTAAATAACTAACCTTTTACTTTTCAAAAAAAAAAGTTAAGTATAAAATTGAAGGTCATGTTCCACACTGATATTGTTGGAAACATTTCGCTGTTAAAGAAGTGGTCCTTATTTGGGAGACAAGTTACGGAGGTTGGTTTGATTGAAAGGTGCAAAAATTATGATTGACATCTACAAGGATTAAAGCAAAGGATACTGGAATTAAGAGCAAGGACAATGGAGATAAGAATTGATAATGTGGGTCTTCCAGCATTTTACCACCTTTTTTTTTCTCCGAGAGGTGGGGAGGGGTGTTCAATGAACTAGAAAAAGACATTAATTTTAAAGTGAAACTCGAGAGAATAAAACACGGTGGTCCTGTGACCTCAATTTTAAAGTGAAACTTGATAGAAGAGTACACGGTGGTCCTGCCTTTGTAGACAAATTAGAGAGGTCCATTTTGAGGGTTGATTGAAAGCTGTATCTGTTACAAATGACATGTACAAGGTGTCAAGGACAATGCTAAGAGAGAAAGAAATAGAAAAAAAAAGAAGAAGAAAAAAAAGGAAGAATAATTGAGTCATGAATTGATAAAACTATGGGAGGTGAACAATAATTGACAATCCCACTTCTATTTTAAAATTTTGGATAGCATCCACTAACATATTTTAGGAAGCCCCCCCTATCAACACTCACCATGAGATTGTGCTTGGCACGTATTGTGTAAGGTGTCAAGCTCACATGATGTGTATGTTACCATTTTTAAAAAAAAAAATTCTGTTTCAGCTTCCACTTTGGCCAAATCAATTAGTTGTTCTTGCTCCTAGTTGTTTGATTTCTCCAAGCATACAATATGTAGTTGTGGTTCTCTGTTAGATTGAGACCCTGCCCAATGTACGTTGATTAATTCGCAAGGCTGCAACTTTTTGCTGAATCATCTGCTGGCAGAGAGAACCCAGTTTAGTTACAGCTCCTTTGAGTTTTTATTTCTAACATATGAATGCCTTTACCTTCTGAAAAAATAAATGATATATGAATGTCTTTGAACAGAAGGTAGCATAGTTTTGCCGAGTTAAATTGTTTCCTTCATTAGATCAAGTTGCTTTAGTGACCAAATATTGCTTCCTTTAAATATTTGGATTGAATATGTTTACTGAGACGTGGGATAAAGGCAAAGATGATGATGTTTGTTGAGATGTCTCATCAACTACCTTCCTTTGATAACTTCATATGAGGATTATATCGGTGTAACTACTAAAAATTAAATCCTAATAATTGTTGAAGGATTACGATCTTATCAACATGATTGCAATTTAACCACTTAGCTATAATTACAATTTACAATAGTAAATTCCTCAAATCACGAACTGGATGTGCACTGCAGTTCATGTATGACTTCTTCAATTTGTATACATTTTTTTTTTGGTGCAGTGATAAAGTGCTTGGGCTATCAAGCGTGAAAACGCGTGTTCGAATCCTACAGAGGCAGTCATGTCTTGTAATCAATGCCAAAAAATTGGACACCCTTGCTTGAGAAATATTATGTTTTTTTATTTTATTTTTATTTTTTATTTCATCTTCCTTCTTAAAGGGGATTTTGTGTTTCCAAGAGATACCGAACTCTTTGTGACCCGGTAGTTAATTTTTTTGGCATGACATAAAAAAATAGGGGTGGGGTTTTGAGTTTGATACTCATCGATCAAACAATAATCTTGGTTAAGAGATCATTATCGTGACCATTATAAATCTTTCTTCCTGGTAATTGCTTGGGCAAATGGAGAGGAAAATTATATTTCCTTTGTGCTACCAGCTTTTGGACTTCAAGTACAAATTTGGTGAATTTATAAGTGGAATTAATTAGCAGAAGTGAATTGAAGCCAAAAACCAAAATTTGATATCACTTTTGTCTATGTTGCTTTGGCAATGGAACTACTTTATGGAAGTTCAACTTTTAGTCCTAGGTGCAGGCATTATACATTTGGATTTTGAGGCAATATATAGTATGTTTTATGTGTTTTTTTTTTTTGACATCTTTATGTTTTGAGAATGCTATTCAGTTATTTAAATTTTCATTTAATGATCATTAACAGTATCAATTACTAATGGATTGAATTAATGAGGATAAAATGAATATTTAACTTTTTTTCTTTCCTTCTTTCCTTTCCTGTTTGTGTGCAGTGAATTAACTTTTTTATTCTTTCTTTCTTTCTTTTCCTTTCGTGTTTGTGTGCAGTGAAGTAATAAAAACACAACTTCCAAGTAGTGTCATATACCAGGTACTTATTCTATTATTGCATGATGTTTTTGTATTGATTGACACTCTAATGTTTTGTTTTTCCCATTCCACTTGATAGGGTACAATTTTTACTCAACTTGCAATTGAGTTTTAAAATTCAACAGCCATGATGGCTGCTAAAGTTGAACCCAGGACTACTTTTGATCCCAATGGATGAATGGATCTTACTGATGACACTGCACAATAGTTTTCGTTTTACTTTTTCTGGTTTTCAGTTTCTCTCTTCTTTTTTTCTTTTCTTTTTTTACTTTACTCCCTCGTGATTTATTTTTTATTTTTCCTTAAAAAAAAAACTGCAAAATCAAATGGATGTAAAAATCATCTAAATGGCTCTGCTAGAAATGACTTTCTGGCCAAGTTGAAAAGATTCAAGTTTAGCTTTGTTGCTACTGTGTCCATGTTATGAACACGTTCCTTTTTTCCTTTGTAATATCTATTTCCACACTAAAAAGGACTAGGATAAAAGTATTCCTTGTGATGATATGCAATTCTTAAATATTGATTTTGAAATTTCTTGGACTGCCTGTGTTCTGATTGGCTTGGGAAATAGATATAAGATTTTTCTCTCATGTATTTGAACTTCTGCGTGCACAGTTTGCACCACTTGATACGCCTGCTGCTATGGATGCTTTCCTTGGCCATTGGAAGCCAAGTTCAATCATTCTAATGGAGAGTGAACTATGGCCAAACTTGATTATGAGTGCCTCCAAAAATAGTGTAAGTAATTCTTCTTTAACGATAAATGTGTTTTTTAATATAGACATGCTTCTGAAATAACCCAGGTTCCAAACAAATTTACCCAGGTTCCAAACAAGTTTAGCCTAATTGCAAATAAACCTGAGGTTTGGCATTTTTTTGCAACGTGTCCCCCTGAGGTTTGTTTTGATTTTGCAAAGACCTCCTTCGTACAAAAAACACCACTTTTTGTCAGAAAATTGGTTTGAAAGGATCAAAATGCCTTTCAACTAAGTTAAAAAGACCCTATTACCCTTATTGTGTCATCAAATTAAAATAAAACCATTTTGTATATAACCATGAATATGTATATACATCATTGCTATCACTAAACCGAATTTCCCTACCAAGGATTGTTTATGACTTCATTATCAATTTGACGCAACTCTGTATAGGAGCCCCCACCATTTTGAGCCACACATCGCTATCAATTCTGTAAGAATCGTTACTAGTAGACACTCCTTTATGAGTTCTCTGAGATTTGCTCTGCCACCAACAACTTCCTGGCCAAATAGTTCGCTTCCGCTTCCTACTCCGTTGTGTGGCAGTGCGTGATTCGTAGCAAGGACGTGATTGTATACCAGAGGAAGCCCCGCCGCCGGAGCTCCGTGAACTGCTATCTCTAATCTGCAAGAGCCACCATAGCATCTTGATCGGTTTTTCCATTGAGCTAACCTTTCGGATTGTCTGCGGAACCCTAAAAGCCTTAATTTCACTGTCCTCTCGAATTGGATGTCTTGAATGCAGATTGCGATCTCTCTCAGGACCTCGATTATATTTGCCACTGATGGTATCGATGAAGAAGATGAAGAGAAGCGGCAAATAATAGGATTGTTACTCGCAATTGGGGCAAAGAGACAACAATATGTCCTCCGCAATAGGGTTGACAAACAACGAATAGAGGGAAGAGAAAAGAGGAAGGAGTGGCTATGGCGGTGGGAGGAGGTGCAATGGCCCATCAACACAAATCTTCTGCTTCCACTCTTCATCCCCAAAATCCACCATTAAATGCGTACTGTGTGCGTATGTGTTTGTATCCCTTAGGTTATTATATATGTGTTTGTATATATACTGTTGGAGAATTACGTGATTTATTAACTGTCTGATTTTGTACTAATTACAGGCTAATATAGCTGGTGTATTAAAGTTTAGGTTGACTTATTTTATTTTCTGATCTTAGGGATTTGATTGTATATTCCTTAATTTATTGGATTCTGATTTGATTGTATTCAGCCTATAAAGGTCAGGCTGTTTTGTATTAGAAAGTCATGAAATATGCTCTAGTTTTTCCCAATTTCTGTGTTATGGTATCAGAGCCCTAGGTACTCTTTCTGGGATAAAATATTTCATCATTTACAGATTTCATAGCAGCTTGGAGTTCAGTTTTTTACAGAAGAAAAAAAGAGATGTCAGAGGTTACACAAACCAGCTCTCAATCGGAGGAACCTACAATCCAACAACAGGTTCCTGGAGATCTACAGAACATTCAAGCTGCGTATAGGCTGAATGGAACGAACTATTTAAAGTGGTCCCAACTTGTTCAAACCTTTTTGAAAGGGAAGGGCAAGCTCAACCATCTTCTTGGAAAAGGGCCTAAGAAAGAAGATCCAAAGTTTGCTGCTTGGGACGAAGAAGACTCAATGGTCATATCATGGCTATGGAATGCTATGGTACCCGAGATAAGTGATACTGTCATGTTTTTGATAACCGCTCAAGAGATATGGGAGGCGATCAAACAAACTTATTCGAAGAAAAATGATGCAGCCCAGGTGTACGAGATCAAGGTGAAGCTAGCTGCCACAAAACAAGGGAACAAGACTGTAACAGAGTATGCCAACACTCTGAAAAATTTGTGGTACGAGTTGGACTATTACCAGGTTCTCGAGATGAAGAACAGCGAGGATGCTGCGTTGTTGAAGGCTTTCATAGAAAAAGACCGAATTTATGATTTCTTAGCAGGCCTTAATCCGGAATTCGATACTGTAAGAGTTCAGACTTTGGGGAAAGGATTATCCTCCCTAAATGAAGCAATTGCAACTATTCGTGCTGAAGAGAGCAGGAGAGGAGTTATGTTGGATTCGCAGCCATTGGAAGGATCGGCACTCCTTACAACCGCTGCTAGTGAGCGAACTTTGGAGAAGAAGTCTTCAGCTACTATTGATTATAAGAAATCTGACCCGAAGAGGACATTCAAAGAGAATCTGGTATGTAACTATTGCAAGAAAACTGGTCATACGAAGGACACCTGCTATAAGCTACATGGAAGGCCACAAAACATGAATCAGTCAAACTGGAATTCCGGAGGAAGAAGCTGGCAGCAAAAGGGAAAAGCCCACGTTGCACAAAATAGCACTAATAATACCAGTGATCAACCGAATTCCAGCAGCAGAGAATTCTGTAAGGAAGACATTGATCGCCTCCGATCCTTTCTTAATTCACTCGAAGAACCTACAGGTGCCTGTTCATTAGCACTTTCTGGTATGTATTCTGGTTCTCATGCTCTTAGTGTCTCAGATAATGTTTTAATCCACCCACACTCTTGGATTGTCGACTCAGGCGCAACCGACCATATGACCAACTTATCCCAATCTTTTTCTTCTTATAAACCATGCCCTAGTAATAAAAAGATTACCATAGCTGATGGGAATTTAGTCACTGTTGCAGGATAGGGGGACATATCCTTAGGACTTTCCTTGTGTCTTAAAAATGTTTTACATGTGCCCAAATTGACAACCAATCTTTTATCTGTCAAACAAATCACCAAGGATATGAACTGCAATCTTATTTTCTAAAAAAATTCATGTGCATTTCAGGACCGAGCTTCGGGGAAGACGATTGGGCATGCTAAAGAAAAGGATGGTCTCTACTGTCTCGAGCCCATGAGTGGAAAAGTGAGTGCTGGAATTGGTTGTTCATCTGTGCTTCTGTCTGATTCCTCCACAAATAAAGACAAAATTCTCCTTCATCATTTTCAGCTTGGTCATCCTTCCTTCAGAACTCTTAGTCTTATGTTTCCTTCTTTGTTTAAAAATGTTGATTTGAAACAACTTCATTGTGATATTTGTGAAATTGCCAAACACAAACGTGTTTCCTTTCCTTTGAGCAATAATAAATCATCAGTTCCTTTTTATTTGATGCACAGTGATGTTTGGGGTCCTTCACGGGTTGCTAATTATTCTGGGGCACGTTGGTTTGTCATTTTTATAGATGATTGTACGCGGGTAACTTGGACTTTTCTCATGAAGCAAAAATCTGATGGAGCCAATATCTTTCCAATATTTCATAACATGATAAAAACACAGTTTGGGGTGAAAATTAAAAGGGTGAGGACAGACAACGGGAGAGAATATTTTAACCAAATTCTTTCACCATATTTGAATCAGGAGGGAATAGTTCATGAGTCCTCATGCATTGACACACCCCAACAAAATGGGGTGGCCGAAAGAAAGAATGGAAATCTTCTTGAAACTACCCGTGCTCTTCTTTTTCAAAGACAAGTTCCAAAATATTTTTGGGGGGAAGCAGTTCTCACAGCCACTCATCTCATCAACCAATTACCTACCAAAGTCTTAGATTTTAGAAGTCCTTGGGAAACACTTTCACATCATTTTCCAGACTTCCTTACTCCAAACAGGTTGTCTCCTCGGGTATTTGGGTGTGTTGTCTTTACTCATGTTCATGCTCACAATCAAAGCAAACTTGATCCCCGAGCACTTAAATGTATTTTTATAGGTTACTCTTCAACTCAAAAAGGTTACAAATGTTACCATCCGCCTACTCGGAAAACCTACATTTCAATTGATGTCACATTTGTTGAACATGAGAGTTTCTTTCATCATCCTTCTCCTCAGGGGGAGGTAACAAGTGATGAAAAGGATGATGATGCAGATGTCCTCGATTTCGATCTTATGCCCAAATTGTCACCACCATCTTTGAGTCCAAGTTCTGCAACCGCTCCTGCCTCGGTTTCCTTTGGTTCCCCTCTTACCGCAGCTTCTCCAAGTCCGGATCACATTCATTTCCAGGTTTCACTACCTACTTCCGATCCCAGTTCTTATATTCCTCCGCTTCAAAATCCAAGTGTGACGTCTCTTGAATCTCAACCACAATCTCCTCCTAAAAATCCAACTCCATCAATCAATCCAGTAGTCACTAAACCACTTCAAGTTTTTTCGAGAAGGAAGGGAGGCAAGATTAATCCGAAGCAAGCCCAAAAGTCAGAACCTATGCTTGGGAAAGAAACCACTCAGGAGAAAAACACTACTCAAGTAAACAATTCCACTCTTGTGTTTGATGAGACTGATTTAGAACTACCCATTGCAGTTCGAAAAGGTACCCGAAGGTGTACACAACATCCACTCTCTCATTTTGTTTCCTTTGAAAAATTATCTCCCTCACATAGAGCCTTCCTTACTCAGCTAAACTCAATAGCCGTTTCTAAAACATTGTCTGAGGCATTAAACAGCAGGGAATGGAAGCAGGCCATGAAAGTTGAGATGGACGCACTGGAAAAGAACAAGACTTGGGAGATGGTCGAATTACCGAAGGGAAAAAAAACTGTGGGATGCAAATGGGTGTTTTCAGTAAAATTCAATGCAGATGGATCTCTTGGAAGGTACAAGGCAAGGCTAGTAGCAAAAGGATATACCCAGACCTTTGGTGTTGATTATCAAGAAACTTTTGCCCCAGTGGCAAAAATGAACACAATAAGAATTTTATTGTCTCTGGCTGCTAACTTTGATTGGACTTTGTAGCAGTTTGATGTAAAAAATGTATTTCTGCATGGAGATCTTGAAGAAGAAATATATATGGAAGCTTCTCCAGGATTTAGTTTTCCGAAGAAGAATAGGGTATACAGACTAAGGAAGGCATTGTATGGACTGAAGCAATCCCCCAGGGCTTGGTTTGGCAGGTTTGCAAGAGCAATGCCAGCAATGGGTTACAAACAAAGTCAAGGTGATCATACTTTGTTCATAAAACACTCTTCTTTAGGGGGAGTTACAGTCCTCATTGTATACGTAGATGATATTATTGTCACTGGCAATGATCAAGCTGAAAGGGAAACTCTTAAAGCTAAACTGGCCACGGAATTTGAAATAAAATACCTAGGCAAGCTGAAATACTTCCTGGGAATTGAAGTTACTCACTCTAAAGAAGGAATTTTCGTCTCACAACAAAAGTATGTTATTGATTTACTGAAAGAAACAGGAAAGATAGGCTGTAAGCCCGTGAAGACTCCCATTGAACCGAATCATAAGCTTGGAGAAGCTGTTGATGATGAGCCAGTTGACAAAGGAATGCATCAAAGACTTGTTGGAAGATTAATCTACCTGTCTCACACCAGGCCTGACATCGCCTATGCAGTTAGTGTAGTGAGTCAATTTATGCACAACCCAAGGGAAGTACATCTCCAAGCAGTATACAGAATCCTGCAATATCTAAAATCTAGTCCAGGTCGAGGCATATTGTTCAAGAGAGGATTGTGCTTGAACTTAGAAGTTTACATAGACTCAGACTATGCAAGTTCAGTGTCAGATAGAAGATCAACCTCGGGTTATTGTGCCTTCCTAGGTGGGAATCTTGTTACATGGAGGAGCAAAAAGCAGCCAGTAGTTGCAAGGTCAAGTGCAGAAGCTGAATTTCGTGCCATGGCTTTAGGAATATGTGAATTATTATGGTTGAAAATAGTCCTGAAGGATCTTGGAGTTTCAGTTAAGAGGCCGATGAAGTTATATTGTGATAACAAGTCAGCCATCAATATTGCACATAATCCAGTGCAACATGACCGCACCAAGCATGTGGAAGTTGATCGCCACTTCATAAAGGAAAAGCTCGATAATGGACTAATTTGCACTCCGTATGTCTCAACAAGAGGACAACTAGCTGATGTACTAACCAAAAGGTTAGCCAGTCCTGCGTTTCAAAGAATTGTCTGCAAGCTGGGGATGGAAGATATTTATTCCCCAGCTTGAGGGGGAGTGTTGGAGAATTACGTGATTTATGTAATTGTTAGATAAATTTGGAAAGTATTAACTGTCTGATTTTGTACTAATTACAGGCTAATATAGCTGGTGGATTAAAGTTTAGGTTGATTTATTTTATTTTCTGATCTTAGGGATTTGATTGTATATTCCTTAATTTACTGGATTCTGATTTGATTGTATTCAGCCTATAAAGGTCAGGCTGTTTTGTATTAGAAAGTCATGAAATATACTCCAGTTTTTCCCAATTTCTGTGTTATATACGTATGTGTGTGTGTGTGTGTGTGTGTGTGTGTGGATATGTGGACCAAGTGTTGTAATTATAAGGGGTAAAATAGTAATTTGACATTCTCAAATATTTTGATCATTTTTAATAAATAATAATGAGGGTAGATAAGGAGGAGTGCTGGATGTTAGGGATTTTCGTCCTATTTGTTTGGTGGGTTGTTTTTACAAGATACTTGCCAAAGTCTTAGCCACTAGGCTGAGGAAGGTTCTGGATGGTGTCATTTCTGATTCTCAAAATGCTTTTGTGGGAGGTCGTCAGATTTTGGATTCGGTTCTTATTGCTAGTGAATGTGTGGACTCCAGGCTGAGTAGTGGGGTTCCGGGTGTTTTGTGTAAGTTGGACATTGAGAAGGCTTACGACCATGTGTGTTGGAGTTTCCTCACCTACTTGATGGAGAGGATGGGTTTCGGGGAGCATTGGAGGAGATGGATTCTGTTTTGTATCTCTAGTGCGCGTTTTTCTGTCCTTGTGAATGGAGCTCCGACGGGGTTTTTCTCTAGTTCGAGGGGCTTGAGACAGGGGAATCCGCTTTCTCCTTTCCTTTTTCTTTTTGTGATGGAGGCTCTTAGTAGGTTGTTGAAAAAGGCTGTTGATCTGGGATTGTTGAGAGGCTTTCGGGTGGGTAGAGATGTCGCTAGTCAGTTAGAGATTTCTCACTTAATGTTTGCTAATGATACCTTGGTTCTTTGTGATGCTGATGCGTCCCAGCTGAGACATTTGAGATGTGTTTTGATTTGGTTCCAAGTCGTCTCTGGGCTTAAAGTGAATGTTGGAAAGAGTGTTTTAGTGCCGGTCGGGGATGTTCCTGATATTGAGATGTTTGCTCAGATCCTCGGATGTGGCACTGGCTCATTTCCTATTTCTTATTTAGGTTTGCCTCTGGGTGCTCCTTCGAGATGTGTGGGGAGTTGGGATCCGGTGGTGGATAGATTTGAGAAGAGACTGGCAGGTTGGAAGAAGTAGTACCTTTCCAAAGGAGGGTGGGTCACTCTAATCAAGAACACTCTCTCTTGCCTTCCCACTTATTTTATCTCCCTTTTTCAGATTCCTTCTTCGGTGGCGGAGAGAATTGAGAGTTTGCAGCGGAATTTTCTTTGGGGAGGGAGAGGAGAGGAGTTCAAATACCATCTGGTTCGTTGGGAGCAAGTGTGTCGTCCCCTTTGGAGTGGAGGATTAGGGATTCGAAGGTTGTTGCCTTTCAATAGGGCTCTTCTTGGGAAATGGCTTTGGAGATTTGGGGTTGAGAGACTTTGGCTTTGGAGGAAAGTTATTGCCAGCAAGTTTGGGGAAATCAGTGGTGGGTGGTGTTCTCTTGAGGGGCGTGGTCCTAGGGGTGTGGGGGTTTGGACTTGCATTCGAAAGGGATGGGACGTTTTTCGTAATCATGTTCGCTTTAGGATCAGGGATGGTAGGAGGATCAGATTTTGGGAGGACCTTTGGTGTGGGGATCTTCCCTTTGCTCTTTCTTTCCCTCGGCTTTACAGGATTGCTTCTGACAGGCAGGCCTTGGTGGTTGACTGTTATCACCTTGATAACGGAAGACTAACTTGGGATGTGCAGTTTAGGAGGCATTTTCAGGATTGGGAAATTGAGGAGGTCACTCGTTTTTTGGAGTTACTGTATCGTCAGGTGATCTCTCATGAGGAGACTGATTGTTGGCTTTGGAGTCCACACTCTCAGGGTCGTTTCGAGGTGAGATCCTTTTTCAGGTGCCTTTCTGATGGGGAGGGTGGCACTCTCCCTTGGAAGGCTATTTGGCGTTCCAAGGCTCCCCTTAAGGTGGCCTTTTTTGCTTGGACGTCTGTCTTGGATAGGATTTTAACCCAGGATAATTTGAGGAGGAGAATGCAGGTGGTTATCAATCGCTGTTACTTGTGTCGTTGTGATGAGGAGACAGTGGATCACCTTCTGTTGCATTGCAGTATGGCCAGAGATTGTTAGGATTTGATGATTGGGTTGTTTGGGGTTCCCTGGGTTATGCCCTGTTCCTCTAGAGGGTTGATTGAGGCTTGGAGAGGTGTCTCTGTTGGGGCGCTCATCCGGGATGCTTGGAGGGCTACCCCTCTCTGTGTTTGGTGGTGCATTTGGCTCGAGAGGAATCGAAGATACTTCGATGGCAAGGAGAAACCCATTTCTATGCTTAAGTTTTCTATTATTTCTCCTCTCTTTTGTTGGGTCTCAGGAAGAGATTTTCGTTCTGTTGAGGAGATTGTTATGTTTTTGGCCTCTTTGAAGGCTTGAAGCCTTTTTGGTTTTTTCTTCTTGTATCCTTGGGTTTCGCTCCCCTTTGAACGCTTTTTTATAAAATTCTTACTCATCAAAAAAAAAAAAAAAAAAGTAAATTCATAGCAAATTCTGACATAGGGAGGTCTTTGCAAAAAAATGACAAACCTCATGTTTATTTGCAATTAGGCCAAACCTCAGGGGAGGTCATTGTAGTTTACTCAATTTACTTTGACTATATAACAGTTGTAGTGTCTTTTTTTTTTTGGGTAGTGAATGGTGGTTGAGTGATTTCTAAAATCAATGACCTTCTACAAAGTGAACTTTTTTGTTGATTTTTGTTTTGTTGCAGGGATCAATGTTATCAATTTCCTTTGTTCATGTATTATGTGTTTGTGTTTATTTTCTTATTGATTCTTTATAATTTATTACATCCAAATTTATTCAGATTTCGCTGGCATTATTGAATGCTCGGATGTCTGCAAAATCCTTTAAGAATTGGTCTAGAGCAGTTGTTCTTCCACTGACTTCATTAATGTTGTCAAAATTTTCCTTGATTATCCCATTGGTATGTCCCTTATTTTTGTATCAAAGCATTTATCTTCTGTCATGTTGTTGATGATTTACTTATTTATTCATTTGGTACAGAGCACCATGCAGGCAATCCATTTTCAGCTGCTGCAAGCCCCACCATTTATCATCAACTTTTCTGGCGACTTGAAATATGGTATGCCTAAGTATGAAACTCTTGATAGATATTTGTATATTGAAACTATAATTGGTTCAAGACAAAAATTCTTTCCCAGAATCAGTATGTTAAAGACCAACTGGCAGGGATAACTTTACTTTCTTACACACAGGAAAAAAAATACAAAATACTTTTGCTTTCATGGTTGTTCAATCCCTTCGACAACTCTTTTGTTAGCACTTAATATGTTATTTATGTTTTCTGTCGCATTAATAATTATATTATACTGGTGTAGAAGAATATAGGTTTGGTCAATCCTTATTTGGAGTTACTATCTTCTCGTACAGCTATTGAAGTATTTAACCTCTCAGAGACGGACATGAGAAATATTGAGGACCTGCAGGTACAGCTTGCCCCTAGACGGGTTTGGATGGCTTCTTCCATACATAGGGGTGAAGAAGAAGGTCAGTTCCCCATACATCCAATCTGCCACTTTCTTTAAGTCTACCAAATTATAGTGTTCCTTGTGCTTAGGGCTGCAAATAACCCAAGCTAAGCCGAATATTAGACTGTCAACTGAGTGTGCTGAAGTTCACTCTCAAGTTTGAAACAAGCTGCGACAAATTTGTTCAACTTTTGCTTGTTTGGCATTGAATGAGCTAGAGGTGGCTCATGACTGAGCAAAATTTTTCCATTTTTCCAAGGGAAATTATATTGCCCTCCTTTCTAGTTCAGTGAAAACATAGCCCCTTGAGGTTTGTTAACTAGTAACAGATTCCCCCTTTGGTTCGGTTAACAGTCAAAGTTGGTCGACTCAATTTTGGTTTTTGTCAACAAATGAAAATTTTATAATACCAACTTTGACTTAGAATGAGTGTAAAGATATTATGATTCTCATTGGTGCCACTATCATGTTCTATTTCATCATGCCAAAATTTTTGCTTCTTTCCCCTATTCATACTTGATCATTTTGTTCTTCTTTTTTCTTTTTATACTTGAACTTCCCCCCACTACTGTAAGCAGTTCACATTGACTTTGCATCCGTGATCTGCCCTGCCCATGTGATGATATAATAGAAGTATAATATTTCTTCTTCTTTTTTTCTGTTTTATTGGTCTAATATCCCAACTCTTTTTTTTTTTGAGATTCCTAGTCTTGGTTTCTTTCTATTATAAAGTTACTATTTAACAGATTCAAACAGTATTGATTTTTCACTACATTGGAGTTAATGCATGCCCTAGATCCAGGATAAAAAAGGTTATGCGTGGATTTGTGGTGTCAAAATTTTGATAGCAAAGAAAATGTTTTACCCTGTTTGGCTTTACTCTCTTCCACCAACAGACCCCAGACCACCACCCCACCCCCACACCACCCCCCCCCCCCCCCCCCCCCCCCCCCCCCCCCCACACACACACACACACACACACAACTCCCTTTCTTTGGGTTCTTTTTATGCAAGCAGATTCAGATTTTTTCATGCTTGAGAAAATAAAATTTCTTCTTTGACTGACTAACGAATACACTTACTGTTATATATACTGATTGACGCATTCCCAAATTTGATTCACAGTAATGCTAGGAGTTCACAAAGAGTTGACACAATTGCATCCTGATTTAGTCACTATTATCGTGCCGCGACATCCGCAGCATGGACAAGAGATTGCTCTAGTATGATTTCCATGCATTCCTTTGCTATATAATAGTACGTTAATAGACTTGAATTGGAGTCAATACTTCATCATGTATGTTTTTGTCCCTGCCTGTTTTCTTTGTTTGATATATATTGATGGCAGTGTTGTGTTTTCCATCCTTTCCTGCTTATTCATAAATTCTCAGTGTCTTATTATTTTTGTAAAAGGTGCAATCCCGCAGGCATGTCTTAACCATCTTAAAGTGCTTGAGTTTGGGACACAGAGCATGCCTTTATAGGAGGCCTTGTTTTTGAGTTACACTGCAGATGGCGTTGAGTTTTTTGAATTATTGTTTAACTTGACGTAGAAGGGGTTGAATAAAACCAATTATAGTTTGTCTTTAATTAAATAAAACTAATTTATTACTTATAAAAAAATAATAATAAAAAATAATAAAACTAATTTACCAGGACAAACTGAAAAATAAATAATCTGTACACCAGAATTTTACGTAAAAATTTCAAACAGGAAAATCCACAAGACCTAGTCCAAAGCGCACAAAGCCACCATCAAGGGAGAAAAAAAACTGTATGAGTCCAGATTCCGATCCTAGAATCCCCCATAGTTGATATACCTATGACATCGTTTCCACAAGAAGTTCAGACTCTAGTCACCTTCGGAATCACCAGCCCGCTGTCATTCACATTAGCGCCATTATCTACTCTGTAATCCGATTTTCTTCACTAGTGATATGCTTCAAACACTCGCAAAGTTATGCTTGACAGAGTCTTCATTCTCCAAAACGAAGAAGAATCGTTGGTTGATATAGCAAACTTCAGTGATGCTTTGGATGTAACTCCATGCTTACTCGAAGATCACACAGTAGAATTATGGTGGCCATGCTTGACTCTTGAAAGCGTTGTTTCCTTAATTGATGATTCCTCCTATAAAAGAAGGTCCTAGGGCTTGGTCCAACATCAATAAGGTTCTACATATTAACAGGCCTAACATGGGATGTGTATCTGTTCTCACCATAAACACATAAAATGGGCTCTACACAGGCCACTTCTAATTGGTTTTGGGTTTCACGTTTCTCCAAGGCTAAATGCATTAATTAAGCTTACAATATTTTAATAGAAGCACTTACCGAAAAGAATATTGTTATAGACGGGCATACTCACTAGGTTTCATTAGCAATATGCTCTTGGCATGTGCAATACAACGTGCACATTTAAGGTTGACCCTCGGGGCACAAACCTCATATACCTGTTAAAATGCTCCACATTTTAACGTGCACATTTAAAGTTTGTTCATTTTTACTCTATGTTTTAACTGAATATTGTCTCTGGCTACAAGGTCTGCGTTTTTATATACCTTTGCCTTAATATTATTATGTAGGGACTGCAGAAAGAAGGGGTGGCTGTAGCACTAAGAACTCGTGGTGAAAAGCTTATTCCAGGAACAAACATATATGTGGTGGACACATTAGGTTTGTATTAATGTTTACATTCTGTTACTTTTTCTTTTTTCTTTTTTTCTTTTTAAAAAAAGTGCAAGTTGTACTTTTACTCTTATATATGAAAAACTTGAGTCCTGAAATCTTCTCTTCTCTCATTAATATTGGCTTCTGCCTCCCACTTTATTTTGATATATAAATTATATTTCTACTCGAACTCAAAATGCCTAATTCCATCTATTTGTGTTTAACAAATAGATTATATTTGTGTTTCGACTCCCCCTCTGGACCACCTCATTCTACATGGTCAGCTTGACTCGCTTTTTGCAACAACGTAGTCATTGAGCCTCTTTGTACTTATCGAAACCATATGCTTCAAAAACACGTGGAGCTTATGCTTAAGATTTTTGCTTTGAGGCGAAAGTTAAAGATAGTTTCAATTTACAATCTAGGAATATTGATTTTTTGAATTCACATTTTGGAGTGCACACTTTTCATCGTGTTTTCAGGATTCTTGGGCCTCTTCTAGTATCTTTTAGTGATCTTATCGTAATTAGTGTTCCTCGGTCCAAGAGGCAAAATGGCGAGGAAATCTTTCATGGTTTGCGTGGTAAAGAAATTTGCCAGTCATTGTAGGTGAATTCGTGGTTATTCATAAAGGATCGAAGTTTCATTAGTTCGGATTTTGTTGGGAATGCTTTGGAGGATGCAAACAAGTTTTATAGAAGTTGGTTTTACAGTTCAAATCATTCTTATTGGGCATGGAGATTTTATAGGCCTTTCTAATCCTGTAAACTTTTCCGGGTCATTTAATTGTTCTTATTAGGCATGGAGATTTTATTGGTTTTACAGTTCAAATCATATTTCTAAGCTGGAGTGCCAATCTGTTCAGAATATGGTCAAGAAACTAGCTTTGCTGCTGGTTTATTTATTTTATTATTATTATTATTATTATTATTATTATTTATTGCATTAGCTTTGAGTAATGCGACAAGGGTAGAGAAGTATGTACCAAGTTCTCTGTGTATAAAGAGTTGAGTGATACTATGTTAATTAAGAGTTGTGTCAAAATTGGGGCTTTTCGGTTGAATGGCATCAATAATGGATACATTTTTTGGGACAGTCTGTAATTGTCTTCTGACTTTATTTATGATTTTTGTATATTGTTTGTCAATTTGCTTTTTTCCCTGGCAGTTGGTGGTTGAGTTAGTTTAGCACTTGTCTTGTAAGTTTTTTGTCTTAGGGTGCATCTTTGACCAGCCTTTTTGCAAGGTATTGGTTGCGCTGTTGTTCTAAGAAACCTTTGCTTGAATGTGCCCCATCATACATGACCTTTGATATGTGAACTTATCTATTTGTGACTCCTTCCACTTCTGCAGGAAAATTATTTATCATTTATGCTATTCCAGACTACCGTAGAAATATGATCCAAAAGAATAAAACATGACTGCTTACTTTCTTTTAATGAATTTATAAAATGAACACCTCACTTATAATGCTATGTCATCTAGAACTTGAAAAATCACTTTTTTCTTAAAAAATAAGTAAATAAATAAATAAAATTGTAAAGGCACTTCTAAGACTCTGTATCATACTAACAATTCCCTACTTTAAAGGAAGTGGACACTCAGAGAAAAATACATAATCTACAACCTACTTTGTTATTTTTATGCTCTATATCTTACAGTTCGGTTTTTTCTCAGTTTTTTAACTGATTGTTGATGTTCTCAGCAGTATAGAGGGTTACCAAGAGTAACTCTTTAATTTAGGAGCCTTTACATAATTTCCAAGGAAAGCGTAAAAGACGAGGTTTGCCATAAACTTCTCTTTTACTCTTGTTTGAAGTACCTAGAAATGAGGTGCATCTTTTTTTCTTTTTATCATTCTTCGATATATTCTTTGCAGTTATGCATAGTATGAATTTTTCAGTATTTTCAAGATTTGGGAAACTTGTGATCAGTGAAATTGAGGGTAGCCCATTGTTAGTTACAATCTGCCAAAAACCTTATGTTAATAAGATTGGAAGCTGGCTTTAGATTTGAAAATAAAAATTTAAAATAATGAAGATAAATGATCAAGTTTGACTGAGGGGAGACCTAAGTTGGACCAACGCATATGCCACCTCCAGAACTCTTTTTAATTAAATTTTTCTAAATTCTACTACTAAGGTTTGACCCATTTTATAGAGTCAAATTCAGAAGTTTGGTTTAACATATTGACATTCTAAAACCTGAGGGGCCTAACTACAAATGAAGTTTCTGTATATGGGATTATCATGTAAAAGACAACTTCTTTGGCAATTGTTGTGCGAACATAAAAAAATTTGGTTGAGCTTGCCTCGTGCTTGCTAATGGGGAGAGTCAGAAGTTTTTCTTCATATATTTTAGTTAATTTCTTTTTTAACTTGATTTGTAGGTGAACTGAGACACATGTATACATTATCTCCGATAGCTGTAATTGGAGGTTCTTTCTTGCCTGGTTTAGCTGGCCATAATATTTCAGAAGCTGCTTCAGCTGGCTGTGCTGTTTTAACCGGTCAGTGTTTATGGCCCTTTTGATTTGCTTCATCTATTTTGCAAATGTATTATTGTTGAGATTTAAACATATTATTGCTGAGATTTTTCTGCTTGGCTAATTTTCAGGTCATTATGTTGGCCACTTTTCACACATGGTATTGGAAATGCAACGGTTAAATCCTTTGTCAGTTCTGCAGGTCTGGGAAACCTCTTCTTGGTTATGCATCATGTCCTTTCAAACTGGATATGATTTGGAGAATCTCTTCTCAATGCTTATCATTTTTTTTTAGTTCTAAATGTTAGAGTAATGTTTATAATTTGATACATTCGCATATTGTTGTCCTTTGGAGTTAAAAATTTAATTGTTTTTGCCAATATGGCGGTGTTCACTGATTTAATCTGTTCTAGAAGGCTAAATTTTGTTATATCTTGGAAACATGAGTTGTGGTTTGAAATTCTAGTATACATAAAAAAAATTTATTACTAAAATTCAAGTGTAAACTAAGTTCTTATTTTCTTCACTCAGTTATGTGCTTAGTTAGTTCAACGGTGCCTTAGTCCATTACTCCTTTTTATCCGAAAACAAGTCAGTCCAGCACTCGCCTGGTTTGTTTCAAGTTTCTATTCATAACACAAAAAAGGCTGTAACCCAGTGCTGGTTCCTCCTATGCAGGAGGCTAGGAGGGAAGACTGGCGACAGACTTAACCAATGGTATTATTTTTATAGAAAGTAACTTCACTCAGACTCAAACCTGCATCATCACCTTTGTGTCCTGAGCTTTGGCCCTGTTCCGGTACCCAAGCAATGGCCCCTTTCTGTGTATATGACTGCTAAAATATTTAAATTATGTTGCCTAATTTGGCATGTCTTGGGTCGACTAGTATGTATGATTTCCTCTTCTTAAAATGCTGGATTGCTGCTTGCTAATGCAGGCAGTGGTTGATATATATGCTTCCGCAGTTATTTAGAAGTTCAACTCAGTGTAAATGAATAATTAACACCACATCACAGGAGGCCTCTTTTTTAATATACACTCATTGGATAGGCTTCTTTTTGGAAACTCCTTGGATAATGATTAAAAGTTATTAATTGTTCAGTACTTATCAGAAAGGGGGAAATGTGTATGGTTATGTATAAATTAGTTTGTCTTTTAAACAAGTTAACTCCAATTTGGGAATTTTATGCCACTCTTATCGTCATTATTGGTTTTGGACAAAGCTCAACCCAACCCTTAAAATCTCTATGGAGCTTAACAATGGCGAATCAAAATCTGAGCAGTGCTCATTCCGAGTTGCGTTCCTGTCCAGTTTGGGCTATATGACAAGTGACCAAATTGGATACCCCAGTAGCTGGTAAGATCATTCAGTAGAAAGTTAACAAAATTCTCACTGTAGGAGCTTTTCTATTAACCAAACTATAGAAAACGTTGCTGATCATTACTAGTTCCTTGTATAATTTGACATTGTTTTTGGGTATTTTTTTCCCCTCTTTTAGTTCTCTCTCTTTCTTTTTTTCTTTTCCTTTTGGTTTTTCCATGAGCGTGATTAGTACAGAAGTTGAAATATCCACCTGGAGGATGTTGGCCTGGTAATCATGTTGTAGTGGTATTAAGGGATACCCTCATCTGTCCAGGTTTCAAGTACATGGTAGTTCAGGTCTTTTCTCAGCATCTATTTCTTCTGGCACTGATTTGCCTGCTCTTTTCCTTGGGTGGCATTCCTGTGACTACTCATTTTTATGTCTTTTTCTCTGTTTAAACATTTAACTAGTCAGCTCATTTTACTGTTTTGCAGTTCCATCACTTTGCATTAGAAGATGTCATTTAAGATATCCTATCAACAATCAACCAGATTGATTTCTCAGATTCCATTAGCAACCAAACCACCTATAAAAATTTGATGATTGTTGGCTTCAGAATCAAAAGATATAGAATACCAGTTCTAGATTTCTTATCAACACTCAACCAGATTAATTTTCCAGATCTCAATAGCAATCCCAAACCACCTATAAGATCCAATAATTGTTAGCTTCAGAATCACATGACTTTTATGGTGTTATTTCCTCAGGGTTCTTCTAGATACATTTATTTGGTTTAGTTTAAATTTGATTTCTGTTGTTAGCGTCTTAGTGAATGAGAAACGAGCTATTTGTAATGAGATACAAATGAACATGATTCCATCAGCATAACTTATATATGAAGTGGTCAGAGAGAAAGGGATGATGTGTTAAAAAAAACCTATACACACCTAAACCAGGTTACTTCTGTTACTTAAAAATGGAAAAATACTTGCTTCCTCCTTAGCTATTGTGGCTGTTGGCCTGCCCTTGGATTCAGCTTGAGCTAGGCCCTAAATAAGCTTCCGCTCAAATTTGAGCTAATCTGTACCTAACGTAAACTAAGGAAGACTCAGACTACCTGAATTTTCACTTTAATTCATGAAGTACTGCGTGTTTTGCATTTACCAGTCAATAAATAGGCTATTTCATGGGAGAAAGTCTCATCTTGGAAAGTAGCGGTGGTAGTCATCAACATCAAACATACCATGCAGTTGTAACAATAAATGACACTTTTCTGGTAGTCAAACATTTAGTGATAGCTGTCAAAATCCCGAGATTAGTAGATTTAGTGGTAGATAAGACTTATCTAGTGGTCAAACTTTAGAGGTAGCACATATTCATATATGCAAGATTTATTACCTAAGCCTTTTGGTTCAAGGTAAAAAGTGACACCTTTAGGTTTCATTTGGATTGAAGGATTTCAAATGAATGGATTTGAGAGAATTATATCTATGGATTCTAGATAACAGAGTGTAAGGAGTTACTTAAAAACCATGCCGTCAAAGATTCAAGTTGCACATGATTGTAATAAAATATTTCTCCTGTACGTCTAATCTTACATCATCTCGAACTTTGAAGTCCAACTTCAATAGCCAACCTTTTTTTTTTAAAACTTGAATCCCTTGATTTCAAATCCATTTCTTTCCCTCGGCTTTACATGATTGCTTCTAACAGGTAGGCCTTGGTGGTTGACTGTTATCACCTTGATAACGGAAGACTAACTTGGGACGTTCAGTTTAGGAAGCATTTTCAGGATTAGGAAATTGAGGAGGTCACTCATTTTTTGGAGTTACTGTATCGTCAGGTGATCTCTCATGAGGAGGCTGATTGTTGGCTTTGGAGTCCACACTCTCAGGATCGTTTCGAGGTGAGATCCTTTTTTAGGTGCCTTTCTGATGGGAAGGGTGGCACTCTCCCTTGGAAGGCTATTTGGCGTTCCAATGCTCCCCTTAAGGTGGCCTTTTTTGCTTGGACGTCTATCTTGGGTAGGATTTTAACCCAGGATAATTTGAGGAGGAGAATGCAGGTGATTATCAATCGCTGTTACTTGTGTCGTTGCGATGAGGAGACAGTGGATCACCTTCTGTTGAATTGCAGTATGGCCAGAGATTGTTGGGATTTGATGATTGGGTTATTTGGGGTTCCCTGGGTTATGCCCTGTTCCTCTAGAGGGTTGATTGAGGCTTGGAGAGGTGTCTCTGTTGAAGCGCTCATCCGGGATGCTTGGAGGGCTACCCCTCTTTGTGTTTGGTGGTGCATTTGGCTCGAGAGGAATCGAAGATACTTCGATGGCAAGGAGAAACCCATTTCTATGCTTAAGTTCTTTATTATTTCTACTCTCTTTTGTTGGATCTCAGGGAGAGATTATCGTTCTGTTGAGGAGATTTTTATTTTTTTGGCCTCTTTGAAGGCTTGAGGCTCTTTGTGGTTTTTTTTCATCTTGTTTCCATGGGTTTTGCTCCCCTTTGAGCGTTTTTTTATAAAATTCTTACTTATCAAAAAAAAAAAAAAAAATCCATTCTTTTATTTAAATGGGCCCTTAATTTTCTACGCAAGGTTTTTGATTTGGTAAGATTTCCTCTATGAATCCAGGTTTTAAATCGTTACTTCTATTGATCCTGCAGATTTCAGGGAAAATGGAACTAAAAGAAGCTCTTAGCGAGCTCTTGAGTAATGCAGAAGTTCTCGAAGCACGCCGTGTGGCTGCAAAACAAGCATTTCAGGCTCTGTCAAGTGGGATTACAGAAGAAATCTGGAGCACACTATATTTTCGTGTTGTAAAGAAAGCATTGTGTTGTGAGAAATGAAGGCTGTTTTGCGACAGATCTAAGAGTGAAGATAAGGTTTGTCTGCATCTTTAGCAATAAAATACTTTATGATTCATTACAATGAATACATCTGAGACCAGTTGCTCTTAAGCTTCGCATCTGGATGATTAGTAATAACTGCACTGTATGAATTTATTTGTTAATATGAAGTTGATGTCCACTGGACCTTTCAGTTTATAAATCATAATGATGCCATATTGTTCCATCACCAAAAAAGAAAAGAAAAAAAAGAGGGTTAACCCAGTGCACTAGGCTCCTGCCATTGCGGGGTCTGCGGAGTGTCATTTGTATGCAATCCTATTTCCTGCAGAGTAATCTTACTGTTATGCAAAGTACTGCCCTCTCATTTCCAAAAGGATAAAGAAAATGAAAATGAAAAGAAAAGAAAAGAAAGACACAGGATCGTCTATGGGTTTAATTCAAAACCCCCTGTAATATATGCTTTCTAATCCTTCAGCCCCAGGCCTTTTGGTCAACAAAGGGCATCATGATGTTACTGGTACTTTTTAATGGTAAACTGATGGCAAGGGGGGATTCTGATTCTAGGTTTTATAGTTTTAAGCATTTATTTGACAAAAAAAAAAATGGTATTAGTGTGGTGGTGTGGAAAAAATATATATAGTTCTGGAGGGTTTTGTGGAGTTAACTCTTCATTTATTTTTTATTTTTTTATTACGGAGTATTATTAATTTTATACTATACTAACTAAAAGCTATGTTCACATGCCCTACCTAGCCTGCTAAATTGATTGTTATGATCTTGGTTGAGTTAGCAGGCACTCGTAACATGCGTCTGAATATTTTAGTAGATATAACTTAATAACTATATAATGTACTTAAGAATATGTTGCCTAATTATTTTATTTCTCTCTCTTAATTCATTGTTTCATATGGTTGGTCATAATTTAATGCATTTTATATTTGTATGCTTCTTGAAGGACTTTGTTACTATAAACCAGCTCTGTTCTTGCGCCTTATCAAGCTGAACTTTATCTTGTTCAAACATGCTTCATTAAGGACTCAAAATCAAAATATGCTCTCAAACTTGGTTTATCTAAAAGGTGAACAAGCTTCTTAACAAGTCGAGCCCGCATAGATTTGGCCTAAAAGATTTGCTATCAGAGGTCCAGAGCAAACCATTATGCCAGTCTGCTTGAATCATGGCTAGTGTGATTCATGCAAACTTCTCAGTATCTAATGCTATAGCATTTCTCCAAAAGTACTTAAAAAAGTCTTTCCCAACTTTTTAGCACTGGCTACATGATACCTGTTGCATTCCACTCAAGGCCATAACTATCATATATTTACTTATTATCTCAACCAGCCCATGTTTCTTTTGGTCTTCCCCTTCCCCTAGCCACAATGTGGCGCACATCACTCTTTGTAGGTTTTTGTGCACATAGCAAACCATTTGAATTGATAATCTCATTTTCTCTTCCCCAATTTAAAAGTAATATAATAAAACTAATACCACAATGTACATTCATTTTTTTCTTTGAAGATACAAAGAAAGAATACATATAAAATATTCATTATTTTTTAAAATTAGTTGTTGGGTGGTAATCTCCAACAACACGTAAAGGGAAGAATGCAGGTTCAGGTTATAGTTAGGACGTGTGTCAGACTACTAAAAATAAATTAATTAATAAATATTGTTATTTTCTAAAGAGAGTATATATTTTCGTAATTAGTATGAATTTTGATGCAATGCATTGTACAGTGCTACTGCTAACTTGATATTCTGACTCTTTGACTCTGCTGCACTCAAAGCAGGATACAGTACTACTACTAACTTGATAGTGCAGTTGGAATAGAAGTATGACAATCACAGCAGCTGCTGCCTTGCTACCACCACTATAGCTGTTGCTCTAGCATGCTGGTCTGTTTGCAAATCCATGAAGAAGTGGTCTCGAGTCCCTCAAAAAGTTTAAATCTGGTTTCTTTTCAGCCACATGGCAAGAAAAATGGTGCGCCCTTGTACCACCTCTGAGGAAATGGATTATGTCTTGGAAGAGAAACTCATCGCAAGGAATAACCAAAGGACCATCTTTTCTGTGGCCGTACTCTTCGTATGCTTGGTCTAGCAGTTGCCGGAAAACTGGATGTTTCAGGTAATCTGCCTTTATGATAAACCTCCTGCCGGCTTCCCCAACAGTCACTGCTAGGTGACCTGGAGGGACATCTGGTGGTGGTTTATTTTCGCCAATTCTGGTTAGCTTGCGCCATGTACAAGCCATTTTTTTTAGCTTTACAATGGTGCGGATGTCACATATTGAATGATCTACAGGGGAAGCCATGAAGAAAGATTTTGAGTGTTTTTGTGCAGGATAATACTGGAACTTAGGCTTGTATTTATCTAACAAACAGACTCCAACAAGACAATTTTTTCAGTTACAAATCACAACCATCCACGTGATAATCAAATTCTTCTGGAATTTTCAGTAAATGACCAAAAACTCCCAAATTTTTGCACATATGGGATTCCTGGTAAGTGCATTAATTGTAAAATTGTGAGGATGCCTTCCAAATTATTCAGCTATTTGACAGTTTGGCCTTTTGTATTACCAAAATGTCTTGCTTGTGAATGGTGATAATGCCTTCTTGAGTTATATGGGCAGTTACTGTTGAACACAGATGGGTGCACTGGGTTTTTACGAGTTGAAGTAACTTGGTTAATGGTTGTACCATTCTGATGGAGTTTCTTAGTTAGTTTCTCAGATCACAAGCTCTAAAAGAGGTTGTATGGCATATGGAAGGGCAGACACATGCTTTTGTCTCCACTCTCCTTATGAAAAAAGAGAATTTAAGTACTTTAATGGGGAAGTGGTCCTAAACTAGTTGTGGTCACAAGAAAGTTCCAGTGTCATTAGATCAGTGGATAGTTTCGCTGTGAAGTCTGTGATACATAGAATTTGAAATTTCCATATTTTTATGGTGTTTGAATGAATTTTTATTTTTGTAAGTATTTGAAATAAGTTTGTAATGTAGTTTCATATAAAAATTTGAGTTTATTTTGTTGCAAGTTTTGGTGTATCTTCTGGGATAGAAATAGAACAGACTTTCAGGATCTTAATCTTATGAAATGATACTATTTTGTAACATATTTGTCATTGGTATTTGTATTGGTGGCTATCTTTTGCCTTTATGGGAGATTAAATTCTCCTTGAGACTTGATCAATATGCATTTTAAGTCACATGTCATTTGAGTGGGTGAAGAAGGGTTTTCAAGGTTCTTTTTGTAAAATGATCTTTGCTTTTAGGTTGCTTTTTATCAAAAAAAAGTACCAAGGAATGCAACATTGGACATTTACGAGGAAAAGGTGTCATGTGATGTTCTCTGTTCAGTGTTCTACAGATAACACAGTTAGACAAACATAATTTTGTAAAAATATTCTCATGGTATTGCCTTGATTTCAAGAATAAGCTTGAATGTTTGGTAGGGAAGAATTGAACAATTGTATTAGATGTTAGGTTTTGTTTCTCCTTTGTCTATTCAACAATTGGGCAGGTGTAAAAGCTCAATTTCAGGTAAAATATGTGATCAACTACTACCATAATTATTCTTCTTTCTCAATTTTTTATTAATTTAAACTGTGTACTAGTCTCCATTCCTGGTTAAAACCCAAGAACCAAGGTTAAGGAGAGAGAGTTTTCCTCGAACAAGGTTACTTTATCAGTGATCACTAGAAGTAAGTTTTTCACAGCCTTCTACTTTTTATGTTACTGTTTCCTTTTAAATCCTTTTACTGAATTAGTAATATTATCATTAACTTGAAATCTGATTTATATTGCCTGGATTTTGTTTGTCTTACAGTTTCAACCCTGAAGACATCATTCTTACAGAATTCTCCACTCCATGCCTGAGGTGTGAGATAGACGCACCTTAGGCATCCATGTAGCGGAGTGTTGGGCATTGAGAAAGCCACAAATACAATGAATTCATGTAGCGAAAATGAAGATGCTACGTAGGATGATGAGAATTATTAAAAGAAATAAGATAAATAACGAATGTGTGAGGGGAACATTATGTATAGGCATTACGCCTATAAATGATAAAATTAGAGAAAGTAGATTTAGGCGGTATGGTCAGATTCAACATAGGTCCAATGATACACCTATAGAAAGAGGAAAAGTTGTTTGTTTAGAAGGTAAATTACAAAGGGTTTACATGGAATGATGTAATTAAAAACGACTTAAAAATTTTACATTTAAGAGAGAACGTGGTGTATAACAGGAAAAAGTTGAAAAAGAAAATTTATGTGATCAATATATCTTTATGAGATAAAGGTATGATGATGATGTTGATGTGTGAGAAGTTATATTTGTTGATTGCATGTCAATATACACGTTCATATTAACAAGAGCAGATTATGCATGTCAATTCACATCCATCCAATTTGGTCACGACTTATCAAATCCAAAAATTGGACAGCTGACAAATCATATTAGTTCTCTGCTAATTTATACAGAATTAGAGGTCATATTAACAGGTGTTGTTACCCATCAATTTCAACATGTCAACACGAGCAGACTACAAGCCCACAATGTCTCTATCCATTTACATCCAAAATTGTGATGCTTCATTATCCTAAAAAGAGATGAATTGTCGCATTCTTATAATTAATGCTTTCCTCACACTATCGCTCTTAGCTCATGTTGGGGATAGGCTAGTTGAGAATTGATTATCAATTGTCTTAAAAGTTTAGACTATCTAATAATGACTCAAACAAAATACTGTATATGAAGCAATTTAGCATCCCTGTAATATTTTCTACAATTATATTTTTAGTTAAATATTCTGTAAGTTAAATAAAAGATTTCGGATCAAAGGGATGAAAGGTCATCATATTCTTCTACTAACTTTGTTAACGACCCAAGTTTCCTAAACCAAGAAATGGCAACTTTTTCAAAGTCCTAGAATAAAGAAACGATATATATATATATATATATATACATACGAATATATGAATGATCAAGTTGATAATAGAGCTTTTTGAACGCCAATCCCGCCTTCAATCTGTGAAGAAAAATAATATAAAAAAGCTGTAACTATTTTCATCACTTTTGCCGACAGTGTTGTTGTGCCCACTGCCCACGAAGGCATTTGTGATTCTTCAATACGACTAGATCTCTCTGTTCCAGTCCTTCAAATTTTGCTATTCCCCTACTATATCATTGAAGAGAGAGAATCGAACTTATCATTTGATGGGTTACGATAAACTAATTACACCTAATTTACAAATTACAGTGTTTGATCTATTCGATTGCCTGAAAGACAAACATAACAGTTCTGTTCAAAACTTACCATTGTTGCAATTATATGAAATTAAATCAAATAGTTTGACTTTTGTTTCTTTTCTTCTCATTTTCATCATTTTAGGACTTGGTGCTGAAATGAATGTAAAATGATGTGTTACTGCATGTTTTTACGGTGACAGTTGGCACAGAGGGAATAAAAACTTAGGGATGGTGATTCAGTCATTTTCAGTGATGGATCTTCCAAGGGTTGGGAAGACAAACTTTGCTTCCATATGACTTAAAGTTTTCAGAACCTTTTCCTTTTTGCTGTACACGAAATGAAAGCTATCAAAATTATGTACTGCTCATTTCAACACTCGGCCCAAAAGTTTGTTAACAAGGAGAATCACGATCATATCTCATTTTTAATATAACAATTGACACTTGCATCTATATGCACTTTATTATGATCATACTCTAATAAATCTATTTTATCATTTCTCTTTATTATTATTACTATTATTATTTTTTGTCACATTTGAGTTTCATTGTAAAAGTTTAATTATATTAGAGTAATATTATGCTCGATCAATTTTTTTTTGTGTACTTTTAATAGATAGTGTCACTATGATCACCTATCTGTATTACATAACATAATCTCACTTTCTAAAGTGTTTATATTTTAAACATAAGTTGATAAAAAAAAAATAATAATAATAATAAAATAACAAATTTATCTTTTACAAATGTGTGAAATAAAAAATAATTTTATATTTCTTATTTGGATGAATATATGTGTGCGTGTATATATATATATATATATTTTACCCAAATTTTGTGATGAATATTAACATGATCCTTCGTGACCTAGATGGGGGTGCCACTTTATTTGCAATGTAGTGCACCCGCAAGGTAAAAGGACTCAAAAGAAAAAGAGAGCCATGCTTTGGTGACCTTTACTCAATTTCGTTGTAAGAGTGGAAAACAGCAATCATTCACACAACCAAACACCTCTCATGCTCATCCACAGCTAATGTCACCTTTAATCATTCCCCTCTTCTTGTATTCTAAATTGTTAGAGAGAGAGAAAATGAACACCCCCCTCTCACTTTAATTATAGTCATACCATGTTCCTTCTTTAAGTATATAGAGAGCGAAAGAAAGTACTTGTTTCTCTCTCTAGAATTCAACTTCTATTTCTTTCTTTATATTTTTAAAACACAGCCCATTTTCCCACTTCCCGCCTATGCTATGCTCTAACTCTGACCTATGGAGGTTTATGCATCCCGTTTTCTCTTTCTCCTCCTTCTCTTACTTTCTCTCTCTACACACTCTCTCTCTACACCCACCAACGACACCGCTGCCCTCTCCCTCTTCCGATCCCAAACCGATGCCCACGGCATCCTTCTCTCCAACTGGACTCTCCCCGCCACAGGCGGCGACGCCTGCTCCTCCTCATGGCGCGGCGTCCGGTGCATCAACGGTCGTGTGACTGCACTTTCTCTCCCCTCCCTCGACCTCCGTGGCCCCCTCATTTCTCTCTCCTCCCTCGACCAGCTCCGCATTGTCGATCTCCACAACAACCGCCTCAACGGCACCGTTGACCCAATTGCCGATTGCTCCAATCTCAAGCTCATATACCTCTCCGGCAACGACTTTTCTGGCGAAATTCCGTCAACGATAGCCTCTCTTGACCGATTGCTCCGATTAGACCTCTCAAACAACAATCTCAAAGGCCCAATTCCCAACGAAATCGCCAACCTCACTCGTCTCCTCACTCTCCGCCTCCAAAACAACGAACTTTCCGGCCCGATTCCACAATTCTTCGACTCGTTTCCGCAACTGAAAGAGTTGAATTTGTCCAACAACGAATTGTACGGACGCTTGTCGGAGGGTATACTGAGAAAATTCAGTGATCGGAGTTTCTCCGGCAATGAAGGGCTTTGTGGGTCGAGCCCATTGCCCAGTTGCTCATTCGTGGAGACCCCTCCGGCGGCTGCTTCGGCGGGGACTGTACAATCGAACCCCAGTTCATTGCCTTCAACAACAATTATAGACGAGAACAAGAAACAGAGAAGAGGTCTTAGTCCTGGTGCTATAGTTGCAATTGTAGTTGCAAATTCAGTTCTATTACTGGTGATCACCTCCTTCGTTGTGGCTTATTATTGCGGGAGGTACTCCAGAGACTCGAATTCGAAATCGGGTAGTGAGAGTGGGAAGAGGAGGAGAAGTGGGAGTAGCTACGGGAGTGAGAAAAAGGTGTATGCAAACAATGGGGGTGGAGATAGTGACGGTACGACGGCAACTGATCGGAGCAGGCTCGTGTTTTTCGATAGGAGGAAGCAGTTTGAGCTGGAGGATTTGCTGCGAGCTTCAGCTGAAATGCTGGGGAAAGGTAGTTTGGGAACTGTGTACAAGGCGGTGCTCGACGACGGCTGTACGGTGGTGGCGGTGAAGAGGCTGAAGGATGCGAACCCATGTGTTAGGAAGGAGTTTGAGCAGTATATGGATGTGATTGGGAAGCTTAAGCACCCCAACATTGTTAGGCTCAGAGCTTACTACTATGCCAAGGAAGAAAAGCTTCTTGTCTATGATTTTCTCCCCAATGGAAGCTTGCATTCACTTCTTCATGGTATGTGCATCTCATTTAATCAATCTTGTGTTTTGTGTTTTTTTTGGTTGTATGTGGGTAAAAAAGTAAATAACCCAACTCAATGCACCCACCCATCATATCAATCATGTTTCTTACAGTGCTTTGAGTTGTTTATAAGCGTCTGCATCTTCTGCTGTTGAAATCTTTGAAGTGTTTTTGTTTATAAACGTCTGGATCTTCTGTTGTAGCGTTAGTGTTGAAATCTCTTGTGTTTTTAGAGTTGTTTATAAATGTTTGGATCTTCTGTTGTAGCGTAAGTGTTGAAATCTCTTGTGTTTTTAGAGTTGTTTATAAGATCTTTTGTTGTAGCATGTTGCTGTAGTGTTTTTGAATTATTTATAAATGTCTGAATCTTTTGTTGTAGCGTGTTACACTGATTTAAGTGTGTTGAAATCTCTAGTGTCTTTGAGTTGTTTATTAACGTCTGGAACTTCTATTGTAACGTGTTGAAGAGTGCTGTAGAGATTTCAGCACAATTAAATTATGACTCTTGTTTCTAAATGTATAATTTTGGTGTATGGTTTTGATCATGTTGATGGTAACAGGGAATAGAGGTCCGGGAAGAATTCCATTGGATTGGACAACAAGGATCAGCTTGGTGCTTGGAGCGGCTCGCGGGCTTGCTCGCATTCATGAAGAGTATGCTGCAACCATGATTCCTCATGGGAATGTGAAATCATCGAATATATTACTAGACAAAAATGGCGTGGCTTGCATTTCTGATTTTGGGTTGGCATTGCTATTGAATCCAGTTCATGCCACAGCTAGATTGGGAGGATACAGGGCACCTGAACAGGCTGAAATCAAGAGGCTGTCTCAGAAGGCAGATGTTTATAGTTTTGGGGTGGTGGTGTTGGAAGTGCTTACTGGAAGAGCTCCATCACAGTACCCTTCACCCACACGTCCTCGCGTGGAGGAAGAAGAACAGGCGGTGGATTTGCCCAAATGGGTTCGATCCGTGGTGAGAGATGAGTGGACTTCAGAAGTGTTTGATCAAGAACTTCTGAGGTACAAGAACATTGAGGAGGAACTTGTGGCAATGCTTCACGTGGGGATGGCTTGTGTGGTGCCAGTGCCCGAAAAGAGGCCTACGATGATGGAAGTGGTGAAGATGATTGAGGACATTAGGGTGGAGCAGTCTCCTTTGGGGGAAGACTACGATGAATCGCGCAATTCGCTCTCGCCTTCGCTTGCCACCACAGAAGATGCACTGGGTGTTTACTGATCTTTCAAAGCCAGTTAAAATATTACAGTGTTTGTTGATGGCTCTTACCATCTCCATTTGCACCATCTTATTGCAAATTGTTGTTGCAACTAATGGATTTTCTTGTGTATTTCCCTCTACTTTGTAATATTTGTATTGCTGCTTTTAAGTTTTTCCAGTGTTGCAGGTAGGAAGATCTGATGATCTAAACTACCAGTCAAGAGATTAGTTTAAGTTAGTCTCTTTTTATGTAATGTAATTTTTAACATTTCAATCAGCTACTAGTATTTTTTCAGAGCAAATTGATCTCAACTTTCAAGCAAACATTTTTTAGATCACTGCAGGTGCCCATGAAGATCATCTTGTTTTATAGTAATGATTTAGGAAACACCAAATAGTGACAGTAATAAAACTGGATATTTTATGGTTTATTAAACCATACTCGGTATCTTTTCTTGGACTTGTACGGGCCGTTATTCTATACTGTGTATACAAAGTGAAAGGTGTCTTATCTCCTCTCTTTTAAAAAATGGGTAAATTCCACAACAACAACCACCAGAGTTGGAAAAAAAAAAAAAAAAAAACAGTAATGGTCAGCCCAGATCCACCATAACAGGGGGAAAAAAAAACAAACAGTCATGCCGGAGATAGGGAAGAGAGAGAGAGAGTGTGTCGGTGGGGGTTAGGTACTTAAAAAAAAAAAAAATTAGAGATTATGGTAGAGAAATAAGCTTAATGATATCATTTCAAAAAAAGGAGCTTTAACGATGATGGTAGTTTCGTTAACTAACAAGCGCTAATATTTCATAAATTAATTAAATTAAATAATTAGAGACAAATATAATATTTGAAACTAAAGGAGTGTTATTATTAAAAAAATCGTTGGCCTAATCTCAAGGGGTTTTAATTTAATTTACCCTTAAAAAATTAACCCTTTTCCTTTTCTTTTCTTTTCTTAACCGAAACAAGAGCCTGACTAACTTTCAAGCTCTTCACAGAACAACCATTAGTTCAACTATAGTCATCTCTTGTTTCACGGTAATTATTTGTCTTTACACCAAACTGTGACAACAATACACTGGAAAACTGGATACTTTTATGATCCAGTAGGCCATATAGCCAGTGTTGGTTACAGCATTGGTTCACATTATGATCTATTTATACAAAGTAATTGTCCACACAATCAAGGCCCGTTTCTTATACAGTTTATACTCAATGGTTGGAAGTTCAGAACATTATCACTCACACAACCGATACCCTTATCACCATTGACCCTCTTTAGCTTTTTAACTTTCAAATAATCATGATATTCATCCATTTTTTTTTTTTTTTGGGCTGTCATCAACACATGACGGATTGAAAAAAGAAAAGAAAAAAAAAGGGGAGACAATTTGATGGCTATTCAAGTATGTTCTCTCAAAAGTTATTATGGTTTCATTTCTAAGGCTTTGTTTGGATAGAAAAGAAAGAAAAGAATAATATTAGTTACAAGAGAAAATAAATGAAATGATAGCAATAATTTACATTCATATTTGGATAAGTAAGAAAAAGAAAGAAAGAAAATGTTAATATTCTTGTTTGGATAAGATAGAAGATAGAAAACAAAAGTACGGATAACAATTGAATTATTATCATGCCTTCCATCTATAATTTTGGAGGTGGTTCTTAAAGCCAATGTTATAATTTTGGCATTATGAAAGTATCACTAACTTACTTTCTTTTTCCACCAAATCTTCTTATTTTTTGAGGGATAATATGAGAGCTATCCCTCCAAATCATTTTCAATAATTTCTTTTCTCCTCAAATTCTCCCTCCAAACACAACATTTTTTTTCTTTTTCTTTTTTTTCCTATCCCCCCAACTCCTCTCATCCAAAGAAGGCCTACAGAAAAGCAAACTAATTGGGCTCAAAACAAGCAGACCTAGTCCTTAGCCCTTAGCCCAAGGATTACCAAATTGGGTTGGATCCAGGTAGGCCGAAACGTGGATCTGGGTTTCAATTCCAGCAGTATACCAATTGTGTGAATCCCCAAAAAAAAAAATCAATGTCTAAGCTAAAGAACGGTAAGTTGTGATTCCAGTAAAACTACACGTTAACTGTGGTATATGTATTTTGAGAACCACTTTTCAATAAATATGGTGTACAAACAAATGACATTTATCTCACAAGACACAATAACAGCAAGTCAATCGCAATTGTTACACACCTAGACCAACACAATTGTACAGCTTATGGTAAAAGCACTGTGAGAAGTTGAGAGGAACTAAATCTGTCTCTCTCGCCTAACTAAAACAAGGTATATATTTTTTTTTTCAAAATATGTAAAACCCTATTTTCTGTTCTTTTTGTTCCATTTTGTCAATACTTGTCTCATTCTCTCCCTAATTTCTTCTTATCATCCTTTTCAATTAGGCCTCTTGTGTCTATAAAATTACTTATAATCACTAAAAGTCTAAGTAAGATATTTCAGATCAAACAATCTTCCTAAAATGTTTTCGAAACTTTTTCAAATATCCTTAAAAAAAATAGTTTTAATCGAATATACATTCGGTCATGTATGGAGTTGCTCTAACATCGCTCCCAAACACGAAATTCTTGTAGATGTCAAAGAACAAGATAAGTACCGAGCATTTTCAACATCCATTAACATAAGTTGTCTGGACTATAGTAATATCATCATTTTTTTTTTTAACCTCATTTATTCTCTTAATTACAACTAGAACTAGTAAGATGTCAATTATGATTTTAAATTAAACTAATAGTTAATATTTGATATTCTTTTAAGTAAACTTTTTATAAAGCTCAAAAGCATCACGTATAAATATTACTTTTTCCTTCTCAAAATAGTTGGGTGTGAGTCAGCTCCCAAAGCGCCCAACTATTCTGGGACATAGGGAGTATTGTGTTTTGCTTGCATACTTTGTTGTTACAACACTTCTGTACCATACCAATTCGGTCTCCTTAAATTGTTCTTGAGTTTATTTCTAGGGTTTAATTGCAGCTTTCAAAAAACCCTAGAATCTGTTCTGTTGATCAACAATGTCGGACTACTTACCCAAGGGAGTGATGATGGATATTCTGGCAAGACTACCGGTTAAAACTCTTCTGCAAATCAGGTGCGTCTGCAAATCCTGGTCTTCTCTCATCGATAGTGATCATTTTGTAACATTTTACCTCAATCGAACAACACAACTGAACAACATCAAAAACACTTACCTACTTCTAATTAAGCACTATGAGAAACAAGATCGTTTTTCCTTATATTTCGATAACGAAGCACTCACTCCGTACCATTTGAATATCGAAAATCTTCCAAGCGCTTCTCCACATTTCGACCTTCTTGGTTCTTGCAATGGCTTGGTATGCCTTATTTAGACTTCAATGAACTTTACTGATGATATATATTTGTGGAACCCCACTATTAGGAAATTTGGTGTACTTCCAAACCTCGCATTACCTTCGATTCACATGGCCTTTATGAGCGTGTAGATCAGTGCACAACTAGGATGACATTTATGGATACGGGTTTGATTCCACAACTAATGACTATAAGGTAGTTAGAAATGTTTACCTTTCTAGTGACGAGGATGACATTTATTCACTTAAGAGATGCTGTTGGAGGGGTAACATACCTTATATCGATATCGAGGTTGACATTTATTCGCTTAAGGAGGGCTGTTGGAGGAGAACCATCAGTGCTTCTGGTCCCATACCTTATATCGATTATGAATTACCTCATGCTTGTGTCAATGGGGCCATCCATTGGATTTCCGGAGGCCCTGATTATCACCCCCATCATTGTGTCACTCAATTTGTGTAGTGAGGTGTTCTTCCAGATGGAGCTACCGACGAGTCTACATTCAGTACCAAAACGTAGGTTATCTCTTGCAGTGTTTCAAGACTCACTCTTTGTGTTCCAAAATTATTCTTGGGAAGGCATTGCGTCAATCTGGGTGATGAAAGAATACGGTGTTGTGGAGTCGTGGACCAATCTCTTATGTCTTGAATTCGATAGTGGAACATCTTTGAAAGTGATTGGCTTGAAGAGGAATGGGGAAGTTCTTTTGACAAAAAGTGATGAGATGTTTTCAGTTGACATAAAGTTTCAAAAACCCAAGTATCTTGGGATCAGTGGATATCATTCGGCAATTTCTGTCAATACTTATACAGAGAGCTTAGTCTTAATTGACAAAGTAAATGGAGTGTTTGGGGAGCAAGCATCGTCTTCTCATTGGAGGAACCAATTGCAAGCATCAATGGAGGAACCGAGAAAATTATAGAAAGAGCAGGCAAGATATATTTATATATATATTCCCACTTGTCCATCACTGTTTTTAAGATTTCTTTTAGTAGTTCCTGTATGACATGTATATAAGTATCAATACCAGACTTGCATCAGAATGCCTCTTTTAAATGCTAGTTTTATGACAACTCTGAGTAATCATGGTCAATATAATTTTGGTGGTCATGTATCTCTACAAGTAAAGAGTAAGATTAAGTTCTCTTAGTGGATTATCAGCTACAATATCAATGTTGATCTTATTTGTTACATATCATTAGTATATCATACAGGGATGCAGTTAACACTTTATTTAGAGTGATGATGTACTTAGCCTGACTAATGGTTCGTTTGTAGCTAACATTCATCTCACATGCGACTTGACCTGAATTCTATTATCTTTTTAATGAGAATGATTTTTTATGATAGAAGTGACTGGCATGGAGAAAGACATTTTGTTTGTTCCATGGCTTCTAATGCCATATTGGAAATGTTTTTTGTTCATACTCTCTTGCTTTTCTTTTTCTTTTCTTAATGCCATTTTCTAGCAGAATTTTTTCTTGAGTGCACTAAATTGTTGCTGATATTTTACCTCTTTATATACTTTGTGTGGACTTGCATTGCTCTTTGACTTTGTTGCTTTTCTTTGAATCAGAAAATAAAATTATGTTTCACCTCATTCTAAAAGCATTAATCAAGATCACAACAAAGGTGTGCAAATTTGTTTCCCAAATCTTGGAAATAAGCTACAATTTTGACCTTTGTACCTTTGAGGAATGGTAGCCCAAGATATATAGGTCCTTTCTTTTAATTATTGCAAAAAAAATGTGAAAATTCTTCCAATATAGAAACTTACGTTTTCCTTTCATAGAGAAAATAAAAAAGCTTAGGGCATATTTACTGACAGGAAGTAATCCCGATTGGCACCCTCAAAAAGCAAAATCAAAACCAAAACCAAAACCAAAATCATGTTACTTTCCTAATTGCTTTTGTTCTTTTTAGGAAGTATTTTCATATTTAAAGAAAGAAAAGGAAAGCAACAAAATGTTACTTTCCATACTCTCACTGTAGCATAGGAATTGCTTTCGTTACTGTAGAACAACTTAATATCCCTGTAGCTCCCCAAAGAAAATGAAATACAGCTCTCCTTACTCCAATCCTTCCTGACTGGCTGGAGTATTATAACATCTGACTGTTCTCTCCCTCGCCATTCTCTCTCTCTCTACCAGTATCACATCCCACCCATTGGTGACCAATGATGGAAGACACCACCCACCACTCTCTCTACCAGTATCAGTGTTACTTTCAACCACCGGTCAATGAATTCCAGCTCATATCTACAACAATGTCATAACAAAATGCCTGGGGCTGAGAATGGCGGTGGAGACTTCGAATCTAATGATATTAAGAGTTTTAGCTCTCGTGTACACACACACACACACACACACATATCTTTGTGTATAATATTTAGGTAGGTTGATTTCTTTTTTCTTTATCTTAGATTGTTCCTGCTTTGTCTTCAATTTACTGTTATTAATTATTTCGATTGACTAAATTCTCTGAGTAGATGGTCCTTACTCCCATTATTTGTGTAGTTGTCTATAGGTTTCTGCTTGGATTTATTGTTTCAAAATGTCTCTCTATCACTGGTTGATAATACTTTTGAGTTTTGTTACTTATAAATAACAATAATTCTTTGAACTTTGAATTGATTTTAGTTTTTGGCTGTGGATTGTCTTAAACTCGGGTTGTCTTTGAATAATGTAAATTGTCTGGTCCTAAATTTGTAATCCTTTCATTTTCTTGTTTCTATGATTTCTTTTTTTCTTTTATTGCTAGTCCAGTGTGTTTCTTTGCAGGTGTGGTTTAAACCATTCATGACACTGCCCTCAATTTTATAGGAGGTTAAGAGGCGACAATTTTCTATTGATTCATTCCGCTGTCATGAACAAGTTCACTTTTAAAAATTGTTTGGGCATTTATATGAGACTATTCTCTCTATTCATTTTCAAATGTGTATCCCTCTTTGTTTTATTCGTGGAACTGGTTCATTCAGATTTATTTGGATTTATAAATCATTTGTACAATTGCTACATTTCCTAATTAGAGCATGGTTTAGCATGATCCTTGCAATAATACAGCAAACAACTTTGTTTGCCCTGTTCTTTAAATTACTATGTACTTTTTTTTGTCGGTGCTTTTTCAATGAATGAATGTGGATATTTTTAAGTGGGAAGAGCTGTGTTCAAATTATGAAATGATTGATTGGGTTGCTAAAGGGTTTACTTTGGATTTTAAACAGGTTACTTCTTTAACCTCAGTGAGAGATTTTAGCCAAAGAGGTGGGTGCAGAGTGTGTGGAATTTACCAGCTTCCATTTTCTCCTCTCAGGGCCAGTAGCAATTTCCTTGATCTTCTTCGGATCCTTCAATCTCTGGAATTTTTTGTCTGGCATTCCTGGATGGGGTTCGCTTTAGTTTGCGGCATGATAAGCCCTGGTTATTTGTGCTGGTTCTTTTGTCTTCGGCAGGGATCTAATTTTATTTTGCTTTTGATACGATGATGGAGCATTGTATCTTTTTATGGTGCTCTGTTTCTTTTGGTTCTGTATATGCCTTGTGCTCTGGTTGATTTTTGTTCATAGCTTCAAGGTTTTATGTTGTTCTTTTGCTTGGTGGATTTGGGGTTTTGTAGACAAGGCACATCCTGGGGTATGGCCATTGAAACATTTACATTGAGTTGCCTTTGTTTACAGTTCAGGGATTATTGCCTAAGAATCATTCATTCTCTATGGAAATTGAAAGTTTATCTCGGCTTTCCTTCTTTACTATAGCTGTGGGCTTGGGTGAGAGATTGAGCAGGTATATAGATTAAACGGGGGCTAAGCCATATCTAAATTCCTGACTTGAGAAAAAGGATCAACGCCATCACGGCTCAGAGCCTTTAGTTGCTCTTTTTTCTACTGGGGATCGTAAGATTGTCTCGTATTTCCTGCAGATTAAGCCTAATTTCCTAAACCTATCTCCGAATTGACCTCCTACTGGGCGAGAGCTTTCCTGTTTGGTCCAGTTACATATCATTCTGCAAATCAATATCCCGATGCAAAAAGAGGCTGTCCTCAGATCAGCATTTCTCATAATTCCGCGATATATGGACATTTAACTTGTCCAAAAAAATAACAAGAGCCGTTGAGGTCAATTTCAGATGAGGTTTGAGTTCTTATGTTCTCATTTATACTAGGCAGCTCAATTTGCAACAGAGCCGATAGTTGATTGGGTCAGTTTTGGGCACTTTTTGGCTTAACACAGTCACTATTGTAGCTCTTTGGAACCTTCATTATAGAATAGTTGCGACTAAAATCTTGTATTTTGGTTTATGTCATGTTTGGCTATGCAATGCAAAAATAGTGTACCAACATCACATTTTGAAACTCTTCTTGGAATTCATTATATATATATATATATATATATAAGTTGCATTAGAGACTATTCAAGTCAATGCAATGAAAAGTATTCAAGTCTCTAATGCAACTTTTAAGTCTTTACCAGTATTCCCTCTAGAATGTTGTTGAATTTCCAATTTCAATACTTTTCATTTTATTGACTTGAATATATTGTCATTTGTCAATGAAATGAGAAGTATTCAAGTCTCTAATGCAACTTTTAAGTCTCAACCAGCATTCCCTCTAAAATGTTGTTGAATTTTCAATTTCACGAAAAAAAAAATAAATAAATAAATAAACCCATTTGGTTAGCATAAACCGGTTCGTTTGAAGATTAGAAACTAGGGAGGGCAATTTGACCTGCCCCGCGGTTACCTGCCCCACCCCGCTCCGTTTTTGGCGATTTTGGAAGACCGTATTGCTTATTTGGACTAGGATGGTTTGGTGTAATAAAAACCCGTACGGGTTTGGTGCGGGGGCGGGAGGAGGTCGTCCCGCCCCACCCCATTTAAATAACAAATTACTTAAGTACTCTTATTTCATTAATATATATATTTCCTACTATATACTAAGAACCCTATATAACAATATTAAAATAAGAAATGAATTTCATTAAAAGGAAAGTTGCAATGGTAAAAAATTAAAGATGAGGGGAAAAAAAAAAAAAAAGAGCAAATCTATCTCAACAATAAATAAATTGTGATCTTAAACGGGGTGGGGCGGATACCCGCAGAGGTAAAATTGTTAAACGGTTACGGGGATGGAATGAAAAGTTCCCCTACTTTTACAATTTTGGGTAAGAACAGAGACACAATTTTTAAACGATTGCGAGTGTGGAGAGGATACACCCGCCCAAACCCGCCCCGTTGCCATCCCTGTTAGAAACCAAAAAGCAAGGATATTCTTTTGGACACGCTTTAAACTCCTTCGGTCCCGCACGCGTGCGCTCTTCCGCACCGAGCCACCTCCCCCTCTCTCTCTCTCTCTCTCTCTCTCTCTCTCTAAGCCTGCAAATATCCGTTCTCTTCCACTCCTGCACGAAGTTCACAGTCACATTTTGATCAGCAAAAATGCATGCGAATCATTTGCTTCTTGAGGAGCCTATCAGGATGGCCTCCATCCTCGAGCCATCAAAACCTGTAAGTCTCAATTTTTCAATTGCTTAATTTTTTTTTCGTTTTCAGTGTGGATCTGTAAATAATGATATACTTTTGCGTGTATATATATGTATCTCTTTGTAAATACATATATTTCTGCATTCTTGAATTTGATTTTATGAATTTCTATGATGTTGGATTCTGCAGAGTTTCTTTCCTGCAATGACGAAGATCGTGGGGACTTTGGGCCCCAGGTCTCGATCCGTGGATGTTATTTCTGGCTGTCTAAAATCTGGAATGTCTGGTATTACATACTTTCTGTGTTTTATATTTGAATTTTTTTCTTAACAAAAATTATAGATGAATTTATTTATATAATGTTTGAATGCATGTGAGTCTTACAGTTGGATTAGGGTTTGATTTTACTATCTAGATGGATTTTGATCTAATGGCTTGTGAATATATCTTTTTGGTAGTGGCACGATTCGATTTTTCGTGGGGAGACCCTGAGTTTCACCAACAGACTCTGGAAAACTTGAAGTTGGCTGTGAAGAGTACTAAGAAGCTATGTGCTGTATGTATCTCTATGTATTGGTCTTTAATGACAAAGATGTAATTTTTAGTAATTCATTTTTATGTGCGTTCAAATTTTTATCCTTTAATTATCAATGCAATTAGGTTCCTATCTATCTTTTACACTGCTTGTTTACTGATTGTATCCACCTGTAGTAGTGGTTTACTGATTGTATCTTTTATTTCCTTTTTTGGTTGGTAAGAACAGTAAAGGGAAGGAAAAAGAAACGGAAAAAATTTGAACCTTATGTATATCACTTTCTTGGTCTGTAATCTGTATAATGGAAAAAGGTCACACTTGTCTAGTGAAACCTTTATATTGTTTGGATGAGCTGGTTTTTAAAGGGGCTATTTGGAAATCTCAAGAAATGATATATGCCAAAATCCCAGCTTATCTTGTTATTTGGTTCAGAGGAAAACCAACATTGTGTTGTTCTGGCAACCAAATGGAAACTAATTATCATTAATTTTTTAAGTTGTTTCTTATTAAATCATCCCATGTTAGTTTAGTCTCTTAATTTATGTTACAACCAAATGGAACTTGTGCTTAGTACATAAGAAGAAAAAAAAAAATAATAATAAAAATAAAAATAAAAGACATTGAGAGTGTAATGTTGTTTACCTTTTCAGGTAATGCTAGACACGGTGGGTCCTGAGTTGCAGGTTATTAATAAAAGTGAGAAAACTATTTCACTTCAGGCGGATGGCATTGTTGTTTTGACACCTAATCAAGATCAGGAAGCCTCGATAGAAGTATTGCCCATCAACTTTTCTGGACTGTCAAAGGTTAGACACTTCCATCTCCCTCCCCATAGTTATGAATTGTTTCCATTAATTACATCTTTTGGTAAAATAGTGGTTCAATTGTACATAACGAATATTTCTTGCCTGTAAATTGACACGATAAACTTACATTTAGATTGACACGATAAACTACCTGTTAACATAATGAATCAGGAAAAACACACTGTTGACTAGTAATTTCCTATTCAAATGAAAGGTAGTTTAACTTTGGAACCCCAAATTCGGAACCAACTTGTCATTTTTTTTTTTTGTGGTTTTTTATTTTTATCATACTTTGTTAAAGATTAGCAACGCATATAAAAAAAATGGCTAGCCCAGTGCATGAGCCCCCTTCATAACAACACATATGTCCCGGAACTATATTTGGTTCAGTAAAATTGCATGATAAAATTGGTCGTGTTCATACTTCATATGATCTTTTTAGTACAATGTCCAAACTTACCAGACCTTCAGTTGCTTTTTGCAGGCAGTCAAGAAAGGAGACACTATATTTGTCGGTCAATATCTTTTCACAGGAAGTGAAAGTACTTCTGTTTGGCTGGAGGTAGGGGTGCAGAATGCCTATCAAACACCCCCTCAAATTAAAAATAAATAATTAATTAAATCTGCACTCAAGAAGCCAAGATTTAAAGTATGAGTCAGAGTTGACTAATATTTTTTTATTGGATTCATGCAGGTAGATGAAGTGAAAGGTGAAGATGTGGTTTGTGTGATAAAGAATACTGCAACACTGACTGGGTCATTGCTCACTCTACATGCCTGTCAAATTCGTATTGATCTGCCTACTCTCTCTGATAAAGATAAGGAAGTGAGTTATGCCTTTAAGCAATACATATTCTAAGCGTCTATTTTCTTCATTGCAGTGAAAAAGGTTGAAACCTATAATTGAGGAAAAAGTTACCTGAGATAATATCTGTTAAGTAAGACTTCTTCATTTTATGTGGACATCCTTGTTTGTTTATGCTTGCTGTTGGTCATATCAACAAGGGCAGCCCCCTTCATGCACTGTTTTTCGATGTTCCTTACGTTTTTGTGGATGTTGGTTTGTGTATTTCCTTTTCCGTTTCATGCAGAGAAAAAGGCTGAAACTACAAATGAGGAGAATTTGTCTTGGATAATCTTTATGGATATATTTTCATCTTATGTAGACACAATCACATGTTTTTGCTCACCAGAAGGCCATTACCCATTGGTCTCAATTAATTGAGGGTACTGAGAGGGGTGTAGTAGGTACAAACATAGCCTTTGGAACTATTTGTATAAAGTGGCTGACCTCAATCTCGAATCCACACACTAATGCTTAGCCCAAGCTTTTACTATTGTACCAAGCAACGGTCCTTGATGGATGTGTTAGACTGTTACCCAAGGTTCTGGTATGCCGTAGTACAAACTGTGATGTTGGGGGAGGGGGGTGGGTTTAATACGTCTTATGGATAGTATTTTACCCTTAACTAACTTTTCTAATCATTGTAAATCCTTATGGACCTTATCTGAAATTGAGTTTGTTAGTTGTGATGATTGATATTCAAATAACAATTTTATGCCTGTTAATTTTCAATTTCCATAATTCATAAATCAGATTCACAATCATGCATCAATCGAAAATAAAGTAAGAGACACCAATTTTTGCGTGGAAAGCCCAAATGGGAAAAACCACAGGATCTAGTCCAGACAAGCACAATCCATTATTCGAGAAAGAAGTTACAATTAGGTTGACAATTCCACAACCTAGAATCCCTAGTAATTTCTTGACATACGCTCACGCCAAAGTGCCAAACCTTTCACTCAAGTATCTAGGCCATTCGTTTTCTCGTCAACAGACTTCGCTCCTTATGAATCTATTTCTCTAGTGATTGTTTGCCCTATATGCTATGACAATTAATCGGTTGAATTCGATTGGATCATTGAATCCCTCCTTGATGAACACTCAATCACATATGATGTCTAAGGAAAGCCTAATTTGAGTAAATTGGGAATTCTCCTTCCTCGAGCAAATATTCCTCTAGATGATCAAAGACTGCAAAATCATTCCTAGACTGACTATAACCCCATAATTATAGCCAAATAGGTAGTTCATACGTTTTAGTTAGTAGAATCCTTGTTAAATTGTGTTTTGAGAGAGTTTTCAAAAACTATGCCTGTCAAGTTCTATTGATTAACCCTTCAATCGAAGCCTACCGAACAACCCTTCATTGATCAACCCTTCAGTTGAGATGTAATGTTTTTCAAAATTATTTTTTCGATCAACCATTAGATCAGTGGCTACTAGAAGATATTCGATCAATTGATGCTCACCATTATTCAGTTTAAAACATAATTAAGAAAAGTGTGTAAAAAAACTTTGAAAAAACCTTTTTTCAAAAAAAAATTTTAAAACAAAATAGGGAGCCTCTCCAACATCAATCTAGGTCATATTTGGTTTTTCTAAGGTCAATTTACTTGTGCCCTAGATATGTGATGAGGATCCAAACTTCATGTCGTGTTCTTCACAATTTTGTGTCTGCCTTGTCTTCTATAGATGTACTTGAACAACTCAAGGCACTTTGACACGTTACAAGTTTTAGGTAGGAAATTGTTAATACATGACTGATATACCTAACAGTTTGCTTACTGCTGTTCATTATTCCTAAGGGCTGCCTCGCACTTTATCTTTCTGCTCTGATGCAGTGCCTTTAGCAGCCATACTTGAATGAATTTTGAGCGAATATATAAAACATTTGGAGCATAAATGGTGTTTTCCAGTATAAGGTAGTTGATACTCATATATTCAAGCACAACAAAGAACAAATGAAGCTTTTTTTCCCAATTACGTGGGTTCGCTGCTACATAAATCTCATTCTTCCATTTCTTAGTATTCATGCTCATATTTATCATGCAAAAATTTTACACTCTTTGGCAAGCTACCTAACGCAAAATAGAAAAGACACCAGGTTAAATTCATCAGCTGTTGCCAAAGATAGTGGCTGTGCATCTCTAAACTTTGTACAGCTCCTGTATTTTAGATCCTGATCAATGGTAATGGGTGCCTTGCCTTTTTGAAATTTGCATGCTATTATTTGAATTTTACCAATATATGTCATTTGCAGCAAAATATTAACTAGGTTTTGAAGTTCCCTCCAGTCAAGTGTTGCTTACTGCCATAGCTGTATTACCAACTGCTTTTGGTGTTAATTCACTTTTCATTTCAGGCCATAAGTACGTGGGGTGTTCAAAATAAAATTGACTTCCTCTCTCTATCATATACTCGGCATGCAGAAGATGTTCGTGAAGTAAGGATCATTTATGATTTACTATATCTTAGTTATCCTGTCTCTAAATTTTCTTATATTCTTCTTATAGTTAGTCATTCTGATTGTTTTATAGCTCCAATAACATTCTGCTTTATGTTCTAATGCAGGCCCGTGAATTTTTATCTAAGCTGGGTGATCTCAGTCAGACTCAAATTTTTGCAAAAATTGAAAATGTAGAGGTAAGTTTCAAATCTTCGTAGCTCATATGAGGTTGCCTCTGCTATTCAGATGTGATCCCATGGAAAATCAGGGCAATATTGCGGAAATTTGAATGTATATATGAATCTCATTCCCCCATTTTAGGGTTTGACGCATTTTGATGAGATCCTAAAAGAAGCAGATGGTATAATCCTCTCTCGTGGAAATCTTGGTATAGATCTCCCACCACAGAAGGTTAGTTTTTAAATTTTTTTCAAGTTCTGCACAGGGATATAGTTAGGAATATAATTATTTCAATGGTTGATATGGCTCCAATGTTCTGAATTTTTTTTATTTTTTGTTGGATTAAGGGCTAAATATTTCCCTTCCCTCGATTGTGTATATTACAGTGTTACAGGTGTTTTCTTTTTTTCTTTTTTTTCCCTTTAAAGTAAGTTGGAGTAAATATAAAAGTATGCGTGCAATATCTCAAATCATTCCATGTTCAATATTTGTTCCTTCATTTCTACTATTGATAATTAAGGATTTAGATAAAAAATTATTTTAGAAAGCATGAGATTTGAATTTATTTATTAACTAGAGACATCTCTCTTTCTCTTTATGTGTGTGCGTACATATCTATATCTATCTAGCTATCTTTTGCTGTAAACTTATGAATCCCTTCTGTTGTCAATAAAGAAAGAAATGCCTCTCGTTTGGGATGACTCATTCTAAAGTCATGAATGTGGTGGCCGTAAAGTGTGTTCCTCAAAACAAGAAATGTTACCATGCCGTCAAGCCACTTTTCTACTAAAAAGAAAGAAGTGGGCGCATACGTTATGAAGGAGGCTCCGGACCCCATGATTGAGAACACACAAACACGCGCATATGTATATATATATATATGGCAGGGAACAAAATGTATTGCCTAACAGTAACAGCTAGCTCTTATAACTTTGATTGATGCAGTAGTAAATATTTAACAATAAATGTCTTACCTACATTGGAAATGCTGAGGGGAATATTGGGGACATATAACCTTTGGTATCATTTTGTATAAAGTGACTACTTTGAGACTGGAATCAATCTCATCGCACTTGCTAGCTCTAATTTTTAACGTTATGTTAATTTAGGAAAATGGGTAATCTGTGTAGAACATATACCGATTCATGAATTTAGGGCAGATACATCGGTTGGGAATAAAGCCCATTACCTCCTTTATTTTACCTTATTATGTGTATTCCTTTTTAAGTATGTCCTTCATTTTTGTACCTTTTGTTATTCTTGATATATATATATGCATAATTTTATAAAATATAGAAAAATTGGGCTTTCTTTTTAATATTTTTAGGTGTGTTTTAGTATTTATTTTTCTTTTTCTTTTTTGATAGTTTTGAAGGAGAGAGTAAGTAAAGTCTCGTTAAGAACCTCCAAAACCCTAGTCCTATAAATTACCTGGGAAGTAAATTCGTTCTATAATCTATCATGTATTATACGATAAGAGTCAGGGTGCATTATATATCACTGATTCATATAACTTTACACGTGTTGTATATGGTTTATTCTGTATTGTAGTTTGTCTTATTGGTACCAATAACTCATGATTACGCTTCACGATGGGTCAATGTTTTTACTTTGTTCAATTTTGTGGATCCACCAATATAGCGTTGAACTGACTGTTACACTGAACCTGCTGCTGAGCGCACATTTTTGTAATTTGCAGGTATTCCTATTTCAAAAGGCTGCTGTTTACAAGTGTAACATGGCTGGAAAGCCTGCAGTGATAACTCGTGTTGTGGATAGTATGACTGACAATCTTAGACCAACTCGTGCAGAAGCAACTGACGTTGCCAATGCTGTATTGGATGGTGTGTCCCTTATTGTCTTTGTAGATGCATGTCGTGATCCTTATTAAATTCACTGTTTTTTTTTTTTTGCATATTGCATGTAACATGCTACTGCATTGGGATTCTAGATGTTTTCTTGTTGGTGTGAGGCTCTTGTATGAGTATTCCTTTTACTTTCTCTTTTATAGTTCATGTCTTTGTTTACTTGTCCAAAATATATATATATATATATATATATGGTATGCAAATATAATGTGGAGATACTGGACCTTATTTTCTTGCTTTTCTGATTTTATAAATGGGTGCAGGAACTGATGCAATCCTTCTTGGTGCTGAGACTTTGCGTGGCTTGTATCCTGTTGAGACTATTTCTATTGTTGGTAAAATTTGTTCTGAGGTAATTCTTTTTTATCTTGACGTTGCTAAGAATTTTTCTGCTAAGGAACTTCGTGTCTAACTGCAAGCTCTAAATGTATGTTACCTGGAATTTCAAACGTTTGAACCCCGTATGCATCTTAATCTGTACAATGTGAAATGTGTGCTACATAGGAAAGTTCCGACTTCACAGCCTTCTATAATTTATTGCTCTGCTGCTTTGGCTATCTGGCACATGTTCTACACTAACTGCCTGATTGGTTGGGCAATTACCCTTATGGTCCCAGTCAGTAAGATTTTTGTGTTTTCTCTCTCCCCCCGTCCTTTTGTTTTTCTTTTTCAAAGTAAATGTGACACATATGACATCTAAAATGCAGAGCATTTTCTTGCAGGAGTACTTAATTTGTATTTGCAACATCACAAAACACACACACACTCTCTCTCTCTCTCTCTGCACTCGTGAATTTTATTTTATATGCATTTCTTCATTTCTGGTTTCTGTTTTATTATGTGGGTTTAGATGTTGACTGCTAGACTCCAGGTTCACGCCTTAACATCAGGGGATATCTTATTATGTTTAAACAATTACTCAAGTAAATAAATCCTTGTTTTATCTAATTGCATTTCCCGCCAGCTAATTTTTTTCACTCAGCTATATGATATGGCTTAGTTCTTACTGTCTTTTTTCAGTAATTACGTAGTTCTTACTGCCGACTAGCATAATCTCTTAAAGTGCTGTTGGAGTAGAAGATATGAACAAGTTATGTTTTATAAATATGTGTGTACAATCCTTCATATTCTTAAAGTGCTGTTGGAGTGGAGATCATAATGCCCTGAAACTTGTAAATATGTGTGTACAATCCTTCATGTTCTTCATATAATTCCATTAGCATCATTTCTTATGGATTTATTGTATTTGAGCTCTTATAAATGACAAACATCACATTCTCAAATTGCTATGTAGGCGGAGAAAGTTTTCAACCAGGACCTGTACTTTAAGAAGACTGTCAAATATGTTGGAGAACCGATGACCCACTTGGAATCCATTGCTTCATCTGCGGTATTTTCTTTTAGGTTTTTTTATTGTACCGTTTTGTTTTTTAATGATGAGGTTACTGAGATTTCATTGATTTTGGTTTCCTCTGTTTGAAACAATTGTTTACGTGAAATTGGTTTCCTCTGGTTACAATCGTATTTCTACTTCTTGTTTAGGTGAGGGCGGCTATTAAGGTGAAGGCATCTGTTATTATTTGTTTCACTTCATCTGGAAGGGCTGCAAGGTATTTAGATATTTGGAAGGCGAGAGTGTGTATTTACTTGTAACTCTTTTGGGGAACACATTACAAGTCTGTTTTTAAGAAACTACCCAGTTAGGGTTCAAGTCCTGATTTCTTGCTTAGTGAACCCTAGTGTAATCAAGCTGTAAATTTAGATGGCCCCTTTTGAATTATTATATGTGATTCTTTACCCATATGTGATTCTTTACCCACATGCAACCAATCATATTTACTCATTTCCACGATACTCAATATGGTTCATATTGTATATGTGTATGTATATGCAGATTAATTGCGAAGTATAGGCCGACAATGCCTGTTCTATCAGTTGTCATTCCTCGTCTCAAGACAAATCAACTACGGTGGAGTTTTAGTGGTGCATTCGAGGTGTGCCTGACTTTTTTTTTTTTTTTTGCCCAACTAAGTTAATTATAACTTGTCCACCACAGGATAGTTTCTTGTTACCATAGGGATTTATATAACTTCTCTTTTCCTTTCGTTTATGCCATGTGGTTGATATTCAAGCTAATAAATTGATACTATTTTTTCCACTTCATATGAATGTTTAGGCAAGGCAATCGCTTATAGTCAGAGGTCTTTTCCCCATGCTCGCTGATCCTCGGCATCCCGTAAGTTCTTATTTTGCATAACTTTGTTGTTGATGCTGCTATTCGGTTTGAAATTATATTTGTCTTTGTATAGTGGGTTTTCTCTGCACAATGTGTTGTTGGTTATCTGTGAGTCCTAGAAGATTTATTTGCTGTTGCCCACAAATTTCCATCTTCAGGCCTGCATGGCTGAAGCAGGGAACTCCGTTTTTCCTAATGAATTATATTGTCAAACTGTCCTGAGCTTGAGTTCAACGAATGGCTGCCATGAGTGGATTGTGCTTTCGTTCTTGATGTAATGCACATACAAGTGTTAAGTTTTTTCATAGGTTTATGATAACCAAGATGTCTTTATAATCTAATTGTTTACAAGGTCAACAATGGCAAATTAAACATTTTTGACTGAAACGTGTCTTGTTCATGCCATTTCTATTAAATTTCACTATTTCCATCTACTAAATTTCACTAAATCTGGTGTCTACCCGCTTTGCAGGCTGAGTCTACAAATGCAACGAACGAGTCAGTTCTAAAGGTTGCACTCGATCACGGAAAGACCTCCGGAGTTATAAAGTCACATGATCGAGTTGTTGTTTGCCAGAAAGTTGGGGATGCATCTGTTGTCAAGATTATCGAGCTTGAAGATTAGAACATATAGCTACAACTAGTTTCAAGCCATTCTGACGGCTTACCTCCGATTTTGGAAAGTGGCGGTGGACTGTTGCCATCACCTGTGCGGTTCAAATCTTGTGGTCTTGGAGATTATCTTACAAAGTCGCATATATTATGAATGTACACTTGAAAAATTGGAGTGGTGTAAAATAAGTCCAATTTTTGCTTGGATATATGAGTGGGAGCTTTCAGATTTTATTCTCAGTAATTTTATAAATGGACAGCTCTGGTGTTGAGCAGAAATGGATCCTTTTTGCATCAATAAATGTTTATCCCAATATGGATGTTTGGGTGTTGAAGGTTTTCAACTTTCATTTTATAATCGGTTGTGTCTTGCTCCAACAACGCCATTTGAAATTGGATATTGCCATCATGAAAATCTTCCACCTCTTTCCACTTCTTTTTGTTTTTTTTAAGTTAAAGGTAAGCTTGTATAAATAGAAATGTGGAAAGAATATACATGAGGGCACTAATAGCTCCCCAAAAGAAATACAACAGCAACCAAGATACAAAAGGAACAGCAAAGCAAAGCAAAGTTGCAGACAGCAGAAAACAAAGCTTGTAGCAAGCTATAAGCCAACAGTAAAATGAACCTTAAACAAAACAACCCTTGATCTAACAGGAAATTGGACCTTAAACAAATCATCTCTTGAAACAACCAGGTGGAAAGCATTCCAAGTCCTATTGTGCCAAACTTGAATGACCTCCATAAAGAGAGCAGCCTTTGTAATAGAGGTATTGCAAGTCATTGAAGGACAGTACTTGGCTTAACTGTGAGGTGTTTGTAAGAATGATAGAAGCTAATCTTGAAGGGATGGAGGATTTGATCAGTGAGATGATGTGTTAAGGAGGAGCGGATTTGTTCCTGAATGCTCTTGAGTTCCTTTCCATCCATAAGAAGTAAACTGCAGCAGAAAAAAGCAATTTGTGCACTAGAAATTTCTGTGATGTCCAATGTGAGGAGCACCATGCAACCAAATCTGTCCAAGAGTTGGACTGTAAAGAGAAACTTGAGACCCCTTGAATGAACCTCCAAATGTGAGAGCTGTACTTGCATTTAAAGAACAGATGGTCAAGGGATTCAGACCAAAACATGCAAACCAAATGCATTGATTCCACTTCAAATAGCCTTTGGCGGTGCTCAAGCCAGATTCTTATGAAAAAAAGTAATGCAGAAGCAAACTTATAAATCATCCTATTTGCCTTGGAAACGCTTGCTGCCAACAAAAATTTAGCTTTCAAGAACTTACATAGAAAATAATAAAAAGAAGCCTGACTTGTGCATCATACAATACCAATCTACAAGAAGCAAAGCAGAAGAAGAGAAAGAATTGAAAGGGCAAGCCCAAGACTGAATTACATGAAGACATGAACAAAATTTGGAAGAAGAACAACCAACCATATATAAATATGTCTAATGTATCTAATCTACTATACAATTCATCCGTTGATGGAAGATGGGTCACTCCTCTTGTGGGTACAATTTTGTTGTTGCTGTTGTTGAAGATCAATCAAGTCGAGCTCTTTCTGGCGAAGGAGGAGGACCATCCTCTCATTCTCAAGCTTCATTCTCTCGTTTTTAAGCTTGTCTCTCTCCATCTCCCTCTCCTTCTTGCTGCTAAACTTCACCCATTTCAACCTCTGCTTCTCGAGTTCAAACGCTTCACATTGGTACCCAACCCGTTGCTCCTCCAATTGCATCAACCTCACCTTCATCCACTGCCTTTTCTCCCAAGGACTTTTAGTCCCATCTTGAACCACACTCATCATTTCAGAGCTCAATTGTTGAATCAATTGCGAGGGTGAGGGCGAGGGGGAAAGCGAGAGAGACACTCCCTTTCTCGCCCTTTTCTTCGAGCACCTTTCATCCTCATCGTCCTCCTCATGGCCGTGCTCATGGCTTCTCAGACCACCTTCCACCACCTCGTCTTCCTCTTCCTCATCATCGTCATCATTGTCATCCTCCTCGTCATCATCCTCCTCTTCGCTTCCCACTTTCACCATTTTCAGTCCCTCTGACTCTGCCCTAACCAAATTAGCCGCAATTGGGGCATTCTCTGTCGAGTGAAAACACCGCTGCTGCTGTGGCTGCTGCTGAACGTGAGATGGCTCAGCTGCCACTTCTGGTGAACGGTGGGCACCCGAACCACCACCACCGCAGCTATTATGATAAGCACACATTTCCCTGAAAAACAAGTGCTTGGAATTGAGTAATTTCCTAACTTCTTCCCTCCTTTTCGGCGTTAAATGGTCCATGGTTTCGAGCAAGCTCTGGTTCTCAACAACTTGACAAGCTGTTCCTTTCCCTAATATATCATTAACCCTCTTGTACCTCTTGTTCAAATCATTGAACTTGTCCTCACATTGCTGTGGAGACACATAAAACCCTCTCTCCATCATAGCCCTCGACACGGATTTCCACTTCCCCTTCTTCTGCAACAACCCACCGCCCTTCTTCTTCCCGGCCGGATCGTTCCCTTCGGACCCGGCTTCATCCCCAATATAAAACACCACCATTATCAACAACCTAACCATGTTATCGGTCCATTTCATTCTCTGCCATGGAGACACTTTCCTACTCCCATCACCAGCACTGTCCTCAGCGGTGAGTCCAGGCTCATCCTCATCACTAAGTGTCAACTGGGATTTGGATTTTGGGGCATATGGGTAGGCTTGTTTCACAGGTCTCTGAGATTGTGGGTTTTGATCAGCCTCATGGTGGCCAAAGCCAACAATTGGGAGGTGTTGGTGTGATTGCAAATGGTGAGGGTTTTGTTGGGGTTGGGATTGGGATTGGGATTGGGGTTGGTGTGGGTGTAGTGACATTTCTAGCTCTAACATTCCAGAACCCATATTTGAAAACAATCCACCAGATAAACCATTACTAGTTTCCATTAACCTAAAAAAACTAGTTCAATAACCAAAATCATGAGGACCCAATTGAGTAAAAAGTATCATTATACGCTGTTTTTCACATTATATAAGGGATCAAAATATAGATTACAAGAACAAAACCTAATAATAAAAGTTGCCTGAATCACAAGTACTAAAGAGATTGAGATTGAAGTGTAACATCACCAATTTCTGAGGCACCTACTTTGATAGTCCAGAAAAATTTAGTGCTTCACCAGCTTTTGCAGCATTATCTGGCTAATTCTGGAGAGAGAGAGAGAGAGAGAAAGGGTACGATATGATGGGTGAATTGGGGAGCAGTACACCGAGTGGTATGGATGGATAGAGACAGTGCGTGTGTATATACATAGGGTGGAGCAGCTGGTTTTAGTGTGGGAGGTTTTGGTTTGGGGCTGACAGAAAACTGCCCCTGGTTTTGCACTCTTCACCAGTTTTAGAGAGAGAGAGAGAGAGGAGAGAGAGAGAGAGTCCACAGGATTTTGCAAAACTGCAACTCCGCTTAACGTTGTTTTGACCTTTCTTGGAATGATAGAGTAAAGTTACAATGAGGTGCACATCATTTTAGCACCCGTGAGCTTCTTATTTTTTTTCTGTTTTTGAACATACAAAATTTAAAGAAGGATCTTTCAAAATTTGGCATAAAAAAATATTTAAAATAGATTACGTGTTTTAATTAAATTTTAATATTCTCTTTCGGTTGATCAATTTTGACTTACATTTGACAAGTTCTTATCATTTTATTTTAAAATATTTTATATTAATTTTTATTATAGAACTCTTTTAGAACATTGTCTCTTTTTTTTTTGTTCAATTTTTTTTGGTTAAGGTTTTAAAATAATGTCACGATGTGATTGACGCCTAAATTTTATTTATTAAGTAATGATATAAGCTTATTTAAGGGACGACTTAACCATAAGATGAATAGGTAAGATTTTAAATAGGATCGGATGTTACATATCTCATCATATTACTTATATATTTTTGTAATGAATTAATTATGTTTTGTATATTATTTTTTTGTATTGGTTTATATAAATTTCTTTTATATATATATATATATATATATATATATATATATATATATATTAATAAATTTATTTGCTCAAATAAAAGAAGAGGCCACATATCCAATGGACTAGCTGGTGTTGGTGTTCGCCCCCACCCCGTTTCTCTATATTATATATATATATAAATTATTTATGTTTTGTATATTGTATTAGTTACTAAATAAATACAATTCCTCTTCTATTAATTAATATAAATTACTTTTAATTACCTCAATTTTTTCTCTCAACAATTTTACATATGTTCGACTCCAAATTTTAAAATTCTCTTATATATCAATCATTGTTTAAAAAAATTGTTTTGTAATTTATTGACTCTCTTTCACGTAAATTTTAAGTACAAAAAATTATTATCTATTCAGTTAAAAAATGGAAAAAAAGTATTTTCATATTTCCTCTAGCGTAATGCAAGTTAAGTAGATAAAAAAAAATAAAAATAAAAACGATTGGTAATGTATTACTATAACCAGTGTGAGAAGACTTAATTTAAAATTTTGGCTTTCCGCCTCAAATGGGGTCAAATCGGCTCTGTCTATTTGTCCAATGGAATAATATAATTTATTAATTTTTATTCACTTGATGTAGTAAACAAGTTCAAGTTTGGATCTATCTGATACTTAAGTTGTTGCTTATTTAAAAGGTGACCTAGCGATATTAGGTTCTTAGAAAAAATATATATATATTGTAAAAAAAAGTTTCATAACAATTTATTACTCCCTTCGTCCCTAATTAGTAGTCTATTTTTTTCTTTTTACATGTCCTAAAGTAGTTGTCTTATTTAAAAAGTCAAAGTATTTTTTTATTATATATTCATCATTGTCCTTTATTTTTTAAAAACATTTCAAATTTTGTAACTATATATATTTAAATTAAAAAGAATAATTTAATAATTTACAAAAAAAACTTTTTAAATATGAACTCCTGTCTAAAAATAGGAGGGAGGTAGGATTATTTTTTCATCTCAGTTGAGGACAATTATATGAGCTACCTTAAGCCAAACTGGTTCAAACATTGAATCTAAGCCGCCAAGGGAGGTCCAGAGTTGGCAGTGATTTGACTGACAAACGGAGAGATAAAGTGTCAGTTACACGGTTTTTGGCAATTGAGGAAAAATTAAAGAAATACGTAGTAAATAAGAAAAGAAAGTTTGAAATAATTCCAAAATTCTCACCGGCTACTTTTACGCCAAATTAGTTTAGCGAGGGATAAAAAAATTGATTTGTCCATTGAGTTAAATCCATATTTATTAAGTTTTTAATATATACATTCAATTTCATGAATTTCAGTTGGTTAAAATTTAAACTCTAAAACAGAATAAAAACTCGAAAAAGACGCAGTAGAAGGAGAATTACATGAAAATACACATATTTGCTAATTTTGGCACATGTGTGTATATAGAAGGAGAGAGGTGGAAAATAAAAATAAAAAAAGGGAAGAACACGTAATAGTAGTAGCGATCATTTTTTTTTTTTTTTTTTTTTTGGTTGCTCAACCCTTCTCTTTAGGACCATTGTGTTTCAATTTGTAGGACCCACATATGAGAAATCATATTCTTTTTAATAACAATATTCTGTAATTCATGAGATGAATATACGGAGTATATAACTATATATATATATATATATTTGCTTTTTTCTGTTTTTTGGGACCACTTGCTTTTATTTTATCACATGAATTTTTTGAATTCAAATAAAGACTATCAAATAACAAATTCGTCAAGAAAAATAATTACTAGAAAATTGTTCACTTTATTTATGCATTAATGTGTTGCTAGTTGGTAACGTTTTAAGAATATTTTAATTTTAAAATTATTATTATTACTTTTTTTTTTTGGTAAGAAAACACGTTGTAAATTATAAGTTATAGGTCTTTCAAAAAACGTCACATGTTAATTTTTTTAACAATTAAACCTAAAACACCTAAATAAATACAAATACATTTAGTTGAGAATTTTGAGATAAGATATAGTAATGAAATGAAATAGATTACTCTTCAATGGTGTCGCTATAAATTACATAAGCAGATGCCTCGATAAATTAGTAACTCTGGTGAATTTTGAAGTGTCAAATTTTTACTTTTTACATCTACTAATCAACTTCTAACATTAAATGAGGCAATTTTGAAGTGTCAAATTTTTACTTTTTACATCTACTAATCAACTTCTAACATTAAATGAGGCAAAGATATGCAAAATCCAAGTAAATGGTGGGTGAACGTGAATACAAAAAGGGTTTTATGGTTCAATGTTATCTCTTTTATATTTAAAATTGAATGATAAATGTTTGAATTTTCAAAGAAGTAAGGTGAATGTGTGAGTGAATATGTACGACCTTCGTGTCTAATTTCACCTCTGACTTCAAAGTTGAACCAAGATCTCACACTACCGAATCTACTAATGAAGTTTCCTAATTAACAACTACTATAATAAAAACTTGGTACCTAACAAACTTTAATATATTTTTATTTTTTTATATAAATAGAAATACGTTAAATTCACTCTTTGAAATCAGATAACGAAAAGTTTCCTAATATATATAAAAATCAGATAATGAAGTTTCCTAATATTTATTGGACCAAATGGGGGACTTTATCCAGGTCAAACCCAAAATAGAAGGTTGTCTTCTTGTTACGGAAAATAGGTGGGCCTGTAACATATATTGGATTTGAAGTGAAAAGTAAATTGTTCTAGAGTAATGAAAGGCCGTGGAAAAGAAAAATGTCCCGAATTTGATTTGGCTATATCAGAGTTAAAATTTAAAAAAAAAAAGTCTTCTCTTATATCGTATAACTGAAAAAAAAAACAAAAAAACAAACAAACATGGGACTTTCTCTTCTCTCACACAAACAAAATACTAAAAACTCTAACAAAAAAAATAATCACAAACTTGTTCCTGTGTTCCATAAATCTAAATTTTCAAAGTAAAAATTTCTAGAAGTATACCGTTTGAATGTATCAAATCATTTTAACAGTCAAAACTTTCCTAATTACTTATTTTAACAACACAAATACAATATTATCTATAATTTGTTATATACTGGGATTTAAGATTTTTGGTAACGGAGAATAGGGAAAGTTTTTAGTTTCCACTTAGTGAGAGGATTTAGGAAGTACCATGACCTAATATAGCCAAATAAAATTCCGAAGTTTTTGCATTTTCTCTTTTGTGTGGCCAACATTACTCATTATTCTAAGTTCACTCAGATATATATCTAAATGTTTAGAATTTCATTTAAATATGAATCAAAATTCAAGCCAAATCATGTGGACTTTCTTTATATCACCCATGTAATTCACGGACAGTTCAAAAATAAAAAGTTTTATTTTAATTTTCCAAGTTATCTTCAATTCTTCTGAAAAAAAAAAAAAAAAAAAAAGGTAGAGAGAGAATATTAACCTTGTACAAGCAATAAAACACCTAAAATACTTTTAGAAAAATAAAATTAAAAATACTTAACGTAGAAATGAGAATGAATTGATAGTGAAGTAGTTCCAACCATAAGTATACAGCCTTAGAATTGAATCCCTTATGGGCTACTAAATATCCAGAGCATTAATGATTTTTTTTTATTTAAAATTTTAAAAGGTCAGCTTAAAATTTTTATAGGTGGTTTGCCCCAATTGGGCCTTCAATTAATGCACTTGTTACGATCTTTGCTTACTTGTTATCCATATGCTTGACTTTGACATCCAAGTATCTTCGTGTCAAGGTAAAATTGTAAATACCTCACCTTGACTCTCCCACATACCAACATGAAAATAATTTATTGAAACCTTTTCTTTTCAACTATCTTATATTAAGAGGTGGTGATTTAAATAAATTAAAAACGAATATTTATTAATTTTTTTTTTTAACCACAATATTTAATAAGTGAAAGTACTAATTTTATCACTAAAAATTCAACCACCCACACATTTATTCAAAACTGATTGATCTGCAAATTAAAATATTGGATAATGCCCTATCACTTTAATTATGTTAACCATGTTTGTTTTGGACGGTAATTCTTCCAATTATTCAATCATATAAAATGCTGCAAGACGTGTCACATATGCACGTCGTATAAAATTAAGCATATAATTTGGGTTTTTTTTTTAACCGTCCAAATCTTCAAACTTAAACCCACCATAATTAATGGATTCAAACTCGCATGACCACAGGGACGTGTTAAAAATTAAGTGCTTCATGACATGACAAAAGCCAAACATAGATTCTTTGTTTTACTTCCATTTTCTACTACGTACTTATTAATTCGTAACTTTTTAGACATATATATACACACACACTAGTGTTGGACGTATGTTAAGCTACTTGCATTTAATTCGGTCGGTCATAATCGAAGAAGAAGCCAAACTTTGATGAAGATTTAATTAATAATAGCACGGATTTCAAAGACATTAAAGATAATATTGCTATATACTCCGTAATAGACTTTCCTCATACATGTGAAGAAAAAAAAAAAAAAAAAAAACACTAAGCAATGCTGAGAATCCAGAGTTGAATCTTTCATATTAATTTTTTTGTTTTAAAAATTTATTTTATGCATCCCATGTTATCAATTTTCTTTAAATTTAGTTATGTGTACCCATTATTGAATAGTTGCGCAAGTCTGTTTAAAAAAAATTAGTTTTATTTAGTATTTATGAAATGAGTTAGAGATATTTAGGCTCCATTTATTTAGATGTAAAATATTTATCTATTTTTTTGTGTTTAATTTTTGTAAAATATTTATAAAGAAAAAAATATTAAAATTTAATAAAAACAACTTAATTATTAATTTTCTACTAATTATTTTATACGCTTTGTATCTCAATCTTTGTCAAATATTAAAAAAAAATTTACATAAAAAAAAATTAATAAAAATATTTTATAACAAAACAAATGAAACTTAAAAAAAAAAAGTTACGAAAAAAATTCAAATCGGACAATTTCATTTAACTCCACTATTCTCTTAAAAATAACTTAGAAAAAAGAAAATGATGGCAATAGTTGGTGGTGGCATCTAAATTGTATAAAGTCAGCATTATTATTAAATTCAAGAGATTTCGAGGTAAAGAGAGTGAAAGCTGAAAAACAGTGGTATCGGATATTTTGGTTGGACTTCAAGCTAATTGGTTTCATAAGTTTTCACTGTTTCTTTCGCAATCACCGATTTGATGTACATCGGGCGAATCAAAAGTGGGCTCCACACGAAACGAACGGCTATGATTTTTCCTTACTAGTCATATAGATATAGGCCGCATTACCGCTCATTTTAGGACCCCTAACTCAACTCCTCTAGTGCTCAGCGCATTCTCCTTACCCCTCATTCACGTCTAGCCCCCACAACACACGGAACTCATTTGGCTTTATCAACAATTTACCTTTATCGCCCATAGTTATCCTTATTATATGGTAGATTGTTTGTGTGCATTGCCTTTTAACTTCTGAAAATATAAAATAAAAAATATTATTACAAGGGTTTTGTCCTATGTCATATATGAATAGGTATGAAATCATCTTCTAAGACTGGTAGTTAGTATCTACCAATTGTTGAAATTTTTGAGTTATATCACAAATATTTTAACCGTTATAATTAGTATCAGAATTTAATCTTTTATTTAATGTCATGACATTTTTTGCGGCAGCGAGAATAGTTAACCGATTATAAGTTACGACAATCCTTAATGATTCTTCATATTTTATTTAAAATCTAATAAAATAATATTAAGAAAATAGTTTTATGACAACTTTTATCACAGCGAGAATAGCTAACCGATTATGACTTATGACAATCCTTAATGATTCTTCATATTTTATTTAAAATTTAATAACATAATATTAAGAAAATAATTTTAACACGGAGAATAGCTAACCGATTATGACTTATGAGAATCCTTAATGATTCTCCATATTTTATTTAAAATCTAATAAAATGATATTAAGAAAATAATTTTAACACGAAGTGAAGTCCGTAGTCCAATTGTTCAGTTGAAAATATTCATGTCATTGATGACCTGTAGTGAGATCCAATTTGTAATAATTTGTTAGGAATAAACTTGTTAACATAAAATTTAGGACAAATTACACGAAGGACCCTTCATGTTTTCAACTTATACATGTAAATAGAAGATGGCCACAGTATAACATAAAAGTCCAAATTAATGTTTGTGATTAGTGGATTGATATGAATTTACATTTTTGTCCTTAGAGTAAAACTATTTGTTTAATGAAATTTTTTTAAATTTTTTGTGTGTTGTTAAAGTTACGATTTTACCCCTAACACTCCATCACAACCAATGCAGACCAAATTGCAAAAATTACAAAACTGTCTGCAACAAAATCAATCACAGACCCAAATTCAACCACAGAGCCACAAATCATCCCGACCTCATCACAGCCGATTGGCCCAAGTCCTCTGTTCCAAGTGCACCGATCCGTCACCGCCATCACCACATAGCTCTCCACCGTCCGAGCTCAACCTTGCTCACCTCATCCGAGCTCATTGCCGCCTCCATCATAACCGACATCCTCCATGGCCGAGCCCATCAAAGCGTCTCCATTAAAGCCGAGCTCACCGCCATCATCCTCGAGCTCACAGCCGATGCCGCAACCAGCCCATCATCGTCACAGTCATCCCATATCCACCTCAGCGTGCACAAACTGCTTTCGCCAAAGTCGAATCCGTCTCGCTGTGCACTGCCACAGTTTATCTACAACCGCAGCCATCGTGAGTCATCTACAGAGATTCAGTTCTACCGCCGTTCCGACCCACCACTGCATTTCATTGTTGAGAGTCCTTTTGCATTTCAAACCCATTTCATACCCTATGCAACTTCACACACCCAAAAAAAAAAAAAAAACATTTTGTATGTATATATGACACACACACACACACACATATATCCGGTGGTGGTAATCGGTAAGGAAATAGTGACAGCGGCGGTAATGAGGAACGACGGTGTTATTGATGATAAGGTAGAGATTTGCTGGTTGTGTTGTACAGCAGTGAAACAACTTTGGGCTTTTGCTGGAGTTGCCGATAATGGAGTTTCTGGCTCTTGCCGTCCGGTAAAGTGAAGGACCAGAGATTTGGTCAAGGACCGGAGATGCCAGAAGACTACTGTCGCTGAAGCGTGTTGCACATGGAGGTGCCGGCACCGGAGGTCTGTAAAATCTTCCAATCGTAGCATTGTCCTGTTCTAAAGACATAGAAAGCCTATAATGAATTCCTAAATTGTCGAAGAGAGAACCAATTCAACAATTTCATCTTTTTCACATGCTTCAAGGCCCTTGCCCTCATCTAGATCTCCTCCACCACCCCAACCACAGCTGACACCTAAGAACTCCTACGGGTTAAGGTCCTGGTCATTGCGGAGGGGTGTACTTAGGGACAAAAATGAAACTTCTTAATATATAATATCTTTTAATTTTTTCATAAAAAATAAATACTTTAATCTTAAGGTCAAAAGTGTAAATTTATATTAATTTTTGTGGTCAAACTATCAATATGAACCTTTCTGTAATATTGTTATAACTTCTATCTACATGCACAAAATAAAAACCTCATAGGTGGTTTGTATAATTTGCGCATAAATTTACTTTCGGTAGCAATTCAGGACAAACATTAATAGAAATACACAAATAACATATCTTATCCATTACATTTAAGAGTTCAAGTTGAATTTTATCTATTCCACACTATACCAAAATAATGGATTCCAAGTAATAATTACTCTATTTATGTATATTTTTTTGTATTTTTGCATAGATGTTATTTAACTTATTTGTCACTAGAGTCTTGACACGTGGCCTCTATTACATTAAAATAGCTTTATTTTCTTATTAGAGATATCAAATACTACTGTATTATCCATATATAATATGCTTGCATGACAAACAAAGAAGCATGGATGAAATTCTCTCTTCTCAGTTCCAGTTATTCCTACCCTACTAATCACCGCCCTTTACCACACGTACTCCTCGCGTCTTCTATCACCAACTCTCCACCACCACCGTTCACGGCGGCGACACCACCACCACCGTTCACGACGGCGACACCACCACCGGGTAAATGATTTGAGCAGCAGAAACAAGAGATGGGGGCGTCATTGTCGAACTTGACCGAAGGGTCAAACGGTTCGGCCAACGGTGGACCAGGGCTCGGCGACATACCGGAGAGTTGCGTGGCATGCGTCTTCCTCTACCTGACGCCGCCGGAGATTTGCAACCTCGCGCGGCTCAACCGCGCGTTCCGCGGTGCAGCGTCGTCCGATGGCGTCTGGGAATCGAAGCTGCCACTAAATTATAAAGATCTGCTTGACCTAATGCCTCCCGAGAGGCACCGAAATATGTCTAAGAAGGACATCTTTGCCCTTCTCTCTCGCCCTGTGCCTTTCGACGATGGTAACAAGGCATGTATATCTCACACTTTCTTAATTTCTAAAATATTTTCTTTGTAATTCTTGGAAAATATTGAAAGTTGTGTGTCCTCTTTGATCAGCAGGGCTTGGTCGCGAGCGTTGGGTGTTTCTTAATTTGTGTCTTTTTCTTATGTAAGGTTGGGGAAAATTAGGGTTTAACTGAGTTTTATTCTTAGTTCGAACATGCTGAGGTTTATTTATGAAAATTTTGGGCCAACTCTATTTTGGGTTTAGATAGTTGTGTTACTTCTCATTTCTCTGTGGGGTCTTCTTAAAAATTATATGTGTAATTTTTGGGGAAAAAAATTGAAAATAGAGTTTGGGACAGTTTAATTTGTGTTTTCTTGATACGCGAGGGAATTGGAGTTCTACATATGTTCCTTTTGGGTCCCTTTTACTTTATGTAGTTCGTTGGGAAAGTTTAGAGATTATCTTACGAGAATCGTTTTTTTGTTTGGTGAATTGGCAATTTATTGATCTGTGCTTTATATGATGTGGGAGATATTACAGGAAGTATGGTTGGATAGGGTTACCGGAAGGGTTTGCATGTCAATCTCGGCCAAGGGGATGGCAATAACTGGGATTGAAGATCGAAGATATTGGAATTGGATTGCTACTGAAGAATCAAGGTTAGATTCAAAGAATTCTATCTGGCGACAAGCTATCTGTTCTACTTAATGTGGCCATGTAAAGAACTTATAGTGGGGTGATTTTATATTTTTGTGATGTCACCAAAAGTTTCCACTTTCAAGTTTGTCTAATGGACGTTAGGATTTTGGCCAATTAATTTGGATAAGGATTTTATATTGATACCTCGTGGGAGCAGAAAATTGGTGTTAATGATTCTTCATATCCCTTCTATATGGAGGGCATTTTTAATAGTGCTTTAGTCTCATTTCCCGACTCCCTTTTTTTTTTTTTTTTTTCCTGGCATGCTCAATTCACGTTCTAAGTTCAAATCATATAGATTGGTTTTAAATTCTTCTTCTTCTAATGGAACGGGATACTTTGATTTCTCGTTGATAGATATTATACTCCCACTTCATTTCTTATTGCTTATTTTGCTTAATACTCCTTGAAAAGCTTTAGATCTTCTGGACACAAATTTATCCCTCTGACATGATGGTGGCGATGGCAGCCGAAATGCTTGATGCTTTTAAGCATATTTGATAGATTGGAGGTGTTGGAATTGGATGTTGGAAATAGTAATTTATTTATCAGAATGCTCTATGTTGAATGATATTTTTGTTATGATTGGACAAATATCTTATACCAACCTTTTGGGGAAAAAACTTCAATATTTGAAAGTTAGTTTATCACTTGAGCTTTTAGGTTATTTGAAGAAGACTTGTGGATTAGTTTGTCAACTGAGCTTCTAGGTTTTCTAGAGAAAGCTTATGGGTCAATTTGTCAATTGAACTTCTAGGTTTTTAGGGAAGATTTGTAAGAAATTAATTAGTGATGCACAGATTATCTGTGTCATAATTGCAAATTTTTTTTTTGGCAAGTGTGTTGTAAATGCAAAATTGCAACCAAAGTTTGCAGACATTATGCTGATCAAGTGGGTGGCTGGATTCTAGTGTCTTTGGAATGTTTCGGTAAAAGCCTCGTTGCATATGACAATGTTTTGTGGTTACCTGTTTGTTGCCAATTTTTTACTGTGGATGTTGATGCTTCATTAGGTCCTTATGATTGCCTATTTGTTAATGGCTTATTCAAGGTGGAATAGAGTGTCAATTATTTCTTTGTCCATTACATCTCTTTTGGAGTTGAAGGTTGTCCTTTTTATGCCAACAACTTTATCTTGATGGTGATGCGTAATGCAGTTAAACCACTTTGTTTACTCCATGTTCAATGGGGAATAAACAGTGTGGGTTTTCTTTATGCTTTTTGCAAAATTTTGAAAAATATCTTAGTCCATTGTTATGTTGATGGATTGGTGGTTTTTTCAGCAACTAGATACTTCATCAAGTTAAGGGAAAGAGAATTTTTGGGGATGAGTAATGTTGGTTTTGTTTGATATGAATATAGAAATGTGTTAGGAATTGAGAATTGATTGTTATATAAAATGTAGCTATGTAGTATGTATCAGATTATGCAGGACTCATGGTGAAAAAGTAATGTTGGACTTTCTTAATTTGATTTTGGGTGTCAGAGTGTGGCCATGTGTAGATTATAATGGCACGTGGTTTGACGATGCTATGACTTTAGATGGAACAAAATGGAGAATGGAAAAAAAGGGTTTATGTAGCCGACTCCTAGTGGTTGGTAAAAAACATTGTTGAGTTCAGTTTGAGTATTGACTATTAAGTAGTAGATGAGATTTTTATGTATGAATTCACACCACTATGCATAGAGTTGCTCAGTGAAGATTTGATGCTAGCATATAGCAAGCATAGTTTTGATAGTCATTTGGACATACATTCTATAATGATGCCTCTAGAAATTATATAAATCATGTTTCCTCTCTCTCATTCTTTATGATCTATGGCTATTTGATTGTGTATATTCTTATCATTTTCTTTATTTATTTTTTATTTCCGAGAATGCATAAATGGTGAAACATTATTACTCTGGTAAAAATCACTTGTGTAGAAAGCTAGAAGCTACAGTAGCAAGGCATTGTGACCATTGTCTGAGTGATGCCAAGTACGGTCAATGCTCAATAGTTCACTTTATTTTTAAGTGGGTGCCTGTGATGAGGCAACACCTTGGTGGGCCTTGGGCAATTTTTGTTGCATGTGTGTATTGTGACATGGTATCTAAAAAGTCCTTAAGAAAGGGGAAAGAAACATATTTTGCTTCAAGTTGATGGTCGGATATATATGAGGTGGCACTTATAAAAAGAGGGATATATATATTTTTTTGATAAGTAAAATTGTATTAGAAAGCGTTCAAAAGGGGAACGCATCCTAAGAGCTGTACAAGAATCAAGAGCAAAAAAGAAAGCCTAAGGATCCAAAGACCCCAAAAAGTCCAAAAAACTCTTTAACGGACGAACAATCTCTCCCCATGCCCCAACTAAAAAGAGAACAAATAATAGAAAAGTTAAGAGCCCCAATTGGTAACTCCTCCCCAACAAAGGATTTTCTATTGCGTTCTTTCCATAGACACCACCAAATGCAGAGGGGAGTCGCCCTCCAGAAGTCGCGAACTCGAGCCCCCACCCTCTGTCCCCTCCAAATATCGATAAGACCTCGTGAGGTCCAAGGCATAACCCACTGAATGCCAAAAAGACCTAACATAAGGCTCCAATAGGCATGGGCTACTGGGCAGTGCAAGAGAAGGTGGTCCACAGACTCTCCATCGGTCAAACACAGACAACACCGATTAACAAAGACATGTCTCCTCTTCCTCAAATTGTCCAGAGTTAGGATCTTGCCCCAAGCAGCAGTTCAAGCAAAAAAAGCCACCTTAAGAGGAGCCTTCGAATGCCAAACCGTTTTCTATAGATAAGAGGGGACCTGAAAACTGGAAAGACAGAAGAAGAAAGACCGGACCTGAAAAGTCCCCTGCGAAGAAGACACCCAAGTGAAAAGGTCCGCCCCAATGCCCTCCACCTCCTGTCGAAACAAAAAGGTCTAAAAAAGAAGTGACATCATCCAGCTCCCAATCCTGAAAAGCTCGCTGGAACCGAACATCCCAAGATAACCTACTGCTATCAAGGCGATAGCAGTCAGCAACCAAATCATGGCAATCCACAGCAATCCTGAACAACCTTGGAAACCGTTGACAAATGGACGTTCCTCTCACCAAGGATCCTCCCAAAACTAGACACTCCGACCTTCCAGGACTCTGAATCTTATATGCTTAGAAAACTCATCCCAACCCTTCCCAATTGACTGCCACACACCCACGCCGATAGCAGATCTAGCCTGTCAGCAGGCTAGATCCCCTCTATCCTCCCCAAACCGGCAAGCAACGATCTTCCTCCAAAGTCTATGTTTTTCACTGCCAAACCTCCAAAGCCATTTGCCAAGAAGGGCCCTGTTGAATGGGACCAACTTCCGAATCCCAAGGCCTCTTGACTTAAGAGGCTTGCAGACCAGCTCCCACCAAACAAGATGATACTTAAACTCCTCCCCCCTACCACCCCAAAGGAAGTTGCGTTGAATCATCTCAAGTCTCCTGACAACAGAAGAGGGAATCTGGAACAGAGAGAGGAAATATGTTGGGAGGCTGGACAGGACACTCTTCACCAGCGTAACTTTTCCTCCCTTTGAAAGATATTGTTTTTTCCATCCAGCTAACCTTTTCTCGAAGCGCTCAATAACTTGTCCCAGCAACCCACCCTTCTTGAGGAGACCCCCAAGGGCAAACCCAGATAAGAAATAGGGAAGGAACCCGTCCTACATCCAAGAACAGCTGCCAGGGAATCCACCTCCTGAACCTTCCCCACAGGGACAAACACACTCTTGCCCACGTTGATTTCAAACCAGAAACAACCTGAAAACAAACCAGGACACATCTCAAGTATCTCAATTGGGACACCTCTGCCTCATAAAAAACCAATGTATCATCCGCGAACAGCAAGTGAGAAATCTCTAATTGATGAACTGCCTCAGGACCAATGTTGAAGCCCCGAGTTAACAGCCCTCCTTAGCAGCCTGCTAAGAGCCTCCATAATAATAATGAACAAGAAAGGGGAGAGGGGGTCCCCTTGCCTCAAACCACGAGAACTACCAAAAAAGCCCGAAGGAGATCCATCAACCAGCACCGAGAATCTGAGAGACGAAACGCAAGTAACAATCCATTTCCTCCATCTCTCACCGAAACCCATCCTCTCAAGCAAATAGAACAAGAAATTCCAGCAAATATGATCATAGGCTTTCTCGATGTCTAGCTTTACACAAAAGTCCGGGAACGCCGCTACGAAGCCTAAAGGCCACACATTCACTGGCAATAAGAGCGGAATCCAGAATCTGTCTGCCCCCAATAAACGCATTTTGAGACTCTGAAATGACTCCGTCCAAAACCCCTCTCAATCTTGAGGCCAAGACTTTGGCGATGAGCTTATACAAACACCCAATCAAACTGATAGGTTGAAAGTCCTTAATATCAGAAGCTCCCCCCTTCTTAGGAATGATGGAATCAAAGCAACAAAAGAAGCATTCAACGACTTTTCGAACTTCCCAGTGGAATGAAACTTATGAAAAGTGCCCATAATCTCCTGTTTGACCACCTCCCAGCTTTCCAGGAGGAAGCTCATAGTGAAACCATCCAGGCCTGGAGCTTTATCACCATTACAACTCTTCAAAGTCGTCAGGATCTCCTCCTCCGTAAAAGATCTCTCCAACCCATCCCTATCCTCCACTGAAATAGAGTCAAAATGAAGACCATCAAGTCTTGGCCTCCAGCGTAGGGGCTCAGTATATAACCTCTGATAAAAAGAAACAATCCCCGTTCGCTCCTCCTCATCAGAAGTCAACAGCGAACCATCCACTCGAATCTAACCAATATGATTGCCCCCTATGTGCATTGGCCGTTCGGTGAAAAAACTTAGTATTACGGTCACCTTCTTTGAGCCACAAAGCCCGAGATTTCTGCCGCCACGAGATCTCCTCCATCACCGCAATCTCGGCACATTCAGCCTGACAAGCAGCTCTGCTAGACCGTTGAGACTCCTCAA